TTTAAATTATGCACGAGGTAACGGCAGACGTCTGGATTTAAGACCAAGCGAAAATCAACGATAAAGTTAAATAGCGCCCTCTGCTGATCAAGGACTAAAACAGGGAAATAGAGTGCTCTGTTTTGATTGGTCAGTTTCTAATCGTCATCAGGTCAATGTCCAAATTTAAACACCCATGCATTGTGCGGGAACTTGACAAACGTGGGTGAATAATCTGCACAAAATCCCTTCAAAATGTCGTTTCCGAAGGCCAAGACAAAGCGATTCAATGAGATTGATTGTAAGTGTACGTTTGGCATTTGTTTGATGTGAATTGTATTATTATCTGGGATAGAATTGTTGAGGAATGAGTTGAGTTATCCAAAATGCTTACCATGCCTACATACACTGCAGTCGTGCATGGTCGGCCAAGAACAATGTCAACTGTGTGTATGCTCCGTTGCAGAACTTTTTAGGCCACAGTAATCTGTTGTGTCTGTGTGATTATGGTAATGTGCTTTCACAGGTTTGTTGTGTTTATCAGGTTTATTTATTTTCGTGCTTTTTGTCTGGACCTAGCCCCACTAGTGTGGCACAGATCGCTCCTGATTTATCCTTAGCCACACATCCATCTACGCAATTTCGTGTCGGCGTATTGAACATTCCGGCGCACCCACTTATCATTGTGGGCGCAATTTCTTTTGCACATGAACATGATTCTTGACCTTTCCGCTTTCTAAAAAACATTTATTGAATGATTTCACTCACGTTATTCAGGTATTTTCCAGACTTTTTGCCTTTATCCATTCAATGTAACGGGCTCGCTCTCTCAGTCGCCATCTTTAAAATAAGGTCGTTGAGCATTACGTCACTTGACCCCTCATCGTCTCGACGGCTTTTCCATGTCACGATAACTAAACTACTGCCAAAGTTTTGGAAGAGCCCATTGGTACATGTAGCATGGAGAAAGTGTTTTATTTCTCCATGCATGTAGTATCTTATCGCTCAGTCCGTGTATTATGTCTTGACATGGAATAGCCATCGAGACGATGAGGGATCAAGTGATGTAATTGCGTAGACGAATGTGTGGCTAAGGATAAATCGGGAGTGATCCGTGCCACACTTGTGGGGCTAGTCTGGACCGTACTTATTGAGGCATCTCATTCAATGGACTGGAAATGTTGTAACTTGAACATGCATGGGGTCCGGACAACTTGACCGTTTGCCAACTTGACTTTGGACAACTCGACCATCCGTGCGTAAAAGGGAGAGACAAATCGATTGTTGAGAAAAGTCGTCTGTTGGGACAAGTCTAGCCCCACTAGCATGACTAGTGTAGCACAGACGCTCACTCCCACTCCATCCTTAGCCACACATCGGTATACGCTATTTCGTGTCGGCGTACTGAAATTTTCGGGCACCCACTTATCATCGTGGGTACAATTTCTTTTGCACACAGAGATGATCCTTAGCCTCTCCGATTTCTTAGTGCCATTTATTGAATGATTTCACTCCCGTTGTTCTGGTAGTTTCCAGTCTTTTTGCCTTTATCCATTCAATCTAACGGGCTCGCTCTCACAGTCGCCATCTTTAAAATAAGGTCGTTGAACATTACGTCACTTGACCCCTCATCGTCTAGACGGCTGTTCCATGTCAAGACATCTAAACTGCTGCCAAAGTTTTGGAAGAGCCCATTGGCACATGTAGTATCTTATTGCTCAGTCTGTATATTAGATATGTCTTGACATGGAACAGCCGTCGAGATGATGCCAGCAATTGTACCAGACAAAACATCCATTTGCACTTGCTTAAGCATAGGTTAGCTATTATTATAGGGTCTTAAGGGAAAGAGGATAGCTATTAAGGGGAAGATTTACTTAAGCAAGCGCAAATGGTTATTTTATCTGGTATGATTGCTGGCCAGCTTTCAAAATGCTGTAGCGTGCAGAACCATCAAAAAGGTGGAGTGTAGTAAGGCCTACGAAGTAGTGCCTTTCTGTTCAGGAAGTAGGCCTACATGTAGGCCTAGGTTACAGGAAATAGGCCAATTATTTTTTTTCACTTGATATAGTTTTCTTAAAATGGGAGCAAAATGTTTCCCAAAAGTACATGACCGTGACTAGGCCTACATATTTGCCTTAGATTTGGACCCTTCAGTAAGGGGCCACATGTTTCCACTTTGCCCCTAACCACATCGCCCTGTCCCAACATGGGGTGAGAATGGGGAGAAGTGGTTTGGGGCGAAGTGGAACGGGGAAGTAACTGACACCCAAGGGATGTGCGTCTGTGTATTAATGCACTACCAAAACTGCACCACCCTAACTTCCAATTTTGCTCACAGAAATGGATGCGCTTTGTGCAGTTGAAGCACATACATTTAGCTGTAGGGCATCCTGTGAGACTCACTTGCCCTGTTTGGTCAGCCACATAGCATAATTCCACAACCATGACTCATCAGATTAAACGGCAGTTTGTGTGATCTACAGTCTTTGTGACAAGGACATGTATGCATTCATTTTAATGCAAGGGAAATATAAGAACCCAATGAAAAACCAACATACATGTACATGTGTGTACACATGTATGCGTACATATGTGTACACTTGTGGAGGGATATTTCCTTTGTTCCCGTGTACTCAAAGATTAGTTTGTAAAGTACAGTTTTTTAATCACTCCCATTTAAACCAGAATCATTCTCCTGGATTGAATTTAGCCAAATATCCCTCATACGAAATACATGTACACATGCACTTCCATTTGTGATGGATAAGCACACCATGGAAATTCTTACATTCTGAGTAAATTCCACATACATGTACATGTATCTATTTTGTGAGAGGCTGGGGGGGGGGCTTGTTTTGGTACTTCGCAAGCAACCAAAACACGCAACAAAAGTGCATGTACATGTGTGTAAGGGGGAATGACCCGATTGACATGTCTGCGGTGACTCGTATGTGAACATGTTTTAGCAGTACCACTGTGGGTTCAGTGTACTTAGACACATGACATTGTAGTACAGAAGAACTGCAAATGGACCTTTGATCTAGTCAATAATTAAATAATTTCAGTGCATTTTGCAGTGAAGTGGCCACGTCATTGAGTAAATACCAAGAGAAGAACTTGCATTTTGGCTGTTCAGATGTACTTATTTTTCATGTCTACGGGTTTCAGATTTTATTACACTTGTGAGAAATTCACATCTCTGAAAATCATGATTTTGTGCATTTCTAAAAGAAAGATTCCCCCATTTTAATGAACTACATGTATGGTATAAAATTCAATTCAATGTCTTTCAGTTGTATATATTCTGTTACTTTTATTTCTTTGAATTTTTATTTTATTTTATTTTTACTCTTTTGTAGCTTGCGCCCCTCCTGTCGGCTCTTACAATGTTAAAAATCTTGACAAATCTGCTGGACCTTCCAGCTTTGACAAATCCAGTCGCTTCAAAGAACCCAAAGGTAATTAAACAAATAAAAAATAAAAGAACTATTTTGCAGAGTGTTGGCATCACTGCTATGGTAAAAAATGTTATGCTGAAAAACTTGTTTGGATTTTAATCAGTTTTGAATTGAATAAAGCAGCGATAGAGATTTAAAGTGGCTCTTGTTCACACATTATAATCAATTTGAAGTTTGCAAAAAGTTTCACAAGCCATTATTGGAAAAATGGAATGATACGAACAGCTCGTCATTTATCCCCAAATTCAACATTTTATTCCAAATCCTCATCTCCTAGTGATGAGCAGCAATTTCAGTTCAAAAGGTGAAGGCATACTGTTTCACTGTATGTATAATAATTCGCATCACTGATCGGGAAGTAAATCCGACCTAACTTGTAGGCTTGAGGCTTTCTGACTGTTCATGTATTGCTACATAGTAGACTTTGATTTCAGATTAAATACCATGGTAGAATTGACCCCTCTGCGTCGCTACACACGATGAACTCTATCTGTTTGAGTCTGCAATCTTGTCTAATTTCCCCAGCTCCTCCGCCCGGATCTTTAGTGCAAGCTCGCTCCACCAGCTCCAACTCATTGCCAGAGTCCGGCAGGACCACCCCATCAAAAACCTTGAATTCCACTGTGGATGTGAGTTTTTGTTGTGATATGTAGTTTAACTACCTGGTATGATACCCAAGGGCACAAATATCTATGGCTGGCTTGTGGAAATTTAAACTCAGATACAGTCGAACCTCGTTAATAAGAGCACTGTTAATACAAGATTCTGCTTAAAGACAAGGAAATTTTTAGGGCCCAATCCTTGTGTTTCATTGTTGTCATTCCAGATAATACAGGTTCCTGTTATAACAAGGTAATTTGCCAAGTCCGAAGGACCTCTTATTAACGAGGTTCAAATGTATATATATTTTCATTGTTCATGTCATTTCAGGCCTCCTTCAACAAGTCCATTGTTAACTTCACACCATGCAAGCACGACAAGGAAATACAAGAACTGAAGCAAGAGGTAGGTAGCTGGGGGAAAAACATTCACTGAGGCAAACCATTGAGTAGTCTGGTAACCAGACTTAAAGGGCACAGAGGCATGGTGAAGACAAAACCTAGCCACCGTGCCAAGTTTTGAGTTTACCCAGCTTTGCCTCACTTGCAACCCAAGGCCCACTGAAGTGTTAACCGTGTTGTGGTTTATCTGAACAGCTTCGGCAGCAGAAGCAGGAGTGGAGCGACGTGAGCCGGGAGCTGAGCCAGACGCAGGAGAAGCTGACCAAGGCCGAGAGCAAGCTGCAGGCCACGGTCAGGGAGAAGACTGCCCTCGCTGGCCAGCTAGCGGCCAGAGACCGGGAGGTTGCTGACCTCCAGAAGGCTCGGGATGTCCTGCAAACCAAGGTACTCACAAGGAATTGAGATGAAAATTCAAACACAGGTGCAAAAGTCTGTTTTTAATATTGAAAGTGATAATATCAATTTTGTGTGTCTTGTAAAGTGCATGGTGTAATTTTCAAGTGGAGTCCCTCGTTTTTCTCATGCTAGTTTATCTTTCCTGAAAGTAGTTATTTATTTTTAAATACATGTACATATCCTGATTGCTATCTTTGTAGCACCAAAGGACACTTCTGGCAATTTACCTTGCTTCAGGACTACCTAAATCTCCTCACTGAATATGGAGTCATGTTTTAACTTCAACATCAAGGCTTCAAAATGGGCACTTCTGTGAAAATGATTTGGTTTGTAGTCTGAACGTTTCAGCTAACTTACATTGTTTTTTCACACATTGCATGGTTATTGAACAGGTTAGTGCTTTGGAGGGGAACAACACAAAGAATGAAAAACTAGTGGAGGAGTTATCTTCGGTCACCTCCAAACTCAACTCTAAACAACAGGTAAGGAAGAATCACACTTTGCATAGCTGCAGTATTAGATGTCGGCAAACTGTCATTTACACTTTGGGCAGTTAATCAAATGCTTGACTCTCCTCAAAAGGCGGTTTATTTTGCTCTCTGTTTCTACTAGGAGTTTGAAACTTTCAAGTCCACCATGGAACTGAAAGTTCAGACGTTGCAGGCCGATCTGGAGGAATCTCAATCCAAGATGGCCGCTCTCCAACAGACAAAAGACGCACTAGGTATTTGCTGACTGCGAAATTTCTAACCATATGCAGATTGTGCAAATGAGCCCATTAATGCTTTCTAACATTAATCATTGTACAACATAGAATTGCGTACAGGCTGACAAGATAATATCTTTGGTGACATAGTGAAACTGGGCAAGCAAAGGGTTGATGATAAAAGTCTTGTACGGATGTTTTTTCAGAATCATGAAGCAGTGATTTCAATTCATTTGTTAAAGAATTATCTTTAATGATTATCCTAAGATGTGAATCAGCCAAACAGTGCCAGCAAGCATGGTGATACTGTGGTTGAGATGTTTTCCCTAGCTGTACAGGAGTCATGGGTTCGAATCCTGTACAAAAGAATTAGTGATTTTTCCCCCACCCTCGCAGAGTTGAACAAAAAGGAGCTTCAAGGCCACCGTGAAGACTTGGAGAGCGAGATCAGCAAGCTGCACTGTGAGTGTATTTGATCCTACATTTAGCATAGTTTGTCCATCACATAAAACTGCAAAACCTTAGTGGAATTGCTGCTGGAATTCAAAGATGATCCATTTCTTTAACCGTTCCAAGCATTTGATGTATATGTACTATGCCACTGAAATTTAAACCAGCCTTAACCCCTTCGCGCCGGGACGTGGGTAGAAACACCGTAAAAATTGAGATCCTCAGTCCGCTTTTCAGCTATTATTCTCGGCCCATGCTCGAGTGAACACGGTGAAAGAAGGCAGACCCTGGCTCTTGTATATATGGTGATTGGCCTTTGTGTGTTGCCCAGAAATGAAAAGACCAAATTTGCATCATAATCACCAGCTTCACAATAGTCCCCACTTTGAAAAGAGGCAACAGGAATGTGGAAGCTTGAGTAGAGCCGCATGCCACCAAACAATGAGCCTTTTCACTGTGTAATTCAAAGTGTGCAGAGCATGCAGGGCCACAAACCGAGACTTTGCGGTTTGGCAGGTGACCTTCGTGGCCAAGCGAGGCTGGAATTCTTGGAGTCAGCTTTCGGAAAGAAATTCCCGTCGTCAAGGGGTTAAAGTCTGGAGATTTTTCCTTTTACATGAGAGGTACTGCAGAAGTTAAATATTGTCTGCAATGGATGTCAAAGTCTGTCTGAATTTTCCTTCATAACTATGATTGATGTAAAAACATGTTTTCCAGCCTTGACAGATCAGTTGAGACTAGACAACGTGGACATGCACAGTCAACTGGAAAAAGAACAAGAGAGAAATGAGGTGAGTGTAGTTGTTGTTGCTGTGTTGTTTAGTTCTGTTTTATTTCTCTGTATTTAATACTTGGGAAAATGCCGCTCTCAGTGTTTATAATGAGAAAGTTTCAGTGCGTTAAAATGAGAGATATTATCTTATGGGAATTGATATCTTATGCCCGTTGCTTTCATGTCTGTTTACAATTATTTTGTCGACAGTTTCTACACAAGGAAATAGAGAGGACTTTGGATAACAGCAAAAGACGAGCTCAGGAGAGGGAAGATGAGTTACAGGAACATCTCAAGGTAAGCTAGCAACATCTTCACCTAAGTTCACTCCATAGCCTTTGTGACCAGTGGTCTAGTAACTGGCCTGCTTACACGTTCAGTGATATCTATTTGGCGTGATAAATTTTACAAATCCTGGGGACTGCTAGGGTTGTTATTGGCAGATATTTCTCTCGGGAAAAAAACAATCTCTTTTTTCTTCAATTTGCAGCAATCTTTAAAGAAGCAGGAGGAGTTACAAGCAGCCTTGGAGTCGGCTGAGGAGCGTCTCGCTGCCCTACAGGTGGCTTATGAAGCTGAGACGAGACAGAGGTGAGGAGGAAGATGGCCTCCTTCCACTTGTGTCTTAAAACTGTTTAGCTAAGATGGTTTTGCTAAGTTAGATCATAGCGATTATGTCCTGTGTAAGAACCAGACTTGGAACTCTTCGGTACATTATATATGTTTATATGGCCAACTGAAATAAGCAGAAGGTAAGTTGAAAGCAAATTAACTTTGGCCTTGTGATTAAAAATTGGTCAAATTGTTCTCATACTTGTCTCTCCAAGGACCAAGGCTAGAGTTGCTTCAACCTCCATTATATTTGCCCATTGATTTATGTATGTATGTGTGAAATGTCTGGATTTGTTTTGGATCCAGGGAGTGTCCATTTACCTTGTCATAATAATCAATGCTGACCACTGAGAAACTCTTTCAGTCCATACCCAAAGAAACAGTAGAATGTTCAAATGTTCAGGTGTTCGCCTTCCCCACGTCCTGCGCTGTCCTTTCCGAGTTACGATTTTTGCAGTCAAGGTGAGTAAAGAGAGCCCCTCAAATCTTCCAAGTTGTACTGACGAGTTGTTTGGTCCCAGTCAAAAGAGTCCTGTTCCACTAAGTGACTAACAGCCTGTGTGGTTATTTTGGATAGGCCAGGAATGTACATGCGCCCTTTCATTGTAACATCGTCAACTTCTGTTCACGTCCTGCGGAACACTGAAGTTGTCCAGTCTTTCTATGTAATTGCAATTAATGCTCTTCTGCCTGTTTCTTTTATCTGAATTTTGAAAAGTTGAAGTTCAAATTGTGTCAGTGTGTCAGTACAGTGCTCAACATAACACTTGATGCTTTTGTCTGACTTGCCCCAAATTGTCATGAATGTACTCAGCACACCATACTTTCTTGTTAGTCCATTCATGATGCCAACAGTCTTTGTAGCTATGAAAATAATGATCGAGTTATGTTGATGTGGGCTCAACCAATCACTGGCGGGGGTTGTTACAGTAATGAGGATCCACCGTTGTGGAGGTGCAAAGCAGAACATATAGCCTAACAAATGTATGTGGATAGCCCAAAAATCTGCTGGGAACCAGTCGCATGAAGAATGTAAACACGCATTTCTTGTCTTGCCAAGCATGTATTTTGTGATTACCAACTCCATGGACTAAACCTGTGGCTTTGCCTCTAACCCTTTATGTAAAAATATTAGAAAGGGTATGCATGGTATCAACCCTCAACTCCACACTGTAATAACAAACTTTCTGTCTCTATAAATACATGGTTAGGTTTCAAAACAGCCAGATTAATGTTTTGCCACATTACTGGGGAATAGGCAAGAACATTGTACACACTGGAAACCACAAGAAGTCTGCTTAGTGTAATTGTTTCTACATATCTTCACCAACCAGTAAAATCTCTCATTTTTAGAGGGACATTTGAAAATTAAAAACTGATTTGCTCTCTCGTAGATCTACATCCAGAGCCTCATCAGGTGGTCAGAGTTCCAAAGCTGCTTCTGGGTTTTCAAACCAGACTCGGTCAAAATCATCCATTGGATTTTTTGACGAGCCAGTGTCGTCACAATCATCTGCAGATTTTTTCCACACCACTCCAAAGTCTAAGACATCCTCGCTGGATTGGAGCAAGACCCAGGACAGCCCATTTGCCCGAACAGGTGCCTTCGGAAAACCTGGCAGGAAATTTTTCAAATTTGGTCGGTCTAAGTCGGAGAGGAAAAACCACGAAGGCACTGATGGCCGATGGGACCATGAGTGATTTTTCTGTTTGTTGAGAACGTGGAGATGCAGCTGTTGTGTGCCTGTCTGACAGCTGTGTGGTTTTGCATCATACAGAGCACCATTTTGAAACTCTGAATGGCCGTTTATGCGGTCTTCTGATGGACGAAGCATCTTTTCAGTTTTGCACATGAAAAATTGTGTCTCATATCGGTTATCATGAAACAGAGTGAACTTTGATTAAATCTTCTTCATGTACAAGACATGAAAATTGCCAAGGTGCTTTAATTTATATTTGGTCGTGCCATCCAAACTTTCTGTGCAACCTAATTGTACTTAACGATGTACAGGTACAAACATGTGTAAACTGTATGCAAAATACCTAATACATTGTACCTGATAGTGTAGTAATAATGATAAGTGAGTGTGATAGTGCTGAAATATTGCCTGGTTGTTCTGTAGTATAAACGCTTGAAAAATGTCTGGCCAGTTATAGAAGTGTGCCTTCAAGGGTTAACACAGTTGCTCTTTATTTGGTGCGTATCGTGCTTGATGAATATTGCTAAATTCTTTCCACCACAGTGAGTGCAAAACTTCTTGAAATGAGTCATCGACTCTTAAACAAAGATTTTTTTCATTACAAGTTAAATGTACTGTCTCAAAAGATTGTAACAGGAAAATATTACCAATAATTTGGACATTCCGGAAGTGCAAGTTTTTTTGGGGGTAATTAATTTCCAACCAGGTTGTTAATATGTGTATTTTCTGGTATTGTGCATATTGTTGAGTTGTAATTCATAGGCATGCAACTCTTCCTTGGATCAGCTAATTTCCTCGTTTTTCACTTGGCACTTGTGCCACTGAAAATTGAAAAATGCTGTACAAAGTCTTGAAAAGACTGGAATTTCCTCGTTTTGTCAAAGTCCAAATTGCATGCTTGGGTTCAGAGGCAGCTTTGATTCAGAAACAATTGTTATAAGTTTTTGTAAAAGTTTCAAACAGTACTAGCTAATTTTTAAAGAAAATAAATGGAATTTGAGCATGTCAGGTGTTTTTTACAAAGGAACTTCATGTTTGTTTATTGTAGCCATGTATATTGCCAGTAAAACTGCGTTCATGTTATTGCAGAGTTTTGTGTCTTTTCCTCCCCTTTTTAAGGGGGGGGGGCACTTTGTGAAACTTCTAAGTTTGTGAAGTATATTTTTAAATATGAAAAGGCATTTATTTGTTTCTTGTTTGATCTTTTGAAATGTTCAGTTGGATCTTTTGAACTGCTATAACATCTAGTAAATTGTTTGTTACTTGTAATTTACAACCTTGAAGGTGGAATGTAGGATTTTTATCAAGTTTGATGCAATCAAAAGGAAATCATGTTCCATAAAAAGGTGCTTGAAATATTTTTGAAACAGAATAAACTTGGACTTGTCTTGCTTCTTTAGGTAAGTGTGTGTCTAGGCCATTCGAGATGACCAAAAGTCTGTCAGGTTGGTCAGTATTTTTGACATCAAACTGTGCTCTATCAACAGACCCATCAAGCTGCTGGGTGCGTAGGCACTTAGCACATGCTTTTCTCCAATGCCCTTCTACATGTCCAAGCTGCGCGTATCATGTGTGCGCACATGTCAGACTTAACTCACAGCTGTGATTGGTCAGAACACAATTGGTACGGCTTAATGGATCAGTCTATTGTACTTTGTTTGGATAGGGTATGAATTTCCTCCAAATGTATGTGTACATTAAAGCTTGTGTGGAACCTCCAACTGTACATTAAGTTTCAAAATAGCATGCAAAATTCCAGAGCATGTGATGCTGTGTATACACATGGATATTATGCAGAGACTTTCAATCGAAGCTAGAACAAGAAGGAGGGTTTTCACCACCAAGTTGTCTCGTAATGGTATCCCTGGCCTCAAAAGTGGACAAATTTATTTCAAAACTGGACAGTGAAGTATCATACTTGTTATTTTTCCCTGCCCCTGTCAGAGCTGATTTGGAGCCCCAGTTGTCCACAGCATGGAATACCATCGGCAGACTGCAGAACCGGAAAAGGGAGCTACAGGGAGAGCTCAACCAGGTCAGGTCAGAGGTCAAAGTTCAACAGGATATTGCCCGGGAGGAGCGACAGAAGAGGGTAGATGCCGAAGCTAAGGCAGAGGGACTAAATGAGGAGCTGAAGAGGTGGGTTGGCAGTGAGCTCTGTGGCAATGTATGTCTGGTGCTGGAGGTTTTTCCAAAGTTCTCTCAATTATCAGGTTAATACTTGCACGGGTGATTTGATTTTGCATCTTTTCACTGCCTCCAACCACAGGGAATTTGGACAGAGTGTTGCGGAGGTAAACCAGCTCCAGGCAGAGCTGTCTGCTGCTCAGAAGCAAGTGGCTGACATTGAGACAAAGCTCAGACGACTAGAGGAGGAACACCTGGAGAAGTTGGCTGAGGATAAGGAGTCTGCCCAGGCTGCCAGGGAGGAGATCGACCAACTTCAAGAATACCTTGCCACTGCTAGGCAACAAACGACAGAGATTGAGAACAGATTCCAAGAGCTACAGGAAAACCACACGAGGAAGATTGCTGCCCTGGAGGAATCCAATCAGGCCTTGGAACAAGAGCTGTCCAAAGTTAAACTGGAGATTTCAGATGCTAAGCAACAACTCCAACAACAAGAGGTGGTACATATCAAGGAAATGACTGTGGCAGAAGAATCCCATCAAAAGGTCCAGGTGGAAGTCAGTAGACTCCAGAAGGACCTGGCTGTTGCTAAGCAACAGACAGCAGATGTGGAAAGGCTTCTCCAGCAAGGAGATGAGGAGCACTCAAAGACACTGGCAGCTTTGGAGGAGTCTACTCAGGCCATCAAGCAGGAGTTCAGCCGACGACTGGTGGACACCCAGACCCGGCTATCCATGAAGAGTGCTGAGGCAGAGAAACTGCGTGGGGAGCTTGAGGACATAAATAAACAGCTGGAGGAGGAGACTGAAACGAGAAAGGCCAAGGAATTGAAAATCACTTCTTTGGAGAAGTAAGCTGATGTGCCTCTCCCCCATTAATTGACCTTTGGTGACACTAAGTTAATTTTCAAGTACTCTGAACATATTTGGTTTGTGTTCACTTTGGTTTGTCCAGAATGTTTGCAGAAATGAGGTTAAGTTTGTGGTTGATGCCTTCTTTTAGAAACTACCAATTTATTGAAACTTGAAGGTATTATTCAAAAGTGACTCATGTACAAATTATGTCTAATGAAATAGTCATGAACTTGACATTTTAATGTGAATTCTTGAAAGAATGTCTATAAACCTTAAGTTATGTCTGATTATTTCAACTAAAAATTTGGCAAGTGCAGTTATACTTTCATAGTGGAGTAATTCCAAACCACCTTTTTGTAACTTGTAACAAATAAATCTTTGATGTGTTCCTTCCAGCACCCATAGAGAAATGGAATCTTCCCTGAAAACAATTGTTGCCAACCTGGAAGAGAAGAATGCCAAGCTGGATGCCAAAGCCTCTGACATGATGGAAACCATCACTAACCTGAGGCAATCGGAGGAGGATCTGCTAAAGGCTAACCGCAGTGTCAAGCAGGAGACTAGTGAGCTCAGAGCTAGTCTGGGCATCAAGGAGAGAGAGGCTGATATGCTGGAGAAATCTGCTGCTGAGAGACGGTTGCAGCTGGAGGAAACAACTAATCAGTTGAATGCTAGACTCCACAAATTCGAAAACGAAATAAGGTGCATAGACTTCTTGCAATCAGGCTTTGATACATCTACTTGAGTTGGAATTTCTTTGACCTTTTAGAGATATTGAGACTGTAATTGGGACATTCTATAAGTTTGAGATTTTGTCCATTGTTTTCTGCAGTGATCTCACAAACTCTGAGGCAGTGCTGAAATCAGACAAGAAACATCTGGAAGAAAAGAACTTGAAACTGAAAGATGAGATCTCTGAGCTACAAAATGCTAGAAGCAGCCTGGAGCGGGAGTCTAGTGAGCTCCAAAACAAGCTGGGCAAGTTGGAGGAGCAAGCCGAGATGTATGAGAAGTCTTCTTGGGAGATGAAGTTACTGCTGGAGCAGACAACTAACCAGATGAAGACCAGAATTTGTGAGCTACAGGAGGAGATCAGGTCAGTAGGCACAAGTGTTGCTGTCTTCAAATACTCTTAAAAATCATCTTTGGGTGAAACAGATACCAGTGTACTAACTTGCTTCAGAGAGAAATACCTATTAGCGTTGGTATTTCAGTGAAAGTTCTTTATCACACAGTTTTTATTTCAAATTTCAGCTCGTTTGAGGAATCTGAGGCTTTACTAAAAGCGGAGAACACCCAGCTGAAACAGGAAGCCCTCGCCCTGGGGGAGAACATGAAGCAAGTCATTGGGGACCTGGGGAGGTCCAAGAGTGGACTGGAGAAGGAGGCTAATCTGCTCAGGGAGGAACTGCAAGAGAGGGCAAGAGAGGTGCAGTCTCATGAGACAACAAAGATGCGGCTGCAGGAAAAAAATAGTCAGATGAAGGCCAAATTATGTCAACAGCAGGATCAAATAAAGTAGGCCTTCATATCTTTTTTCAGATGAAATAAGGTTTCACACAATGATTTGGAGGGATTTGGTTAGTTAATTAAAAAAAAGTCAATGGTTTACCATGCTGTCAGTGTGACACTTCTCAGACAGCACTCCAATTTACTCTGCCATAAAAATTACATTGTTTCTTTACCTTGTCCCTCATTGAAGTTTCTGCACTTTCGCATGTTATTGATTTTAACTATGATTGCAGGATATGAAACACAAGTCTAATACCAAGTTATTTTTCTTCTCTAAACTAAATGCATTAATTTAATTTTCACACATATGCCTTTGCTTGCAGTGTCTATGCAAAATCGGAACAAGTGCTGAAGGCTGAAAAAGACAGTCTGAGAGAGGTATCTGTCAACCTCAAAGAGCAGACGTGTAGGGCAGAAGAAAAAGTTGCCAAGATGCAACAAATCATCCACAGCTTACAAGAAGCAGAGAAAGGCCTGTTGAGTGATCGTTACAGCCTTGAGCAGGAGACTAACAAGCTGCGGGACAAGCTTGAGGAAATGGAAGGGGAGGTCATGATGTACGAGAAGCACGTCGTAGAGACCAAGCAACAGCTAGAGGAGAAGACTAGTGCACTGGAGGACAATGCCAAGAGCTTGAAGCAGCAGCTGCGTAAGATGGAGAGGATTGTCGAGGGCTGCAAAGTAACTGAAACAAGGCTGAAATCAGAGCTGGAGGAGAAGACTAGGGAGTTAGATTCAAAGATTGAAGAGGCTGAAGAAAGCACAAGGTTTGGCTTACAAAAACCGTCTTAATTTAAAGTTTTATACATTAAACTGTGTGTTACATGTAAGAGAGTAGTGTGCTTGGTTAGTTTGGCAATGAAGAAATTCCATCCAATGAAATTACAAGGTTCTTTTTTTCACTTGTTATACAAGTAATAGACCGATTGTACCCACTAAAATACATGACCTATAGTGGGTATTAAGTATCAACAAACGCAAGTACCATACTCGGACTACTGATGTGCTGGCTGTATTTGTAAACAACACTCAAAACACATGTTGCTATGGGGTTGATACCCACTATAGGTCACATGATTTAGCGGGTGTAAACAGTCTATTCGTCACCTGACAATGGACTGCCCGCTTGTCATATGCATGTATGTAACTAACTTCCTTTGGGCATTCTGTGTATGTCCGCTTTCAACACCTAATAATTTCCTGAGTTATCTGGCTTAACTTCAGAAAAGCTTCCAGTTAGATAACTTCTTGAGGGGATTTACTGTGTTAAAAATGTACTCTTGGACATTTGTTTTTTTCCTCCAACAAGTTGCTTCAAATGCGTGTGTCTATCTGTTGATGATTTCTGATGGCTTTTTTGTTTGTCTCATTTCAGTTGGCGGACAAAGTTTGAGGAGCTCCAGACAAAAGTGGCACCCTTCCAAGTAAGCAACAGAGCCTTGATTAGATGTTCTCGGTAGGAGAACTTGACTAACTGCTCAGATGGGAGATATTGACACAATTGGCAAGGGATTGTTGAAGAGTGAAAGCAGCCTTTCAAAATGCCAATCTCTATGTAATAATGGAAGTATTACTTGCTGGAATAAAGTTTCATTCGGCACCTCCAGGTTGGGTGAAAATTTGACTCAACATCGATGAAAATATGTATCTTGCTGTTGATTAACGAATGAGTTGTAGGGTGTCTCAACAAACGTTCATGTACGACTATCAACGGATGTTGTTGTTGCACACTAGGATCAGCTGGATCAGTTTGCTGCAGAGCGATTGCTTTTACTGGGCCAGAAGGACGCAGCACAGAGCGAGATCAGCAAGCTGAGCCAAAGTTATGCCAAGCTGCTGGGCCACCAGAATCAGAAACAGAAGATCCAGCATGTGGTGAAAATCAAGGATGAGAACCTCAAACTCAAACAGGTGCACCCCCGTTCCCCCCATACCTGCTCCTGTCAGGATGTCATTTATAAGTAGGAGGCAGAACTTAACAAACTTGGATTCCTTTTCAGCAAAGAAAGCCATGAAGAAAAATGCACAAGAATGAAGTGGCATCAAAGGAAGTTTGAAAACTGAAGAGAGACCCATGACACACTCGGGACAACATTCAAAGCCATTGTTAAATTAATTTTTATGGATTGGTTGATTTTTATTCAGGAGGTGAACAAACTCCGGGAGGAGCTTCTGAAGCAGAAGAACGCCCTCAGGAAGGCCAGAGACACATCATCAGATCGTCGCCGCTTTGATCCTGCCAAGGCATTCGCCCATCAGAGGTCAAAGGAGAATGCTGCCCCATTGGCTGATCACAACGCCACCTGCATCTGATGAACGACCCACCAAGGCATCAACACTGTGAAATAGATAAATCTAACCCATTGTGATTCTGCCACCTTACAACAGTTGTAGAACATTGTGATAGCAATCACTGACTACCACTTCACAAAGCATTTAGCTACAAAAGAAGGCTTTGCCATTGGCTTCCCAAGTTTTGTGCACAGTAATATACTACACTAGATCTTCATGAATCCATTAATGTTTACTCTAAACTTAGCAGTGTTTAATTGTGCCTTGTGTTACACCTATACATTCCATCAATTCTCTTTAAGCAAATTGGCAGTTTCCTCCTTTTATGTAAATACTCTTGATTCAAAGTGTACAGGATATATACTTCTTGTCCATTTTTTTCGAAGGATGACTTGGAAAGGGTGGCGTGGATTTAAGTTGATTTGCACTTAGCATGTTATAAATATGCTAAGCAATAATTTCTAAATAACACCATGGTATTAGTCAGAAGTGACTTTCTAAGGTTCACATGAACGTGTACATTGTGTACTGTGATGTGTTTCACTACTTTGCACAATAAAGTCAGGTTTGGCAAAGTGGAATGATTCTGCTCATGCAAATTAACACTGAACAAACCCATGTCGTAACTGAATGATATGTTTAGATGTTTGCAGGTGAAATATGATGACAAAACCCCCTTGGAAACAGTGTACCTTTTGTAAATATCTTGTTAGAATGTAACTCCTGCTTCAGTCTTAATCAGTCTCTGAAATCAAGCATTTCTTCTGTTTAATAACATACTTCAGATATAGATTATTGGTTCTTGGCACTGTAAAATACACTTGGTCTTGATATAAAATAGAAAAAAAAGTCATCATGAAATCAAGATGAGAAATTAAATTTACATTTAAACAATTTTCCCAGTGTGGTGTGTGATCAATACAGACATGCTGTTTAAGTTTCATTAATCTATTGATTTTTACTCGCACAACATATTTTTTTTAAATTACTGTGATTTAATATCTAAGTCATGTCACACACAAATACATGCTGTAAATAGAGAAAACAGAAGAATGTGGACTACAAAGGAAAAAATGTACACATTAGTACAAACATCCCACAAAGACATTTAAGAAATTTAATCACTGAATAGAGATCCGGATGGTTGCAGAATCTGTTACACTGACGACTTCAAGAGGAAGACTTGGAGTATTCCAGCTTGGTTACAGACTTTTTGTTCTTAGACATTCAGAGAATATTCACATATGGAAGACAAAAAAAAGAGATCTGAATCTAAGACTACACTGTAGTACAATGTACATGTAGTGTGCTCCTTGGAATCCTTCACAAACTTTACAACTGCAAAAAGGACAAGTTAACACCCCACACTCCAAAGAAACAAACTGTCTGTGTTTGTAATTACTGCAGCTTTTGTCTTTTTGCCTCTTTGTGCCATCAGAAAGAGCAGTAACAGTGTTTAAAGTTATCTTAAGATTAAAAATGAGGGATAAAGCTACTGATCAATGTACGTGTAGATGTATCACAAAATAATGTGGGTATGGTCAGCATAAATATCACTCTTGTATATACATGTAATACACTTCAGAGTCAGCAAATTCTGGAAATGTGAAGAAATTATACGTCGACGAATTTAACATTAACGGTACAAGAAAAGGTATGTCAACATAGCTTCAACTCTTGTGTGCACGTGCCAAAAATGTCTCACTTATCAAAAGCTGTACCGCCCCCTAGTTTTTTGGTAGTTTCTTTAGGTAGAAAAAGGCTGGGCAATTTTGTGCAACACAGTTATTTCAGGGGAAACACCGAATGATTTATGACCCAGCTTATGGGACCATTTACTTGAACAAACGACCAGCCAAGAAAAGATGAAACCATTTGTTTCCAAGTCCTGGGCCTTCAGTGCGATCCAAGGGTTAGATCTGTAAGATTTGTCTGCAATCTCAAATTAACCTCACATTACCATACTGAAACTGATGATGAATTGCTGTTTAATTGGTATCCCTTTGAGTGCCTTAATTTTATACGTAATATTCATGGGGATCTGACTGGTTGAAAACGATTTTTAAGCACTCTGATCTATCTGTTAGATAAATGGTTGTTTTTCAAAGAAATATATGTAGGATATCTACCTTTTTTTCAGCATTGTCATAAACTCACGTCAAGTTGATCTAAGTTTGATTTCATTTTGGAATGATCCAAGGATCATTGTGTTGTAACTAAAGGCTGGTTCATACTTTGTGTGAAAGCGAAAACAAATACAAATTTGCAAAAGTTAAACATATTTCAGCTCGAGCAAAATTTTGCTGCAAATTTTTTGTGACGTCAAATTCGTTTTTGCCTGAAGTATGAACTGGCCTCTGGTTGAGTGGTTTTCTCCTTATTTAAAAGCTTTTTTTCTTCAGCCAATATTCCTACTTGTGCTTTATGCTAAGGGGCCGATTTGAAAAGCCAAAACAGGAAAACTAACAATGTACTGGAAGTCGTCATCAGTTTCTTGTACAGCTGTGTTTGGTTGTTTCACAGACATAACTACAGATCTTGGCAAAACACAGGTGTGCATGTCTTATGAGATATTTCAGTTGCCAGTGCAGTTCACAGCTGAAATCATGCATTGTGGGAAAAAAACTCCAGCTATCGGCATTACAGAAACATTCCAAAGACTCAGGCATAGTCAGCATGGAAGTGTTACAAGACCTGGGGTCATTCAAATATGTGAACTGCGCTCTATGTTTGACTTTTGAACATGCAACATGCACAAAATAAGTCCATACAGTTGTTATTGCTTGAGTAATATTACATGGTGCAAATAAATAATCCAATACGGGCGTTTCACAATAGTGTGCCTCCAAGACTTTGCAACATGTTGGTCAATCACACTGCATGGAATATGTCGACCCAGTGCACGTTTGGAAAGGGTCGACAGATTTCATGCGTTGTGATTGGCTAACACGATGCAAACTCTTAGAGGTGCACTATTGTGAATCACCCGTATCAAGTGAAGATTTCATGTAGAGCAATTTAAAACGACTCCTAAAATATATCATGCAAAGACACAATCATGCAGTAGTCTGAGGTGTACATGTTTAATGAAGGAATGATCAGCTTGAAAACTACACAGTACAAAATACATGTGACTTAACTTTCACAATTTCAAAACAATGTCTTCCAAATAAAACTCAAAAACAAAGCATAATATAATTTTGTTCCGAACAGGTTTGCATATTGAAGGGCAGTTTTCAGATATTAAAAACTTAAAAAAATATTTAGCCTCTGTAAAACCATGATTAAGGCTCATTATCTCTGAATTCAGAGTAGCATGATTTTGCTTAATTATTGCAACTTTCTTCTGTACAAAAGTATGAACACAAACTTTACATTTTGTACAGAATTAAACCTTCCGCTAAAAATGATTTAAAACATGCACTGAAATGTCACTCAGGAGTTTCCAATACTCTGCTATACCAAAATGCATTTACAAACTTAGTATGTGCAAACAAAAATAATTTATACACTCTCATCCATGCTATAATACAAACATTAAATAAGTCATGCAAATGATAAATGTTCCCCGTGCATGCTGGAAAGAATGATTTCAGGAACAGTTTTACTCACAACTGAGAACTATAATGATTTAACATACCGGTAATCAAATCTATAAATTCACTGCATCTTAGGAAAACACATCATTGAAGGTTTGAAGGTTCAATCAATTTGTGATTTGAAGTTCATCACTGCTCACAAATATTTGCAAGTGGCTAACCATAAAACGTGATATTTAGAAATTAATGTGCATGGAATGTTAGGGTGTTAGTGTGTTTGCAATGACAGATACTTTAAATACTGATGGAAATTTTTATTTGGCATGCAGAACTAGAATAGCTCCCCAGAACAATATGAATAAATGGACTATCCGACCAACCAGAACTTGATTATGCTGATGAGTTTTCTACAAAACTTACTGGTGCTGTGTTGAAAGTATGATCAAATACAGACATTGTGAACACTGCTTCAAGAAGCTGTCTTTCACTGAGATGGCCAACAAAGAATTTGATCCAAATAATTTCAAACGCAAGCACCAATCTTGGGAAGGTTTCAGCCATATCTTTACTACAATGGTAAAAATGGGCTTTACCAGTGCTCTTGGGTAGAGTTTGGTTTAAAAACACAAAAAAAACCACATCCAGCTACCTCACATGCAAGGTATAAATATATGTTAACCCTTTTCAATAATGAGGGATGAAAACGGCTATAGTGCTCAAGCGGATAGTTTTTTCTTTCACTTCTGCTGTTATGTTGTATCCTGCACAACAAAGACACACGACATGCAATTTGATTTTACCAATGCATTCTGGGGAAGTCATGGACTAAAATGCATGGTATGGGAAAAAATACATGTTCAAAAATTCCAGTTACATGAATTTCTCACTTAACAGCTATAAGCAAGATATTAAATAGTTAACCACCAAAGTTAAATCCAAAGGGAGCCGTCCCCCCCCCGGCCAAAACAAGGACCCCCAAAAATTTGGGAGCAGAAAAAAAATGAGAAAATAAATAAATAAATTCTTTCATTTCTTCTTTCATTTCCCTTCCTTTAAAAAGCATTTAAAAATCCCCCAAAACTCTGGCCTCCCTCAACAATTTGCCCCCCCCCCCCGAAAAAAGGTTCTGGATCCATCCTTGGTTACCACTACACCATGGGTAAGCCAGGCTTGGCCACACACGCATGAACAGACAATGTGCTTTAGGATTATTAAAATGAAGCCTGGGGATACATGCAGATATCTGGCACAACGTGCAGTTTCGCAAGTTTTGTATGAATTTCAGCCATTAATTCACCGCACTCCTTCCACGAAATCAATGCCTTTCAGGGCAGTGACGACCATGGTACCAAGCAGTTTTGCACCACCGCACATGCACACACATTGGCTGCTGAGGATGAAATCTAGTGTGTTTGTTTGGCAGCATCCTGACTGCTGGTCATGCATGAAAGGGGTCATGTTAGTTATTTGCGCCTTGGATAGAGGAAGGCCTAGAACTGGAAGCCAAACGGATCATCGTTCTTCTCTCTGGAGCGAGTTGGGGGTGAGATGGGTGGGGTGTCATCCAGTTCAAAACACTTCAGGTTCTGGTAGGCGTTGGGACCGCCCCTATCCTTAGGGTTTGGCTTCAGCTTTTCGTGGCGCAACCTTGTAAAAGAAGAAAACATCATTTTAATTTTTAGAACTGGGAAGAGTCAGCATTTCTTGAGCTTCATATTTTGGTTTCTATTTACTTAGGTTCTTTATTATATTGACCCAACTCCAATTGTCAAATTGTATTTATCAGCAGTCAGGCAGACTTTGGAAGTTAAATTTCTTGGGGACAGATGAGTTTATTTGCTCTCCTAAGCTCACCTCTTGCCTGTTCCTTTGTTGAAGGGCTTCTGCTTAAGCTCTTTGGCTATCATGTCATCGTCATAATGAAACTCAGTCTTGGATGTATAGGTGCTCACACTGATGATGTCACTCTGGAACAGAACGCGATATTGACAAGATGACATTAAGGCAATATGGTCACGTTTGAATCCTTAAGAGCTGGAAACAGTAGTATAAATGTCAGATACAGAAAAACAATTCGACAAGAACAGTCATTCACTGAGACAGATGATGTGCTCTGTGATCTTTGCCCATTGCTGAGCACAACTATCCATTCATTCATCTCCATGTAATCTTTACCTTCCTTTCTTCTTTCTCCGCCTCCTTCTCCGGAGATTCCTCCCCTCTGTCATCCTGGTCTTCTTCCTCCTCTTCTTCAAAGTCTCCATTGGCCACCTTCAACTCCATCATGGGGTGGCTTGGCATGCTGACGGGATCCACCAGGACATCGTAAGGGACCATGGGGTGGCCAAAGGTGGAAGGGTTGTAGATATCCCAGGGCTGCTGCTGGCCTAAGGTGCCTGGTGGTAGGAAAAAAGAACTTTCCTTAACTGGATTTGTGCATGACCAACTGACCATTTGTGCATGACAAATTAAACACAAGTCTACGGTAGTGATGTCACCCAGTTACTATGGAGTTGTGTGTAATTTAAAGCCACAGCCAAGTGATTCAGACATGGTCATTTGCTATGCAAAAGTCACCAAAGTACCAGTTGAAAGCAGTGTGCACTGAGTGATATTTTGGCTGGCAAACTATGTTTGCCTCACACGATTCTGTGTTCAGCAGGTCCATGAAAAAAGCCCCTTTTTTTTGAATGAGCCCTCTGTGTGTTTCTGCCATTCAGATAAAATAGCATGAGGGTTGCACTAACAATTCACCTGACAGTTTATGGGTCGGACATACTGTGCCATTGATACCATAAGCTTGACATGCCTCACAATCAACAGGTTTGTAAATGCAAAAGTTTCAAGAAAGAGAACGCTAGGCCACCCAGCTCACACATTTTCTTATTGTATTGGTTTATTATCTATTTCCTAGATAATTGTGGCTTGCTCACCTACATAATGCCCTTCTGTTGTCCATAATCTCACCGTGCAATCTAGCGAGGAGGTGATGAGTACATTGTGAGCTTGTATCAGGTTCATGCTGAATTCAAACAAAAAAATAAACAGGAAATTATTTCACCTCAAGTGGGATTTCATTTAATTGGTTAGATGTACAAAGTAAAACATATATCACACTGTGAAAATGGCGCATTAACATGCAACTATCATTTTGTTTAATTCAGTGCTTTGACCATGTTCAGAGCAAGACAGTGACTGTAGATGTTTCAAACCAACACCATTCAGTTGTTACCTTGTTATGCTTTCAATATGAGCTCTCCATGATCCTAGAACTGAAACCCAAGGAAACAAAAACACAAATCAAAAACCACTGTTGTTATTATATCAGCAGTTTTCAAAAAAGCATGGGAAAAAACATGAAACTGAAAGAAAAGCTTCCAATGTCAAAATACACAAAATTACAGGAACGTACCTGGTGGTGGTATATCTTCTTTACCAAACTGACAGTAACCTTCCACATCCCATGCCGTTACAAAACCTGAAAATGTATAAACAACATTATAAGATTCTCAAACTATTCACTTAAATATGCAACACTAAAGCTAAGACACTGTTGTATCACTATCACTGCTGTACTGCTTTGCTTTCACTGAGAAGAGAAGGAATGGTGTAAGTGAACGATAAAGGTGTAAGTGGTAAAGACGTTAAGAAAAAACCTGTCAGACAAAAGAATACTAATTCTACTCTCTTGAATCTTTCAAGTTGCTCTTCAACAGTAAAGCAATGCAGATTCTGCTATCCAAGTGCATGAGCCAATGTTTGTCTTTTTTTAATTTTAAGTTTATTTTTTTAATATTAGTATGAGAATATTCAAGCACTAACCTCTTGAATCTCCAGCAAATAACGTAGAATCGTCATCTGTGAGTTGCATTGTTGTAACTGGAGCACTACTATTTTTAGACTACATGTGAAATGTAACAAATAAAATCAGAATATTATGCTTGGAAGAGTGATTCTCTCAGTTCAAAATGCAGCATCTGGGCTTGTTAGTAACATACAGAAATTCAACAAGATATCACCGGTCTTCTGTCAATTATCTTGGCTGCCAGTGAAATTCCATATACATGTGGATTTGAAATTTCTTCTTTTAGCGTTTAAAGCTCTACACTGTCTGTCCCTAAAGTACCTCAGTGACCTCAGTGACCTTGTTGGTGTCAAGAAGTGACACATCCACTTCTTGTTTACATTGCAATAATAAAGTGTCTTTAGAAAATCCCAAGAGTAGAATGTCAAAAAACCAGGGGTAGATCTGTTTTATATATAGCCACCGAACTATGGAATAAGTTGCCTACTGATTTCCAACAATTGAGGTCCATTGACATTTTTAAGCATAAAGTAAAGACCAATTTTTCTACATTAACTTTTAACTAACTTTATTGTTCATCTTTCAGGGCTGAAAAGTGTGTGTAAACACACCATGTTTAGATTGTCATAGCCCCGGTATTACTGGTTGGGTTACATAAAAGCTTTAAGTTGGAACCTGTTTTAACTGGTTTTTATCCAATTATATTTTTTATGTTTTGGTGTTTGGTTAAGTTTTTGTTATTGTATCGACATATTTTCAAGTAGCTTTACCTTGTAAGTGGTTTTAATTCTCACTTTCAACAGTAAAATTTCTTTGTAATGGATTCATCATTGTTATGGAGACTTTGCAATACAAATTTTAAGTTATTATTATAATCTACGTAAATCAACATTTTGGCACATGAGGGTAATATACAAAAGGATAGGTTAAAAAGAAAATTGAAAATAATGGCAAATATGTTTGTGGAATCAAGCAACATAATGATTCTGGAAAGATTTGACTGTTTGATTGGAATTCAAATTTCATGGCGGTAGGACGACACTGATGTCAATTACCTGTTTAAGAAAATAAGGTCTCACTAAAAGTGCTGAGACTTACAAAACTTATGATGCTTTTGGAAAGTGAAATAAATGAAACTTACTGAACTAAACTGGGCAAAGAGTACTCCACCATTGTAGACATTCCAAAAGTGGATAGAACCTGCATGAAAATCCACATTTCATATAAATAGATCCTCACACTTGAAAATAAGAAATCGGCTTGCAAAGCTTAAGTAACTAATTAAGATTCTTATGACTACTTAGCAAAAAGAGGGAGTCAGTTATGGAATGACTCAATAATCAAAAAATGATCCAAAACTGAAAGGAGAGGTGTAGGTTGAAAATATCTATCCATTATCCACCACTGACAGGACTGAGACTCAAAGAAAGCATGTAACAGCGGAAAAACAAGGGAAGATGCACCCACTGTGTGAGCATGGCCCTAGCTATCCTTACCTCTGGGGCCAGAGGCAATGAGTTGAGCTGCACTTTTGTTGTCCTTTCTGGTTGCCAGGAAGAGAAGCTTGCATATGCTGTTGTCCCCATCCACTGAAAATGAAACAGTGACCTTATTTTGAACTACATGTAAATTTGAAACCGTCTTTTAAAATCAATGAAAACATTTCCAAGTGAAAACTCTTCTGAACTATTTTGATAAAATAGAACCAGATTATAAAGAAAGTTAGTCCCAACTTACATTCTTCTGCCACATAATCCTTAGGAACTGGTGACCTGAGGTGACAGTAGATGTGACCTGATATAATATTCCATACAATGACCTCGCCATCATAACTAGATGTCGCTAGAAGGCTGGGCAGGCACACTGCTACAGACAGAATGTCTTCTCTGTGCCCATCTCTCTACAAACGTAGTGCAGGGAATAAAATCAGTGATTGAAAAAGTAAGGAAAACTGTTTTACAAATAAGTGTTATGTCACAATAATCCAAATATTTCAGTGTCAACTCTGTAAAATGAGAGCTATCTGCTAATGCCTAGCACTTCTTGTACCATGCCATTCTTGACAGCAAAATGTGACTCTACTTCTACATACAGCTTTATGTTCTCATTTTGCCTGCAGTAAACTTTCCCAACACTTTGTGTACAATTTACAAAGCAGAGGCATGCAAAACCAATATACATGAAAATGTACGCACTTAAAATGATTTTCTATAGCATACCAAGTCATCTGTCCATTTTGGCAGTGGATGCTGTACATGTCTAAAGTCCTCCGAGTTATCAGTGTACATGTTGATGTGACGATCCCATCCTACTGAAATGATGAACCGATTCTTGTTCATCTCAATGTAGGTGACGTCAGTGATCTCGTCAAAATCATCCTCTGTCAGACGAATTCAAATCAAAGGAAAAAAAGACAACTGATACTTGTAACTTCTAAGTCAGGTAAAGGGACAATTTGGATGCCAAAAATCCTGCATGGACACTGTGCTAAAATTGTAATCCAAATGCATTTGGATTGGATGTGAATATCAATAACCTTTCAAGTAATGACGCCGTCATATTGCCTCAGAATGTCAGTGTCCAAAACACTGCAAGATAAATGTGACATAATACAAACTTATCAAAATGGAACAACTATTTATACCTCTTTCCAATCTCTTCAAACAGTGCCCGTTGTTGTAATTCCAAATCTTTAGCCTCCCATCTCGCCCTCCTGTTATAAGTCTGCGATTGGAGGTGTCAAAGGTCATAGCAGTTATGGCACTATTGTCATGGGCTTGGGAGAATTCAAAGACGGCATTGCCAGTTTCAAAATCCCAAATCTTGACAACCTAGGGAGGGAAAAGATAAATATGACAGGAACATTAAAAACACAAAAAACACTCATTTATTAAACAAACTTGTAATATTATTCATTACCAGCAAATGCAAGCCAATATTTTCTATCCATTAATATAATGTTCAACAAAAAGTACTGATAGTATCTAGAAAACAAGAAAATAAAGACAAGTTCAAATGGCCTGAATTCTTCCAAAAATTGCAAAAGATAAGCAAATGTCCCAAAATGCTTGAATTCAGTGCCAGAGATATCATGCTACTCAAAGTTTAAGGTCTAGCGAATTTACATTTACCTTTCATTGTGAGATGATCTGAATACAATTAAGATTCTTAAAATTCCCCCTTATGGTGGACATAGTGCACTGATCCAGATATTGAATGGGGAGTGTGCTGGTATTGTCCTTTGTTACCTTCTCTGCTGGTTGTGCATCTATTTAGATATTTCCATCCCTAATGGACAGATGCAGAGAAAATTGATTGGCTCCACTCTCTGCTTTCTAATCCCCCATCTTCCATAACAACACGGGTACACAGGTGGTGAACCGGTTTCCAAGAAGCGTTTATTGGTTAATTGGGATGTCAACCATTGGGATGTCAATGCTTGTCAGGACACAAAGACAGCTTTTCTAAGCAGATTAATGCTGACATATAACAAGGAGGGGATGAAACCAGCCAACCAGGATCAATAAAGCACTATGTTTTGGTCCATGATGAGTTGGAAGCAAACCACTTGAGACAGAACTATAAATAGACACTGTTCTCTATCTGCATCACTATCATTTAGAGTGATACACTCATGTGAATGTAATCTCTATAGCCTTGGGATGGTAGACAACAGAGATTAATATTGGAATTACACACTTAAAGAATTTCATGGGAAAAAAAGTCTTGTACTTTTCAACTACTGCACATGCATATCAACCAGGCAAATTGCAAACTGAAACTGAACATTATAACTGAAAAAAATTTCTTCGCAGGTTACCATTCAGTCAGCCTGTCATGCACTAAAAGTAATGTTGCTTCATTTGCAACTATAAGTTATGAACTTCAAGTTCAAACAAGTTTAAAAAGGTGCGAGGCATGAGCAAATCTGGTAACTGGGGCTAAGGGCTTCACTATCAAGTAGGTGACACTGAAGACATCCTACAAAGCTTACCGATCCATCTGAGCAGCTAACAATGTGCTTGAAGCTGGGGTTGAATTTGGCACACTGGACTGGTTCCTTGTGTGAGTAGGCAACTTCGCCATTCTGTTGTGTACGACTGCATGACGGGTGAGAAACCAAACAGGGACCACACCTTTATAATAATGGGTTACTGCACCCTTCAAATAACTATTGACATTTTAAAGTATTTAATTGATATTATTTATATTATTTGGAATGGACAGTGACAAAACAAAGTGGATAGACAAGAACAGAGGTTCAAAATATCTCCACTCTAGCATCTACCATTTCCAATAATTTCTTGAAAAGAATAGAGCTTACTTTGATCTGTGACTAAGCAGGGCCATCTGATCAGTTGCTATGGCAAACCCCTTAGCAACCCTGTTGTAATGGCAGGCCTGTAGATCTCCTCTGACTTTGTGCGTCTTTGGGCGGATTGTCAGCATGCACACCTGGTCCTTGATATCCCAGACCTAAACATGGCAAGGATACATACTTGACATAAGAATTGATGATAACACATGGACAGTTTATGTAACCCTTCAAATAAGTTATCGGGTAGCTCTGTGTCACGAGCCACATTGCCAAGCTTGGTGTAGTAAATATACAAGACCTGCCCTTACTCCATTTCTTAAATTCTGCTGGACAGGAATGAATTTTCATTCTTTGAACATACTGCACACGTACATGTACAGTACATGTTAATAGGGGCATGTGTGACAAAAAACTTTTCCTTGGAATTTTGACTCTGACAATCCCATTTACATACAACTTCTACAGCTTAGAAATTTTTTCACCATTTTCCCCCATGAAACAACTGGGAGTGTCTGATGGACAGCCATGGTTGACTGATTACTCAAGGAAAAGACAAGACTGTAAGGCAAATCACTAATTCAATTATCCAGTGGTCAGTCAAGCCATTACCTAAGCCATTACCACTAATTCAATTATCCAGTGGCCAGTCAAGCCATTACCCAATGTTGACTTAGCAATGAGGCTCAACTACAGGGGTGTCACCCACACTGCAGTTGACAGCAACACCAGTCTGCACAGAGGGTGGTAAGATTGTGTATCCTGGTTGATTTACATGGCTCTAAATTGTTTCCAAAGGAGAAAAAGTGCCAGTAGTTTTGAGGACTATTTGAAAAGTCGGGCAGTTATCTGTACCCTGGAGAAAAGTGTTCCTTGGGAATGTAAATGAACATCCTTTCATCTTTTAAAATTGGTCTTGTCATGGCTGTCACCATAACTAATATTGCATTAATTGATGTAAGCATGCAAACAGATTGGCGACAGATTTTCAAATATCCTATTTAATTTATTAAATAATCTAATAATTTTACAGGCTCTTATAAAGTGAATTTACAGGTAGCATGACACATGTACATTGTAGTTCTGTGTTCACACACTATACATTTAGTAACTATGATTCATTGCATAGTGTATTAGCACTCAAGTTTCTAAATGTAGCTCCATCATGTCACTGTATTGTCTTTTTTATAGAAAAATGCTTTTCAAAAATCTCCAATAAATGTCACCCTACCTTGATGGTTTTGTCTTGTGATATGCTGTATATTCTATTCTCATCAGGCGCAATGAAGAGAGCGAAGATAGGTGCATTGTGGCCCCTCAACATACCAGTTGGCTTACTGAAATATTCAAATATATACTCATTTCAAATGAGGCAAAGCTCTTTTTAAACAAATTTCTCCAGTGTCTGACAAGAAAATGACAAACACTAAAAACTGTAACCATTGCTCAAACCTTTGGTAGGAAGTTGAGAATGCCAATATCACAAATTAATGAATGAAATAAAATGTTATGTTAGATCATGGGTATAACTGGAGAGAGTGATGTCCCACAAGTATCTTACAATGTAGATGTAGATGCATTCATAATTCATCAGGTTGCTGTATCCAGGACCACAGCTTAGCATGACATGATTGAAAAACAGCAAAGAATTACCTGCATAGTAAGGCCTACACACACATAAGAGTTACCATCATGCATATCCAAGGCATCAATGACATACAAAAATCCAAACTCAATGTCTCAGGCAGACGAAACCTAGTTTTTCAGCTGCTTTAGACCACAACTGAAAGTATCCAGGACTCTAGGAAAAGTCTGCTTCTGGCACAACAGGACTGGGTTATACCATTCTTTGGCCAAAAGGGTGAGGAAGTATTGATTACATGGACAATACAACAGCACTGGAAAATCAACTTTCTTTCCAAACTCACTTGATCAACTCTTTGGCTCCAGAAATAGTGAGTCTCCCAAATTATACATCAATTTTGGTTTTATTTGTACTTCTTATTCTAGCTATGATTTTGATTTTACCCCTTCTCAACATGGTAGCAACCTGGAGGACACCAAGTAACACTAAGTAACTTTATTTTTGGATGTGCACCAAGCCCTATCGATAACCCATCAATTGTGGAACAAGAGAGGAGAGCAGTGAGACTAAATTGATTCTTTTGTGGCCTGCAAGGTGTATTGATTTTTTCCCATTCTTTCCTTTGCATCGGGGCCCCATCTTGAAAAAAGTTGCAACAGACGAGTTGCTTGGAGACATGCTCGAAACCACACCACAGAGATTACTCTGGGATGCTGTGAAGATTATTGGATTTCTGCTAGAGACATGCTGAACAACAAAAAGAACATCAGCATGAGATGGCAATTAAACTTTCAGAGCATGGCACAACAGGCTAATGGCGGGCTTGAGCTCGGCTGAAAGCACAAAAGGGCTGAAAATCGGCATAAGCGGATTATTGTAAGACAAGCTTTTAACAGATAAGAATTCAAGGGACAAGGTGCTGCTTCACACATCTGTATCCACACCCAGTTTGCTGAGCTAAACGGATCAACTGTGGTTGGCCACTGAACACTCTCAATTCAAAATCTATAGAGGGAGCTATTTTATGAAACTAGAGCTGTTAATAGGGAGAGTTGCAGCATGAGCATCTCAATTACTAGAACCAAAATGGTGGATTATGCATTAGTGCACATGGACAATTAGCACACAATAGCTGCATGTTGTACTGCACGTATAATGAACAGCCATTTTCATTGGCGCTACTATCTCTTTATACCGGTACAGGGCCCAATTTCATGGTGTTGCTTACTGCAAGCAAAAAATCGGTGCTTACTGTAGCAGAAAATTCCGTGCTTATGGCAAACGTATTTCATGGGTTAGCGAGGAATTTTGGCTTGTGCACATGCGTACATCCCGTAACTAAGGATTCTGTGCTTAAAAGGTTAGCACAGAATTTTCTGCTACCACGGTTAGCGCAGAATGGAGATCATAAGTGCGTAATTCTGCGGTAAGCAGCGCCATGAAATTGGGCCCAGCTCTGTATCATTTTAAACCACAAACCATTATTTTAAAATTGTTAATTTAAAATTAGGTCTGAAGTCACCTTCCTTAATAATGGTTATCAGGGTAAGTTTGGCATACTTATTTATTAAATAAAATTCCTCTTGAAAGTATTGATCTTTTTGCAAGTGAAGGTATGTGTTTAAGAGTTGAATACTTCTCCGCCTTCTAGAGGTGGATATAGGCTATATTCTAATGGGCTGGTCCTTTATCAACTCGAACACCTGACCTCCTACAAACATATATGAGGACCGATGACAGTCTTTGCATGAGCTTCTCAAACAATATGGATGCAGTGCCCATTTTCGATTATACCTACCCTCTAAACCCGCTGAAGTTCACCTAAATCAGAGGTCTCAAAGATATACCCCCTGGCTGTCTCAGACTACATGTACATCTAAATGCCATATTGAGGCTATGGTCAGGGTGGAGCATATCCCAATCAAGGAGCTGGAGCAAGCCATAACACAGACGCCTATTGGATGTGGCTGCAGAGACTAGAGACTTTCATTAGTACATATTATTTCTAGTCATAGCAATAACTTTCAGACACAGCTAATGACTATCGTGAGTACATTACAGGGCACCCTCATCAGTCCCTACAATGAGGCTAATGGCTGTTTTACATTCTGAACTGGAGTTGTTAACAAAAATCCTTCCAAAATCTTCCAGTTCAAAACTCACCTTGGTACATACGGATTCCACATGCGCACGATTCTGTCCATGCCCCCTGTAATGATCAAGTTCTTCTCCTTGCAGAAGTCGAAGATTTTCACCCCTTTATGTATACGGAAGGTGGTCTGGTCAGCCTCCAGCCGCCGCTTGGCATTTGCATAGTTCTGTTGGGCCAGTTTCATCTTCTTGTCGGCAGCATCAGGGAAGTTGGAATGTTCCTTGATTTCTTTCAGTTGAGCTTCTACATGCGTACTACCAGTTGTGCAACCTGACAAGTCAAGAGAACGGCAGTTGTACTTTTAGAAGTTGCTCTCAGCTTATGAACAAAGACAAGGATGGAGAAGAGTGTTCAGTTCACATTCCTTTTCGTTCATCATGACACATTCATTTTTTTCAAACTCTGAATGATGCTATTTTCTATACCTATGACTAGAGCTGTGCTTTCGTTGTTTGAGCAGGAGATGATGGACCGAATCTCGTCATAGTATCTGAGCTCAGCCACCCAGTCATTGTGGACCTTCCATCGGACAAAGCGTGTCAGGGGGGAGTGGGCCACCTTTTCCAGGGTCACGCTGGCTATGCCTTCTGTCTTGGGCATCTTCTTCCAAGTTCTACAAAAAAGTCAGAAATGAATCTGTTGAAATGGAGTGATTTTAGGCATTTGCACATTTGAGCACAAGGCTAAGGCTATGTTTGCCGATGGCCAAGTTTGTTTTTTCAGGTATTTGTTTGGGAGCAAATGTTCAGTTTACGTATGCAAGGGGTTGATTATTAGGTGCAAAATCCACTGCCTATTTAAAATTTCAACAATTGATGTCTGCATTACCCACCTTAATGTTTCTCCCGTGCCATTGATAATGATGATGTTGATACAGCCTTCAGAGTCTCCATACATGATCAGGCATTCATCATAGCCAGTGGCACTGCAAGATATCATTCAATCAATACTCAATTTACTACAAAACATCACCTGCTCCTTTTTAAGAGTACACGAGTCCAATTTAACAAGTTGCTCAGCAAAAATATGTCAGGTGAAATTTCAGCTTTAAAAAAATTGAGTGTCTTGCTTTGCCATTTGGTTTTATGTACTGCATTTGAAGGATCACTATCTTAGCCTATTTGTCAATGTTTGCCTTTTCATCTGAATGACTAAATTGTGGCCAGACCCGTTTACAAATGTACCTCTATGGCAAGAGCCTCAAGCTTTCTCAATAATGCACTTGTTTGGTAGAAATATTTGAGGAAGAAAACATTGAGACACAACTATAGAACAGCAAGTCAGTTATGGTCAACTTCTTGAATTTGTTTGCTTATTGGAAATTCAAGCGTTTTAGTTGAATTGCACTTTGCCAACTTGCTAAAGAAATATGTGATGCATTACATTTTTGAAGTGGGAAGACAGAGCACTTAAAAAGCTCACATTTAATTTACAGTAGTCAGATGAGTACAAATGATCTGATATGTTATAATCCCAATTACCAGTATGTTATTTTCAATGGTGTGGTCTCCAGGCCCGTGACTTGACAATAGGGTTCAAAGGTCGACAGCTCATAAAACTGTATTTCCCGATCACTGCATAAAAAGGAAAGATATTAAAGAATAATAAACTACATGTTTTATTTGCCAAATCATAGTCCAGATGAAATGCTTGTTTGATCTTCTCTTGGCTGGGTGATCCATACAAGCTTGTTAGTTTTATTAACCGTGGTTTTGGTGATCCAAAGTTTAATGGAACACATGTTCAGTCCTTTAAGATGGCTTTTATAGCAAGAATAATGACAACATTCCTGGAATTTGAAATTCATCATTCGATATCACAAAAATTCACACACACATTGAGTGACATAAAACACATTTGGGGAGACTTTCTACAGAATGGGTTTTGCCATATATCAAACAGCTCTTCAACCCCGAATTTACAGAGCTATCTAAATAGCTCAGTACTTTTGGTGTCCAACTGAAATCACTGAAACCAAGATGGGATATCCATTAACCACCTGTACATCACACAGACACATATTGTAGGCATACATGAGGGTTTAACAAACACTTGCTGGCCAGGTTGTAATTTTCTCTGCATTATGTTGAGATGAAACTGCTTTTGCAAATTAACTACGATGCTCAATATTGTTTGTTTATATATTCATGCTCTGCTTTTGCGCCTTGGCAAATCGCAGTATTCAGAATTAACTTTTCCTGTACAGCAGCCTAACTTTCATGTCAAGAATTCACTGGCAGTGCATGCCTGACTTTTTCACTTACCCAGTGCCTAAGATGAATTTGTTGTACTGTGGCATCAAGACAAAATCTGTCACCCACTTGGGCTTCTGTCTGGTAGCATTTTGCTCCGTCTGAAAATATTGTGAAGGGCAAATAAAGTTATTCTCTGTTTTCATTTATTTATCTATTTATTTCTCAGTCATGAACAGCCAGGTCTTTGAAGTAAATTTTATCACTGCAATAGCCAAGGACACGTTCAGACAAGGAAATGAAGGAAAATGTAGGAAGGGCCTGAACATCCAATTCTATAGAAAATCTACGATTAATAATATAGGACACAGGACAACTTCCATTTCCTACCATGACAGATTTTGTTCTCTTCAGTTCCATATTTCCATTCCAGAAGGATATTGTGCCATCCTGAGAAAGGCAAATAAAACAAATAAAACAAATGACTTCTTTGTTCTCATCACATCTGAATAAATCCAACAAGTGAGCACTTTCAGTTACTTTATAGTCATTTTGTAGTCTTTCTTTTCTTCCCCTTTTGGTCTTACCCTGTCCCCTGATGTGCATCCTATGGAATAGTATCAGACGTACCTGACTTGTTGCCACAAATGTTCCATCGGACATATTAGTGATGCGTAGTACAGGCTCCCTATGTGGCATGTTTTCTAGGTTTGCTGGCGTATGTATTTCGACATCCTTCTGTCTCCGATAGGCGTCCTCCTTCTCTTCATACTCCAGCTGCATGTAGGTACAGAACTGATCCTGCTCGAAGCAAAAGTAATAAAGTGCAGAATTTTTCCACGGCGTTAAATTTTAGTTGGGTGGCAGGCACAATGTGAGCACAGAGTGCAAAAAACTTTTTACGGGCATGACATTTTGCTGGGCAGTGTGCCTTACTAAAATCTCTCCTGGAGAACACTGGGCAGGAATTGAAAAAATCTGTAACACAAAAAAATGCTGAAGATAGCAAAAGTGTACATTTTGTAGGTAACAAAAACACACCAGAAATTGCTAGACCTACCTTCAACTGTCATCACTTTCTAATTTTCTTGAACACAACAGATCAGCAGCCAATTACACTTTTTGGTCAAACAACTTAAGCACCAAGGAAAATTACGGCTGCACTCACCCATTCTATGTAGCCTTCTGAGTTGGAATCAATTTTCATGAATAATGCTGTAATTTGTTCATCATTCTGAGAAAAAAAATTCAAGGAAATTACATTAATAAGTAATGGGGTCCAGAAAAATAAGGCAAAAAGTTTTTGCTTCAAGTGTATGAATACAGGGAAGTCAGATAAAAATCTAGGAGACACAGAAAAAAAGAGAGAAAAATATGAAACCAAAACAAGCGATGTTCTTTGCTTAATCAAAGGATACAAAAGTTTCATGAAGGCACTTTCAGAAGAAATTTTACAATTTTTTTCACATCATCAAATACACAGAGATTACTTGAAAGAAGGTAGGATACAACTGAGAATGAACTTCGGCAGTTTTAGTTTTAAAAATTGAGATGGTGACTTACCCTCCCTCTTAGCCCCAAAGAACTGCGAATGACACTTTTGAACTGGTCAAGAGTCAGGGTGCCTGAGTTCTCCGTGTCTACAGTCTATAGAATATGAAATTTGACAAATATTGTGACAGCAATCAGTTGCATGAATACTTGTACAGAATACATACATTTCTTAGGCTTCCTGAGGACGAGAACAAATTTGCCGTTAACAATTTTGCAATTACAACTCACCTCAAAGGAGTGCTTGAGCTTGTTTAGATGTTCCAGATTTATACGCTCCTCAATCTGCCGGGAGAAAAAAAAACCAGTTACTTCCAGCCTGCAACCTTTCATTACCAGTTCCTGGCAAGATAAAACTTCATCAGGTTTCATGACAAAATTCATTCAGTAAAGTTACTGATAACAGATTAATTTGGTGTGATTAATTCTCACCCGTAAATGCCCAGTTAAGTGGCGCTTCTTAAGAGGCATCTTGCACTGAGCGACACCAGAAAAAAACACTCACAATCATACCTAATGGAGACGTGCCAAGTTACACTGCTATCCAAAATGCCAAATGCAAATACGTTTTAATGAAGGGTCGGGTTTTTATAGCAAGACCAAAACTGGTGGCAGTGGCATTGCAGCTTCTATTTGTATGGCAAACATGACAACATTGGTGTTTAAAAATAGGAAAAAAATATCAATCAAATTATGGCCTACAGCATTCCAAATTTCCGTTGCTATGCCATGTTTTATAGCTTCATTAAAATCGTCTGCTATAGAGGAGATATTATATTCTGTATCACAGGAAATACGGTTTGTTTTATATTCCCTCCTGGGATATCGTCCACACAGGACTTATTATTGATCCCCGTCGTCTCTCCATAAAACCTTCCACAGGCACAAAAGGAAGGGAAATTAAACAACACAGTTATTCCTTTCATTCTTTTTTTAGTGCACCGTAGAGGAAATTGCAACATCTGCTTTGACATCAAAGTGGTGTCACCCTGGCAACTGGTGGTGACTTTAACAACAAATTGGCGATAGGGTTGACAATGGCAGCTGTATAAATGTGTGAACTGCCCCTGCTCAACGATTTGGAGGCTGCAAGGAGACCGGGACTGGTGGCTAGCATTTCAGAGGAAAACTAGTACGGCAAAGCCGCCAAGGCTCGCTGCTTGTTATAAGTTTGAATTTCTTTCCTGCAATAACAGGAAAGAAAGAGACATTCAACTTATATGGTTACTAAATTAAACAAGAAAATACTAACCAAGCTTCACCAAACCTTTTACAACATTGGTTGACATACGACTGCAATACAGATGTACAAGATATTTTATCGACCTTAGCAATAAAATTCATTGTACTCTAGGAGAAAAAAACCTAGACAGTGCTGTGTGCAGACCGTGCATTGAAAGGCGCCTGTCATTTAAAAGTTAATCAACAAAGACCACCAACTAGGGAGATAAGGTACAAAGGCTTTACAGTTCTTACAGGAGAGAGGAACGCCTATAGAATGTGGGTCCAGTACAGTCAGACTAGACCTGGATGATTAAATAAGAAGTGTATTTGTGAGTTTGATGGATGGTGCATAATTAAAAGTACAGTTCTGCACTTTGTATCCAACCCCATCAACCAATCCTCTACAATTCTACCCCTATCATCCATATCCCAACATCCCATCTACCACATGTCTACTTTGACTCCACCCCTAATACCATCTATCTCCAATCTTTCCATCCATATCCTACTCCACCCATCATTCTATCCATCTCCTACTTTGCCCCCTTCCCATCATTCTATCCATCTCTTACTCTGCCCCTCCCCATCATCCTACCCATTTCCAACTCCGCCCCCTCCCCATCATCCTACCCATATCCTACTTTTTCCCCTCCCCATCATTCTACCCATCTCCTACTCTGCCCCCTCCCCATCATTCCCTTCACTTCTCATTCTGGCTGTCCCATCATCTCACTAATCCAGCCCAACCATTACGCCAACCTTATCCAGCATTTCATCCACTTTCTACATACGTGCACTTTGTCCCCATGATCCGCCTCCTACAGGTACCCCTCCCTGAACCAATATCCTAATCTGTCATTTGGAATCCCCTCCATCCCTTATATTTTCCCCACATACTGTACATGTACATTTGTATGTGTCTAAACACTGTCTATACATACACACATGTACATTACAGGAGGGCACAGTACATACATGTATGTACTACAGGGTGAGTACACAATACAACTCAAAACTTTAACATTCAACTTTTATTATTTTATAAAATTCATAAGTTTCTAAGCATTAATGCCAAATAAGACTATTTAAATACTGATGGCATTCCAAGAAGGAGCAAACAAGCACTTAGTGGCACATTTTAACACCTATGGACCTGCAAGAAAAAACTTTAACATTTGAGGGCGGACTGCCGGACAGCCAGACGGACGGAGGGACAGAAGACGGAAATCGGTATTACGTAGGCTCGCACTTGTTTCACAGCTCGCCAAAAATCAGAAAGATTCTCCCCCCCCAAAAAAAAAAACCTAAAAGGAAAAATCAGATATATTTCAGTTGCCAACTGGACTTACGGAAGTGATTTCTGAGCTCAGATCACAATAAACAACTGGTCAAACTTGATCAATACTTTAGAGGTCAACAGTGTACTAAAGACAGACCTAGAGTTAGCCAATGTTTCTGTGGAAACAGAAAATTGGCAATGGATAATTTATACACCGGCCAGAAATCTACTGTAACTATGACATTATAATGCAAATCTGTAGCTTACTTGCAGTGACTCTAAAATTAACAAGCTGCCAGTAACATTGAGAATCTGACGGTACATGTACTCACCAATTCTGTAAGTGCTACCAGGCCTGAAGAGTCCAGCTCAAATAAATCCATCACAAAGCCAAAAAAACTGATATAAGAAATACCCGAAGATGGCATGATTTTTCAAAGGAATCAGGAAAAAGGAAAAAAAACACTACTGACCACACTGAGGCAACTGCATGTACCAGTCTGCAACCTGGCCAAAATATTCTCAGCTTTATACTGTGGCAAAATCATTCACATCCCAGTGGGCATAATTCAGAATCTATTGAACCATTAATCACGCATAATTTAATTAACTGTTTAATCAAAGGTCCAAATGATGATTGATGTACATGCACACTCATGCAATTGCCCTTGAAGCAAACCTCCCTGGTGACTATAATGTTCTAAATTGTTCCAGCCTCCTCCAAAAAGGAATCAGTGTCCTTTATTAATTGGCCTAGCTTACAGGTCTCTTATCAATGGTGTTTAACTCTGCTGGTTCGTGAAAGGGTTCTGTCAAGAACCTTTTCAATGATTTACTAAGCCTGGAATATAAATATACACTGTTGAAGTTTTGACTGAGTAAATAAGTCTTAACTAAGAACCATAATGAAGTTGTCACAGTCAAGAGGCACTGCCTCCGTTCTGTGTTCAATCCACAATTTAAAAATGAAGAGGAATCAAACTTCAATTCCTGCATCCGCAAGAAAAAATGGGAACAATTATTATAACAGCAGAAACTTTAGAAAATCAAAGAATTCATTAAAACACGTTGGTCAGGTAGTGGTGTGTTCTGGGAGGATAGGTCCATCTTACTGCAACCCCACAACCTAGGCTTACAATAGTCCCATTTTCAAAATGAAGTCAGGTGACGCACACTGAGCAAAGGTACCTGGGTTTCAGCATGCTGTGTGCCAAGAGGACAACAACCTTCCAAACCATGATATTTTAATATCAAGAAAATAACCTAGGACAGTTCAAAGGACAACAAGTAATTGTTGGACTTTCTAATTTTGCAAGCTACAAGTTGTTAGGTACAGCTAACTCTAATGCCAGTTGCATTTTGTTTACTTATTTCTTGAATACTTTTGACAATTTCTATGACGACGATCAACGATTTACACTGGGCAAACATATCCACTGTTGACTCAATACGCTGATGGGTAGAAATCAATATCTACATCTACAGAGGTCACTCAGACACAAGACACTGAAAGGAGAATAAAAGCGAATAAACACATTGACTTTTGAAACTCTAAACCAATGCAGCCAAGTCCATCATATCAAGTAGCGCTGATTGGAAATACATGTAAGTTCAGAATGTTTCCTCACAGCATGGGCTGTAGATCCATATCACCAATAATTCTCTGGAGACAGTTAAAGGGAATAAATAAAGTCCCATGATAAAAACGTTTGCCTTTTCCAAACAACAAGCCAACACATCATCCAGTAAAAAATATTGTGAGCAACAGAGGGTGAATTAGACACAAAAGTATTTTGACATAGTGGCTTTCAATCAGCCAAGTAAATTTACAAAGTATCAATAAAAGTAGCATGAACTGAAATTAGTGTGCACAATATTTGCTCAACCATTTTTCACTTACATGTATGTGTATGTATACACCAATTAGTATTAGATTATTCAAACTCAAGTATCTGCAGGATTTTGGAATGGTTGCTGATAAAATTCTTGACTTTGCACTCACATGTTTTTTAATCCAAGCATACAAACTTTGGTTCAATTAAACATGGTAAACTCTTGCAAAATCACAAATGGCAGAATGGAATTCCAGAGAATCAGGATGGTGCCTAATATTTTGTGGTGGTATTCCACTAGACTTAAAAAACTGCTGTTTTTACCATTCCATTTCACATCTATTTCCGTGACCTGTCCCCCCCCCACACACACACACACCTGGAGGGCTAGAGGTGGCTATTGAAAGTGTGGTAAATTAGGTAGCACAGTGACTACCCAGAGAGCCAGGTTTCTTCTGTATGGGGAATTCAGATTGACCAAGCATTGACAATAATCCATTGATCACGGTCAGTTCATCAGGTGTACTGTATGTAAAATCGTATTGAAATTGGAGGATTTGGGGCTGTTAGGGTTAATATGCTGTTGCCCTGCTACAACAAAAAAGCCATTACAAAGTGCATAACATCTACATGTATGTGGACAATCACAAACAGTTTGAAACTTCTTTACTGCCAAATATTTGCTTCAATTTCAATCTTGTCCACCAAGGTTTAAGCTTTGGGGTTAAATGTTGATTGATTGTATGCATTTATATAAAGTGCTGAAGATAATCTTTGAGCAAATAAAAACAGTCTGGCGCTGTCCTGTCAACTCAAAATCCCTGTTTCATTGCTCAAACAACTGTCAGTGAGTAACCTGTTACATCTCATCTATTTGTATTGACTGATTTATGTACTTTGCTCTGTATTCACAAATAAATAAGCCTATCCAGGTAACTTGGCATTGTTTGTCTTTGTTTTTACAATATCCAATCCCAAAATACCTTTCTTTTCGCACAGGGTTGTCTAAGCTACAAAATAGAAACTCACTAATATCTATACACCAATTACTGTCAAATGTAAGTTCCATATATCTAGTTTGTGCATTATGAAATCCGATCCATTAAGGTACACAGTGATAATGAAAAATGTGCCACACTAGGAAATTCAAAGCCCAACCGAGTAAAATTGCAACTCCCCAGAAAGATTGATGTCCTATTTCAGTCTTTCTGATTCCCTGTTTTCTCTCTCTTTTTTTCCACATGAAGGTTGAAGAAATGCTGGAAAAGTGTTTTATTTATAGAAGGGAGGGAATGAGAGAACACCCTGCTAATTCCTAACTCCTGAATGCTAAAGAAACAAGGCCGCTTCAACAAGTCTCTGTATATCTCATGATTTTGCAGTCTTTGCTGAAACCTTGCAAGTACATGTGTCGCACACAATGATTGCTCTCCTCTACGACTCACCGTCCTTTATCTCCAGGAGAAAAATTAAGCCTAATTATTGGACATAACTTTTCAAACAAGTGCAAATGAAAGAAGTGACCTACAAAGGTGAACAAGAGACTCTACACCAGCAATCAACTTTCACACATGTTAATTGACAGCATGTTGCTTGATTGAATTTTGAACAAAATTTTTCAAGTTCAATTTCAGCACTGATCATGACTTACAATGAAGATCTTGAACATGTTTCGGAAACACCACATCCTTCCCATACTGTTCCTAATCGATGCTATATTAGAAAGCAAGACTCGTCACAGAAACATGTCGTTCGCTCTCTGAAAATCATGTGGACTGATCAGCAAACTGAGCTTCCCAGAACGTGAACTCAACAGCAGCTTCAGTATTATCGCTTGTCATCGCAGTTGGGACACACAGGGTGAAGCGATTCAGACCATTCTCCTCTATAGTAACTATTTCAACAACAATATCTATCGAACACAGGATCACCACAAATGACAAAAAGAGCTCCCATAAAATCCTTGGCTTCACCATCATGCAGGATTAAACCATGACTGGTGCCGCTGCTGGTACTAGTGGGTTTTGTTGTGTGGCAATCCGGGAGCACTTCTGCTACAGAGTGAAGGCCAGGCTTCTATGGCTGCTGCCATCCTACAACAATAAGTTGACTCTATTTAGGAGATTGTTGTCACGTTGCTAAAGGTTCCGAAAGCAAACTAGTCAACCATACCGACAAAACCCTGTGGGGGCAAGCTTGAATACCTCTCTACATGTACACCCAGCAAGTCCACTTTGTGGTCAAGCAAAAAAAAAGTTAACTGAAAGCCTGACGTGAGAATTTCTTACCAACACTTGCTTTATCTGAGTATGTGACAGGAGCTAAATTAGGCCAGTAACCCAAAATGCATGCTTAACTTTCTGTAATCCAAGGGCCAATTCTTTCCAGAAAAAACCACACTGAATGAAGAATGGCCTCATGACTGTTTTCGTTTTGGAAAGAGAGCAAAAATGGGTGTGATGGCTTTAACAATAAATGTAAAGCCAACCATGACATCTTCAGTCAAAGATTGGAAGGTGTGACATTTGGATTCCAGGAGTCTTCCAAAATACTGTGTACAAAGTTTGTTAGGATGATAAATTGTCAAATCCAATTTTATGAATGCCAATTCACAATAGGAAATGCAATAAATGAATTATGAATGAATTATGAATGAATTATGAATGAATTATGAATCATTATAAATGAATAATTGCATTATTCTGGATGCCATCCAAAACAGAGTGGAAAAACTTAAGTTCAAGGTGGCTATTTGATGATTTACTGCCATGGTCTTCTTAATTTGCTGACTTGAAACTGGGCATACAAGCTTTTAAATCATTTATTCAGGATAAAAACAGTGAAATTGTTACCAGTTAAAAGAATTTGTGGAACTATATTTAGTAGCAATCAAGTGCATTATATTTACATTTTGCTTACATCATGGAACAAGGAATCAAGAGATCCAGAACTGTCAAAGATCTGGAACTGTTGCACCCATGTACCTACACGTATAATTTATTTCCCAATCCCCCCCCCCATGTCTTAAGTTTGGTTATGGTTTTCCTTTTAGCTTTTAGCTTCCTTTTAGGTACATTTTCCTTTTAGCTCAATTGCAGAATACCCCGCCACCCCGCATGATCAACCTCATAGCCAGGAACAGGTCAAAGTGTCACATTCTTCTCACAGGATTTTCATCTTGTACCCACATAACCAGTCATTCCAGGGGTCGTTTTTTAGAGTGGCAGGGTATTCTGCAATTACTCCTTATATTTCGTATTAATTTTTTTTCCTTTTAAAGTAAACATTTTTACCATTGGCACTACTACTGTACCGGTACAGGAATGGGATGCTCCAGGATTGGGAAACTGTCATTCTGTGAAATGACAGACATATTTCGAGGGGGGGGCAGAGAGCAGCAAAATTTGATTGGTTTATCTTATAGGCCTAGTGTGAATTTTCCTAAAAACACCACGAAGGGGATGGAGTCAAGAAAATTTTTCTGAGACAACATATTTAAAGCCGAATTCTGGAGGCTACATGTGATGAAAAATTCTTTTCTCTAATAAAGTGTAACAAATTGTATGTTCATGTACCTTGGTAACTGGTGCAGAATGTGCAGTTTGTCGTGACCTTGTGATCGCTGAGTCTGCCTTCTCGGCCAGTCCGTCCACAACACCCAAGGTCAGTCTCCTGACCTGGGTCTCAATCTTGGGGATGTCATCGTTCACCCTGGTCCCCCAGGCCGAGGTAGTCTGCGACACCTGTCCGCGGGAGCTGGACGGTGTGAAGCCCGCGTGGCCCAGCCCGCGTGACCCGGCCGCCGCGGTGGCCGGACGGGTCTCTTCCAGCACGTTGGGTGTTCCGCGAGACTGCAGCTTGGCCTGAGCTGAGGTTGGCCGGATCGGTTTACCCATTCGTCGACCCGGCGTGACGGCTCTTTTCCTCGCATCGTTGTCATTTTCAATGGCTTCCAGCAGCACTTTCTCACTACTTGTAGGGCGACAGTGGGGCATATTGACCAAACCTGACGGCCCCCACTTACCAGAACTAAACACACCACCGAAGAAACGATCGCTCAAACCTTTATATTCCTCGGAGCTCAGCAACCTAACCCGATTCACACAGAATAACGAGAGTAATTGTCAACATTTTACACTTAAATCATAAGCGAGATCCGCAATCCCAAGGCCAAATACAGTGAGGATTTAACATACAGTTAGTGACCTAACAAAATGGAACCAGCCACAAAGTTTACTGGAACAAAGTCAGTTTACTGCATGTACAACAACGTGAATCGGATCCATCGTGACCTCCTGGCTTGGTGTTGTTATGGCAGCCGTCCACCACCTGATGATCGAGTTTCGCTGGTTCCCTCAAAAGTAACAAAATGGTGATGTCACAGTAAACGGAACCCGTGTTTATGTGTGCCAGTACCTGTGAACACAACTGCCTATAGATGGCGCTATACACCTGTTACGGTCTTCTTAAATTGATTGATTAGGTCACGGCAGGTGAGGGATGTTCGATAAATTCAGTCAAATATACACATTCCAATCCATATTTCAAACAAAGCTTCCCATGCAGTGGCGTATTCAGTGGGGGTAGGGTCACTTTTATTATTATTTAATATTTATTAATTAAATTTCTTTTATTAAATTTATTTATCAAATATTGGCACCAAAACCGTACCAGGACAAAACAACACCACGACTTGAAATAAACACTAAGATTTCGTGACCGTAAGATTTGCAATACCTTTTTCTCAAGTTCAAGTTGAATAAGCCCGAAGCCGCATTTTCTTTGAATTTGCTCCCCCCCCCACCACCACCAAAAGGTGCACACCGCTGGTTCCGTGTTCTAATAAACACTTAAAAATGGTAACACGCAACTCATACAGTTCTGTATTCCTTATGTTTATTCCCTTTTCATTAACGCAAAAGAGGTGATCCGAAAATTAATTCTCACAAAGTTAGTATTTAACGTTGACGCATGATTGACGAACAGAAAAAATAATTTGCACAGTTCACAACTATTGGCCACCTTCTGCTTAATCTGTCACGGTTGTAGCAGATCGTCCAGTCACCCATTTTGGTCACAGAAAGCACGTATAACGGCAGTAATAACAGTTTTGTATGTAGTTTTTTTTTCACGTGACGGGCAAAGGCATATCAGGAAGTGTACCATGTCCGTACAGTGGAGGCGCGTACATTTTCAAATCTGTGTATTTCTATTGCCAATTTTATGTACGACAGTGTTTCTGCGCCCATCTGTGTAAATAATACGGCCGTTTCACAATAGTGCGCCTCCAAGAGTTTGCAACACATTGGCCAATCACAACGCGCAAAATCTGTTGAACCGCTAGCTCCAAACGCGCGACAGATTTCGCGCATCGTGATTGGCCAAACTCTTAGACGCGCACTATTGTGAATCGCCCGTATTGAACGCCGACCGTCAAAAATCACGTGACTGAAAATTCTCTATAGGTGATGACCCATATCAATGCTCAAATAAAGCCCCATCATCTGACCGGTGTATCGTTGATCGGGTATATTTGAATTATTCGTCACAGCCACAGCCCAAAATACCTATTACGTGTCCGCGGTCAAGTGTTGTGACCACAGACACGGTAATGCTCAAAAATGGAACATTCTCTTCTGTAAGTAAATGGATCGAGCGACGTTCCATCCATCCTTTCACATGGCCACTGTATCACTATAGCTATTCACATGAGCTACTGCATGCAATAAACATCCACAAACACCGTTTCTTCTTTTGACTGATAAGGAAATTTCTAAAGACGAAGGCGATGCAAGGATTCATTCGGGTACTGATCTCTGTGTTTGACTTTTAGTTTTAATGATTTTTCCAGGTGATGTGGCGAATTCCCTGTATTTGTTTAGGTGTTGTATGATAACAACGACTGATGATCCTTAAAAGTCATGCAATTAGAGGAGGAATTTCATTTCGTGACAGATGAAGTTTTCACATCCTGGCATCCAATTTTCCTACCGCTGCCCTTTTAAAAATGTTATTTGTACATGTATACCAGTGAAGTTGATATTTATCACGGTCCTTTTGACTTTTTACCGAAGGGTTCCAAACAATTTTATTTTGCAATTTTACCCGAGATTATGCCAAGACGATTGCGGGGTTGTCCATGCTAGTGTCCTGGCTGCTGTCACAACGGCTGACGCACCGTTGCCTCGCTGCATCATTACCAAGGACTGCCTCCACTTCCCCTGGACAGGCAGGATGTTGTTGACGTGCTGAGATTTACAGGCGTTGTTAGCAGCAGAGATGATAGAAATTGCGATTGAATCGGCGTCAATGTTCCTTAATGCGGCCATTACGTTTAGGAGAGTGAATAATTAGTGATTTTCCCAAAAGATATTTGTGATTTCTTGTCAAGAACTTGATGGATTCAAACATATTCTATATTAATGCTATATTCACAAACAACTGAAAAACAACGCATATTTTGTCTTCTCTGCTTACATACATTTTGATGATTATCACTGTTTTAATCTTGACAACTTTCATGGTAAACAAAACTGTCTCATTAATTGTTTCACGAAGTTCATTGTCCTTCACTGGTTCATACTCGTTATGTATAAACATCGGTACACAAGCGACGTGCACCAGCGCTTGTGACGTCAGAATGATATTGTTCCAACAAACTCAAAAGCGAAAGAAAAAACACGCGGTCGGTGACAGTGCGGTAATTATCTCATCCTTTGCGCATGTGTGCTTCCAAGAAAGTGCAAAGCAGACGATAAGTAACTTGTTGCATTGTAAATACTGACCAAAATGTGGGATTTAGTAACCACCAGCTCTCGATAACTACAATACGAGTGCCGAAGAAGTGAAACGTGGTTTCAGTCTTTCAAAGGTGGGCTCCTTTTTTTTTTAATTACGATGTTTCACAGAGAACTTCCAAGAAAAGAAATGCTGCGCTGAATTTGTTTCGAACAAAGTGGGCCCTGCCTGTTCAATAGAGATTAGGCCATTTAGTGTTACCTCATTCTGACATGCCAATTACTGATATCAAGAATGACCCATGTGTTTTCTTTTTGGGATTGAAACAGGATCCGGCAAATTTTGTTGTCATTATCTGGTCATATTCGTTACAACTTAATAGGCCTACTAGTTACTTCGACCTTCAGCATTTCATGCATTGTTAAATCATTGGCAAGTAACATGTATTGTAAGAAGTGAACCACATTTCCCTTTTTATTTTTTATAACTGAAAACACGTAGGCCAAAGAAGTCAACAAGATATCATATCTAATGCTAATACGCCTTTCTGTGTACAGGGACTTGGTTTCTGTGACAAATACAACTTGGAGCAAAGTGGACAAATAAATATAAGCAATAAAGGTTTGCTTTATCACATAGGCCTGCATTAGTGCTTTAATGTTTGAAAGGCGTGATAGACAAAATGATATCTTGGTAATTATAGTGTAACACATGAAAGCTTAGTTTTAATTTAGGTAAGGTTGTCCGGTTACTTCTACAAGACTACAAGGTTGTAACAGTAAAGTGTAATTTCTAAGCGACAGTGCTCATAGAAATTACTGTTTGTATTTTCTTATGTTCTGATGTGGTTTTCCTGACTCTGATTGAAGTGGACGTTTTTGCTTCCAAGTTCACAGTAGACTGAAAGACAAGCAATAACGTAAAAAAATACGGAGCATGAAAAAAAACGAAAATATGACTTAAGATATTTGTCAATAAGCAGTTTTCTCAGTCCCTCTAAAACGAAATTGTCATGTGTAGTTTTATAATGCAAAGTATGTGTCTAAGGAGCATCTCAACTTCTGTATCGATTATAAGCCTCTTAGCAATAAACTTTTCAACGTGGAAGACCACTAATATACTTAGCAGGAGTTTTCAGGGATGATGACATAACAGGTACATTACTCATTTGCTAGGTGAAATCACTCAACATTAAGTTTAAGTTTTCCTTGTTACATGTATGAAAAGCACATCAATTAGAAAGATTCTGAAGGACTTCATTAAACTAATGCAGTGTAAAATAGTAGTAATCTGAGATATTCTAAAACAACGAATTCTAGGAATTGTGCGATGTACAGTGGTAAGAGATATAATCTCATTTCAAAATACCAATAAAGGCATAATCATTTTTCTAAGAAAGGTGTGCCGCAATACCGTAATGAACTGATCTTCATCAAGCTGAGAGGTGCTAAGAATAGTTAGCAAAATCTTATTCTTCCAAGGACCCTTTATGACTTCAACTGAGTTGCCATGGAAATCAGTTATCATTCAGGCTTCAGAGAGCTCTGTGCACTATTTCGTGGCACTATCTGTCCCAATCATGGCATTTGTAAGCCCAAAAAATGAAAGAGCCGTTATTAATTGCATTATCACTGCAACTTGGCAAAATTAAAATTATGCTCTTTAAACAAAACATTAAAATCTAGCAGCTTAGCACTAAAACTGAATTTTTTTCTGTCAAATGTTAGTGAATTGAATGTTGAGCAGATCTCATTAGTTACAACAACTTTAGAACACAATGTCAATGCAAAAATGTATCTTAGTTTTGAGTAGTTCCAGGAAAAATGCATACATAGGTTTGTGGGCGCACAGTAAATTTTGTGCTGAATCAAATTACAGGATAATGCAACTTTAGGCAGATAATTTAAAAAACCACAATTCATTTGATCTTTGCTCCGCTGTCTTTGTCATTTTTAGAAAAAAAGAACTTTGAAACAAATGAGATTAACATACCAATTTAATGTTTTAACTTGAAAACAATGAGCTATGCATATTCCAGTCAAAACTTGTAATTTGGGAGATGACTTTTTTCCATTAATGCACCACGATGCCACATGTTTTTTAGCATATAGGGTATAAGTCTGATAAAGTAACCAATTATTATCGTAACCCTGAATCATCTGGGATTGAATATACATGTACATGTCATTTCCCTCTTTTGACACAAAAGCTATTACTAAAAATTTCAAGTAGTGTCTTAATCAGAGGCAAATACTATTATATTTAATGTTCTGGTATTTCTCACGTTTCTTTTATTTTTAATGTTTTTCATATTTGTTGCGTAGTTCGATTTTTATCATTCAATTTTTGGCACTATTTTCTAATTCTGATCATTGGGCTTGAAGACAATGCATGTTTATGTCATATCCCTGACAAATATGTGTTTCAGTGAATGACTTTTTGCACAAATCATAACTTACGGCATTGTCCACGTAGTGTGCTGAGATACATTTGCTTTACATGAATGGGTAGGCATGTGAAAGAGATACAACATTAAATTGATTATATTATAACTACACAATATTTTCCAGTGAAAATTTCCTGTAACAATCTTTAGTTAATCTTAATCAAAATACAGAAAAAAACTGGTTCTTTTTTTCAAACAATTGATTGGCAGTTCCAATGTTTTCTTAACAGCTGTCAAAGTTAAATACATCCAAATGTGTCAGTATGTAAGTGGCAAAGCTCACTAAAAAAATGCACCAGGTCTTCCCTCCTTGGAAAAAGGGGATTTTAATAGTAATGGAACTAGACACAGGTTGAGCCCAGACAAGGTGTGTCACTGGATGTTGGACTGGGGCAATTTCTGTGAAGCTCCACTGTTGTTGTGACTGGAGGTAGAATACCTGGAAACAAACAAGGTGGCAATATTGAAATACTGTTGCTTTGTCTAGTCTTGGGAATATGACATATTGGCCACAGTTAATAATTGCATTTAGCAACAGTCCAACCTGAGCAAGAAAGCTGAAACCTCAATTTACAACAAAACATATAGTTTCTGTTTGATTTTTTGCCAATAAGCCAAATCTTTGTTATCTCTTACAACCTTCCTGAGGGGTCAGGAAGCTCACTCTTAAACCCACAGTAGAAAGAATTTCAAGCAAAAAGCCTGTACGGCAGCTCAGATCAGGAACATTCCTTAGAACTTGCTTAAAATTTTCAAAAATTTTTATGATACAAAATCGACTAAAGAGGATCTGTACCTTCCGAGCTTGAGGAACCATTTCTACTTTCATCTGATCTACTTCCTTCCGACTGTGCATCCTCCGTGACAGCCATGACACGCACACTCTGTTGTGTGTTTGATGGCCATCGCATCAGATGCGATGTCCGTAGACTTGATGTCCTGATGTGTGAATCGTCTCTCTCCAAGTTAGAATTGAATATGATCTGTCCCAATTCAAAGACATAAAGTGCCTCTTCACTGGCGCGCATTGTCAGTTGATTCTGTAGATTAAAAAGACAATGTGAGCAAAATGAAATGAAAGAATTTTTGTTGAAGGAAATTCTTTGTAAAAAATACTTCAGCCGATGATGAAAGGCAAAGCTTCGCATAAAAATGGAAACTGTTTACCAACAGTCTTGGACCAACATTTAACTAAAAAGGTTCATTTCGAACACATAATCAGCTTTTAAGTGTTTGGTTGAAATAAAATTATTCCAAAAATATTTAAAACAGTACAAGTTAGAGCTCTGGCATAACCAAACTACAAAAATTAATTTGTGTATCAGGATGCATCAAACTGGCAAGGATTTGCCCAACACTTCTTGCCAATATATATGAATAAGATCACAAACCTGTAACGAGTAACCTAAATATTTATAATTGTAACGTTAAATGTTAAGTCTGAATTATAATTTTGTGAGGAAAGACTGCTTACCCCATAACCAAGAGCCTTTAGAATGTTCAGCTTACACATTGGGCACGTCCTGTGCTCTATTAACCACTGATCAACACAACTTTTGTGGTAATAATGCCTAGTGAAGAAAAAATTAGAGTCACGCCAAATAAAGTTGTTCCAAAAACGACAAATGCATATAACATTATTAAACGTCAATCACTATTAATCAAATGACATGCAGCAGCTATCACCACTGCTCAAAATGCAAACATGTGAATGGTAAATGCATATATATTGCATACATAAAATGTACATGTATACATGTACATGTATAACGATACATAATTAACTGTTGATTCTCTTCAAGAATCTATGGTTTAGTATTGATTCTCTTTTGAGAACACATGTAAAGTGACATCACAAGAGTAATTTATATAACAGGTTTTGCCCTTCCCCAATGCAAAAAAATGCATCTTGAAAATCACAAGAGTAGTTCAAATGTCCAGATTGGTAAAGCACACCTGCCAACACTGGAAAGTCTGAAAACAACACCAAGTGTGAGCACAATGTGAGCCTCTTAACATAAAGCCCATGAAACAGGTTGAGTCAGGTTGAGGTGCCTGTGCATTATTTCAAGCCGCAGCCAAGTAAGCCGGACATGACCAGTGGAGATAAACCCTTCCCAGTGTACTATAGTGTTGTGGCAGTGGGAAGGAGCAAACTTCACAGATGATGTGCAGTAATTGGCAAGATATTTTTCAGATTTTTTTTTCCATCTGAAACACAGAAAAATCTGATCTGCATCAGAATTTTAGGCCTTTGAAATTTAAAACTCTGAACAGTTCTGAACAAATTGGAATAGCTGGCAGGTGTGGTTACAGCAGTGAAAAATACTGAGACTGAAAAACTGAACGTAAAGCACAATGACCCAAAATAATCATCCTACATGTATATAGAAAGTACATGTAGATTGACCAGACTTTTAAGCCAATACTTACTTGCATGGGAGTACCCGCACTAAATCTGATGTTTTGTAACTCTCTAAACAAACTGGGCAAGCTCCACCATCAACCAGCTCCTATAAATGTGGAAAAGAGAAAAACAAACAGAAACAACATTATAATATTAAAGATGTTATTCAACCTTGTACAATACATTGCATACATGAAACCAGTGGACAGCCCTTTTATTGCAAAAAAACTTGTTTTCAAGCTCTTGCATATGTGTACGTGTATAATTTCTCAGGTAATTCATGCGTGTGAAGCAAGAAGTACTCACCTTATCTCCATCTTTAAGATGTTTAGCTGGGAGTTTTGCAACAGCTTTCTTGGCCGCTCGACTCAGCCGTTTCTGTGAAAAATAATAATCAGCCGAATCAAATTATTTTCAACAGTTCCTTATTGAGAATCAATGCTGGGGAAAAAAGATACCTTTGTACATGGCTATACTTGCCTAAAATTAATTGCAACTTCAAGAATGACCTGAGCTTTGTTTGCATGGGAACACGTTACATAAGTCACACAGGTGTGATTTACCATGTTTTTATGAACATGCAGGCACATAATGTACTATACAAGTATGTATTTTAATTCATGAATAACCCTAGCCCCTAGGGTGTTTGAAAAAAAGTCATTGTAAATATAGAATTCAGTAGTGCCAAGGCTGGGACAGCAAAATTTATTTTTGAATAAACCCTGCACAGAATTATGGAAAAAACAACAAATTTGCTGCTAGGAATACAAGTATTGTTTTACATTATCATGTATATGTATACATGTATGAAAGTAAAATTAATCAAATTATAATTCTCAAGAATCAAAGGCATTCAATGGCATTCATAAAAGCCAGTTCCTTTCTCATGACTGGATGAATGATGAAAAGATAAGGTCGAAAATTATTCAAATCCATATAAGCTGGGGATTTGCACGCATTCATTTGTGCACTGATACACTGCCCACTACCCTGTTGCAGGTTATTCATTTGGCCATTCCCCTGGGCACACTGCATGATTATTAATGTACTGTGGAGTGCAGTGCAGCTGTAAGCTAGGCCAAATCCCAACATGCTTAAAGAGTGGTATTTTGTGATATTGGGAATACAGGTGCATGCACTTGGTCAGCATAATAAACTTCCTTACATGCAACAGGGATAAGTTTCAAAAACAGCCAAACCATGCACAAATAATTGTCTGAAGGTAAAAATTTTAAAGCAATCAAAACATAATGCACACTATAAAGCTACATCAGCAGTGACAGTGGTACTATCCTTGCTTCAGTGCTGTCAGAATGATTAAGCAGCTGTTCAGCCGGTAATTTCTATCCAGTTGCCTATCAACTCAGCAATGGTGTGGAATATAAAATTAATTACCTAAATGCATGTTTAAACTCTGGTTCATGGTATGCAGTTTCATGCAGTTACACATACTTGTATCATACTGCTTTGTGCATACACTACAATATGGTTGTCATTCAGTACATTAAATAAATAGGAATGTAATTGTATGCCTTTATAACTCTAATCATGCACTTCCCCATAAAACGGTGTACACTACATATGTGACCCAGCACATCGAAATCAGGAAAAAATCTCAAATTGACTTTTTGAGATATGTACATGGTCAGAAAGAGACTTTCATGAGCTTTCAAATGGTACACATTACAAGTGTGTTGATGGTAACCTTTCATACATAGTCTCCCAAAATATACAGAAACCGCCACATTGATTTTCTCAACATTTACCCACATCCCCACTTTACTCGGCCATTACGTAAAATGGCCTCGGCGACTTTTTCCTGATTACGATGTACATGTACAGGGTCACATATGTGCTGTACACTCTGGACAACTTTCATACTATAGAACAGTAATTTGCAATTGTGCCATATGGTCTGGAAATCATACCCAAGAAATGAGTCCAGTTTCTTTCATTTCACATTGGAGATCTCAGACTCATAGATGAGATATCCTGTTGTATCATTAATCACTCAGATGTATTGGTAATGTACATGTATGAATTCACCTGGTGTAATTGATACTGCAGTGGGAAGGTTGTTCTCCCCGTGGCAAGTTGGGAGACGGGAATCCAGCAAAATGTATTTTGCTCAGTCAAAACAGAGACTTACAAACCATACATGTACATGCACATGAATATTTGTACTGGTACAGTGTATGCACAATACTGTGAATGGTGATTGTTATAATACATATTTCCTTACAACAGAAGTAGGGACAGTAAGACAGATGTCCTAATCTTAAGGTGGTGTGGGTGTGGTGATGTTGGCAATAGTACAATGCAAACAGAAATTTCTATTTAAAATGATGATGAAAAAATATACATCCTTATCCAATAGAAATACTGATTATCATGATTATATTCAATCAAAAGTGCCAATAAAAAACCAAAACCAATGTACATATGTACATGTGCCCGTGAGAAAGAGAAAACTGCTTAAATTATGTTCATTGGACATGAAATGTATAAGAATTGAAAACAATCTTTATGTGGACACTTCTCTGCATGTTTATCTTCACTGATTATGAACAAATATTTTTTGGACAAATGACCCCAAACTCAATGTATGCGCAAGGAGTGCAATAATGCTTAAATACGTCAATATTTCTGCGATCCTGCTCTTCAGTTAGGTTGAGGCTGACTTCCAAAACACCCTGGCACAGGCATTTCCAATTAATATTGTCAACGACCATCATCCTATCAATCAATATTCTAAAACACGGGATTCCTGACATCCCACTTCATTAATATTCATGGCCTTGCACACTGACAAGCTGCGTGTACATGTGTACATACAATAGATCCAGACATCTCAGAGTTCAGTGAACTCAGTATCTACATGTACACTTCATCATCTGGAAACTGAACTGAGGAACAGAAAAAATATGATATGTACATGTACGTACAGTTACATGTACATGTTGATCAGTACAGTTTACAGTACATGTACTCCACACATTTGTAAATTAAATTGCGTAGATATGGTTATTCTATTAATATCTCTTGGGCACCATTTTGCTTCAGACAGTGCACTGGAGCACGACTGCAGAGTTCAACTCCACAGATAATGGCTTTTCTCATGTCTTTATTCAAGTGGAGGGTGATCCTTGGTTATTTTGCTGAAAAGAATTGTGTACATTACATGTACATGTAGTAAAGTCCGGTTTTAAGGTAGTGGACATATATATCTGATTATGGAGATATTCAAGTATTCAACATCAGAACTTCCAACAATTGTGGGTTTGTGATATGTATTGTGTACCTGAAAATATTGGCAATTCTTGTCACAAACTACTTGAAACTTGCAAGCCAAAAAGAAATCTGTGGGTAAAAAATGGTATTACGTTTTTGCTTTTAAGAGAACCCACCTGTGTTCTGTCTCTGGCCTGTGCATATCGGAAGCGTTGAATATAATAAAACACCAGCCACGCTAACGAGATGATCATCAACACAATGAATGCCACAGACACAAAAAGAACAGAGGATTTCTTGAATTGGACACTCTTGATGATTGTTTTGCCAGCTTCAAAATGAAGCATGACTGTGGTTCCATTTTCAAGTAGCGCCACTATATGTTGACCATTTTCAGCACTAATGAGCACAGCTGGAATGTTTCCTGAAGGAATTGGAAAAGGAGAAGAGATTACATGTACATACGATTGATGTGATTGTGAATCCTTGTAGTTAAACACTACATGTATACATATATGTATGATTGTGAACTTTGCAACTGGTACACACATGTAGCATGCAGTTCATTTTTATGTTCACTGACTGAGAAAAACTACGATGCTGGAACATTACTTGTTGAATATCTTGACAGCTTTTTCAGACAGTCTGGTTCACATCTCATATGCTGCTTGCACTTTGCCTTCATCACTCCTTTGACCATTGACCAAATTTCCAGAAACGGGTATAATCTTTTAGTTTAAAGGGGTCCTTGTAGTCCAGACACAAACATTGTGACTGCTCTGGCAACTTTTAGGTCAGGTACCGGTAGCTACCACTGTCATTGGATCAATTTAAGCAGAGTTTTGTCCATCATTTTGTAAGCCCATGATTGGATATTAGATATTTGAATATTATCTCTACTACTCTTCTGGAATATTACCTAATTGTAAAAACACCATGTTTTTGGAAGTTACAGTGTACACATAAATCTATGGTACATAAAGCTTTGCTTTCCACTTTTCTGACATACAACTATGTCCCTGGTATGTATTAGGTTATAGACCCCACGTATGAAAGTGACTCATTTCATCAGGATTGATGCATGACTGTACACATATTTGTACACCTGTGTTGTAAACAAAAATTGTACCCAACTTGTTTACCTCATCCCTGGGAACTGAACACCTTTTCCTTGCTAAAATCCCTGAAAATTAACAAGCGTATCTATAAAAACAAAATTTGTTGGTGACTGTGACGCTAAAAAATATGATTGTCTGCCACGGAAGTCTCTCTTACCTTTATTTTGAATTGTATACAGTTCATTGCCAGGTTTATCATCATACACAACCACACCAGATGCATTATATTTTTCAGCCAACTTTATCTTTTCCGAGTCCGTACAATTTCCCCTCTTGACGAGTGCAATCCACTGCACTCCTTTCTTGAGTTTCATGGGTAAAAGCTTCGGTCTGTACGGTGCACATCCTTGGGAGTAAGATCCATGACGATACACCAGCACGCCTCTGGCCGGGTTAGCAGGGCCCGTGCTAAATCGTCCAGCGTCGTTCTGCTTCTCTGTGGTCTCATTTCCCGTAATAGGGTCCTTGTACGTAATACTCACAGTTGCTGTGGTCCAGTTATTACTAGACTGACTGCTGTAAAAATCATAAGCTTTTATAGGCCTTACATGTGAATGAAAGATACAAACGAACAGTATCCAACCTATAGTCTGAGTGTGAGAATGTGAGATTTGGAGCCAGGTCCCTCCAGCGACTGAAGACAAACGAAGCTTGTTCACACTAGCGGCCATGGTTTGAGGTTTCGGCCGTGGTACATGGGTGTACTACATGTACTTACTAGGCTGGCTAAACCAAATCTTGTGCGGTAGTTGTGGTACGTAGTGGACGAACCTTACACTTAACAAGTAGCAGTCATGGCAGTAGCAGCCTAGGAAGGGCCTAATTCCCGTCCTCGTCGCCAAAATAGTACATGGAAACTCCCCTCGATCATCAAACCGACGAGATGGTTTCCTGACATAACGATAAAGACTTCCAAACTACGATTAATGTGATACCACTCTTATTAAAGTACGACGTACATGTACAATGTACGTGACATCATCTCGACACACACGGGCCAGCAGTCGAGCATGTTCTATTGCTAATGTTACGCCCCAACTATAGCATAAGTCCCAACTATAGTTGGGACAGTCCCAACTGTAGTACTGCAGTTGGGCTGGCCCAACTGTTGTTGACCAATGTCTGTGGGAAATGTCTCAACATTATCCAAGTCAATGTGTCTCACGCTTGACACAATTCATTTCATTTATTTTATTTTTCGGGATAAACATTTCACAGAAACACAATAACATACAGTTTACAAAAATTACAGAATAGGATACACAAGACATACAAAGGACAAGTGAACAGTATTTAACCAGCTCCCGCTGGATTACCCAAAAGAAACATGGTTTCTGTCGAGGGGCTCTCCAATTGGTTAAACAGAAAACAATGAGAACAATTAAAGATATAGATTGATACAATATAAAAATATAAGGCTTTACATAAATAACATACTTATAACTTAAATACTATAAATGAATAGATAAATAGCTAAAGTCTCTTGGGGAAAAATGGGATATATATTTAAAAAAAAAACTAAACCCCTTAAGAAATAATACTAATAATAAAAATAATAATAATAATTTGTATACCTTATTTAATAAATACACTGTTAACCTAGGCAACATTCAGCGGCATGATAATTCATCAAAATTGTGGCACTTAGCCTATGACCAATGACGTGACATTTGTAAACAATATGACTTTGGCACATGCTGGGCACATCATGCACATAGAACCTCTCTGCTGTAGTTGGGCCGGCCCAACTGTAGCACTCTAGTTGGGACGGGCCCAACTATAGTTGGGACGGCCCAACTATAGTTGGGACTGATGCTATAGTTGGGGCGTAACACTAATAATTATCACGATTCACGAACAACCACGGTTAGAGGGCGCTAATACAGTGGCCACAAGTTCCATAACCTCAGCTAGTTTTTTCTTTTTCTTACAACTCCGGCTATTTGCGCCAATAACTGTACGTTTATTCATACACTTTATTAATCAGCATCACATTACGGAGTTTGGAAGAAAGTCCAGTTTTAGAGGCAGGAGGAAACCGGAGTTCCCGGAGAAAACCTGCGAGAGCGAGTATGGACTGGAAACCAAATGCACTTAAAGCCTGGGCCAAACCGGGACTCGAACCGGGCCTCATTGGTGCAAAGCTAGGAAAGAACCTCTACGCTAACCCGCTAACCCGCTCCCCCTTCAGTTAGTTCAGCTCAGCTTTCAGCTTTGTATTATTTTGTAAGGGTTAGCCACCCGTTTTTTTATTCACCCGTATCTCAGAAAAACACTGGAAACATCCCAAATGGAAGTAAAATTAAACCAACACTTGAAAAGTTCCAAATTCGTGATTTACAGAAATAATTATCTCCACAGGGGAGCATTTTTCGTATAAGTTGGTGCTTGGAGTTTTTAAAGACAAATTTTAGAGACAGAGAAAACAAGGAGTACTTTCTATGGTCTCAATCACAACAAATAAGGGTCTTCAAGTCAGAGGGAAGAATACACCCCCCATGAAAGAGGTATATTTTACCACAGCGCCAGCCGCGATGAATTCACAGACCTGAAATTTGGGACTTCGCCGTACCGTCGGTTGGACAGTTGAGCAAAAGGGTTTTTCTTTTACATTGTAAGTTGTTGGTCAGCGGATCTAAAAAAAAAGAAAAGATTTCCATTTCTAAATCCAGAAGTTAGGTGGATTTGATCAAGCACCAATAAAGAATCTCTCGCCCTATAGGATCAGTCCCGATTCGCACCTCCTATTGTAAATAATTAATACGGGATTACAAAATATTATTGTGCTTTCTCGTAGAAATCTAGCCATTTAGTGGAAAGCACCCTTACAGACAATTCGGGATTGGCCACCCCCCCAAACAAAACAAAAACAATGGGCATCCAACTTTATTCATGAGAATCCCCGCGACGTCACAAATATGCCTATTCTCTTTCTGGAGCACACAAGGCAACCCAATGAATGACAGCAGAAATAAACACGTTTCGATGAGTCGAGTCAGACAATTGATTATCTTGTTTACGTTTGTAACCTCTGTCCGAATCACTTGTATACGGCTGGAAATGAAGCACGAGTCTATGGCAGTGGCCGCGGCCAGTTTCACCATTAAATTGTATGTAAATTCCGGCCGTAGCCAGGTGATTCGGACACGACCTAATCGCGACTGTGTCAGATGATCACATGACAAGGTACAGTCTGGTACCCGTGCGCAGTCGTGAAAGACTGGGTTACGCCTCCCAAACATAATGGGTCAAGCGTGTGCATAAGCACTGAGCACATAGCCTATCCGTACCGTCGCGGTATACCGGTCGTCGTACTGTAACTGTGGTCATACCATGTGTGAAGAGTGTGTCGCGGGATCGGGAAAGGGCTGCTCTTTTTCTGTCAATTTCGATGTTTTGCCTCTTTATCCACCACTGTGTGTCCATTCTTCTTCTCAAGGTATAGCAGAATTCCTAGGGCTACTTATTCCGTGTGTCTTCTTGTGTCTGTGCTGGAAAATTTAAAACCACTGACGCTGAAGTGATGATTGCATTTTGGGGAGTCGGCAACCGTGGAAACTGGTTGAGGAGACTGCATGCTATGCATTGCCAGTACTTCAGTTGGCGTAATTAATTGTAACTGGGAGTGACAAAATTTATCTTTTTATACATGCAATCTGGGTACGATGCATATTGTTGCCAAACGCTAGTTATGCAGTATGTGTGCTACAATTCCAAAACGACGTTTAATAAACGTGATAAAGTCAGTGGGGAGTCCGAGTCACACACAAGAATGACAGATTGTAATTTGAACATGTTAATTATTTTATTATCCAGTATGCCTAAGTCGAAATTTTTCTCAATCCGGTATTCTCAATAAAAGTTGTCCGGCTAAACTTAGCTACATGTAGCTCACATGGTTTAACTAGAGTAAACGTCCTAGTGGCATTTTGCATCAAACATTGTCAAATGCTGCACGACTATCTCATTTTTTTATCAACCTAGGCCTACATACATGTATTTCACATGTTTTAGTTATGTTAAGTTACCATATTTACTGATAGAGATGGTAGAATAACCAGCACGTTATTCAACAATATTGGTAAGAATTCTGTATATGGACAACACTATTTTCCCTTAAAATATTATAACAGCTATCAGAAAGTGGTAACGTCCTGAAAAGTGAAAATTAGCTGAGAAAATTCAAAAGCATTACTGGGAAAACACTTAAGGTTTTTTCAGACAAGCCTCATAGATTTGTAATTTGGCCAGAGTAACTCCAGTCCAAACGAATCTCAAACTCCCTGTGCAGTGAGTGTTAGGGCTAGAGTTTCTCATGCTGGGCTAGACTCAAACTCCAATTAAAAAGGTTACGTGTTGAGAACATTTCTCAGTGTTCAACTTACAATGACACATATCTGGGATATTCATTTTGTAGACATGTGAAGGACTTACAGCTGTGAACCTTTGTTGGCTCAGTATCTGCCATTTCCAAGATATGAGAAAGATTGGATTATCAAATGACAGTTCTGGTTCCTTTTTCTTCTTCTGTTTTTGTGTTTTTTTAACTGCCACATTCATTTGTCCAGGCTAGAGTACAAGCCTTTTTGGGTTTCAGGTGCACATACATTAGAAAAAATTCATAACCATTAGCTAAAAAGTACATGTATTCCACTGTTTTGCCTCTTTTTCACCACATTTCTGCTTGCTACAAGATCTGTTGATCCCCAAAATATCAGTATATCACCCATAGTGCACTTATTAGGTACAGTAGTTTAAAGGCCTATACCTACATGCACTGGGGTATTAGCCTGGGCATGCCAGGGTACATACATGTATATATGTACACAGGTACATGTAGGCCTACATGTAAGTTATAGTCGGAAACCTACTCATGGTGTGGAAACAGAGATAGCTGGGAGGCAGGGATACTGCATTGAAACTAAAACCATGCTGTCCTGGCCACAGAGTTTCTGAAGTGTTCAACTCATTCAGTTCAGCATACTTTTTCCTTTCTTCACAGGCCTTTGAGCTAGTTGCCTATCCGACGAAATTGCACTGGAATTGAGCATGAGTTAACCTACTGTCTGAAAAATTGGAGAGATTTATGGGTTTGCTTGATTGACAATGGCCAACAGATCAATCCTGCTTAAAGTTGTCATCCTTGGCGATGGAGGGGTCGGGAAAAGTTCACTTATGAATCGATTTATCAGTAACAAATTTGATAGTCAGTCATTCCACACTATCGGTGTGGAGTTCCTGAACAAAGACATTGCAGTAGATGGCGAGAACTACACAATCCAGATTTGGGACACCGCCGGGCAGGAGCGCTTCAAGAGTCTACGCACGCCGTTCTACCGGGGGTCTGACTGTTGTATGTTAACTTTTGCCGTGGATGATCTGCAGAGCTTCAGCAACCTTAACATGTGGAAGAGGGAGTTCCTGTATTATGCTGATGTGTCCGATGCAGATAACTTCCCCTTTGTTGTGCTCGGAAATAAGGTTGATGTGGAAGAAGATGAAAGACAAGTTACTACAGAGGCAGCCAAGGAGTGGTGCACAGCCAATGGGAATATCCCGTACTTTGAGACCAGTGCCAAGACCGCTGTGCGAGTTGACGAGGCGTTCACGGCCGCTGTGCAGCGGGTTGTTGAACTGGACAGAAGGCAGGATATGAAATCGTCGCCCACGACAGAATCCATTGTACTCAGTAAGAAGCCTAGCAACAAGCCCCCAAGCTCCTGCTGTTAGTGATGCACGTGTCAGTGGGATCGTTGAAGAATATGGCAAATTTCGTATCCGGCATTAACCTGTCTGTGGGCTGTCATTTAGCCAATCCCACCGGTTCGAGCATTACAAAAAAATTCACCTGTGTGTACATGGACATGTGCATGTGCAACTTAACATTACTTTTTCTAATTGGACAAAACAAGCGTTTGACCGTATATTTTGTAATTTTATTATCCAGTAGACTATTTTTAATTTCAAAACTTTAGTACGCCGACTTAAAATGAAATGGCTTTTTTGCCCACTCTGTCTAGTCACCGTTTGGGGTTTCTGGTAGATCCTAAGAAGTCCTTTGAAATGAAATGGCTAAACTGCATTGGTATACATGGAAGCCAAATAAGTTGTACACGTTGCTTGCCGTTGTGATAATTTTCATCAGCGTCCGCTGAATTTAAGAACAACTACGGGGTATCAGTTGTGTGGATTTGAGTAATCATATTAAATGCTGAAAGAAGTCAAAGTAGCAAAAAATCTTTTTACATGCGTTTCATGTGTTAACTAACTTTCGAAGTTTTTGGCTAGGAAACTTCAATTTATAAAACCACAATTACTGTTGCACTTTGATTGCACACTGTTTTATTTCATCGAAAGAAAATGTTGACAGTTGACCCCAAGTATGGTACAACAAATTGATAAGGGATGTACATGTATGTTCTTTTGCCTTTATTTCATAAAAATAAAACCTGAGTAATGATTGATGTAGTGATTTGTATCACAAACCCAAATTAAGACCAAGGAAAGATATTTGTAGAACATTTTCAGAGCATCATTCATTGTTTGTGTGTGATTTCAAATGTAATTATTTTGTCGGTTGATATGTGACATGCATACGATAACGTACATGTCCATGTATGTATTTACACGGATTTCTCTTTATGACATTTCTGACCATATTTACATGTACATTCACTTGGATTGAAAACCTCACTGGAATAAAAACCCATAGATACATGTACTTGTAACTGTTTTGACATTATGCAAACAATCACTTTTGGACCAGACTGGTTGTACCAGTTGATTTCCAGAGACCAAAATACATGTATTGAGGCGGCATTTGAATCTCTTGTCTAGAGTTAGGTGTAGGTCTTGGTTCCATTGGAAATGCAGGGAGACGTGCAGACAGTAGACCTAGCCGTAGCTCTGGAAGCCCGTTGCGGACATGGCCTTAGTTGGGAAAAAAGAAGATCAGTCCGGTGTTTTGCAGGAAGTGCTCAGTTGACCCACATGTACACGTACAGGTGTACATGTACTTGGCTTAGTCAGTTTCAATCATTGTTGGTTTTGTTCTTTAAAGCATGTGGTAGTCATGCCTGTTCCACACTTTCACTTAAATAGTTTCTGGCATTTTGCAGTGTTGTCTACAGTATCTACACTTGGTTCAAGCCGATGTTTTTTAAAAGCTGTTTCCTGGAGACTGCTCTGCAGTGTACAAACACAAATACACATGTATTGTACAAAGTGTTGCCTGTCAAGTCAGTGCATATACATGTAGCTTTAGAACTTGGCAGACACAGAAAATGATAGTTTAAAAATGCATGCTATGCAGGTTTCAACTTTGAAACAGCTCAGACTTGAATCAGTTTGTGTCCATGTATGTATATATTTCTGAATGATAAAGTTTTAAAGGCTTTTAAAGGCTTAATATTTGTTACGCACAGGTTTGAGAGAAATGTCATGAAAGTAGTTGATGATTTGCCCTCAGATTTCGATAGATACTGTTTATTAAGGGACATGTTCAAAACGGAAATGGTGTGGATACACTGTCGAATAAACTCTTAAAAGTTGCGAACTAAAAATGTTATCTATGTGTACTGACCCTCTTTAGAAGAAGAAAAGAGAGAAAAACACAGTGAGCACCTTTCATTGGTAGAATGGGTTTTTTTTTTTCAAAACACAATAGTTAATTTCAGATGAAATACCTTATGGTGCACAGATACATGACCAAGGTTAATCAGCAACTATTTGTTATAGTCAACCACTCTCTGATTTTACCTGGTACCAAGGATGTATTTTAGCACCAGTTACCAAGGGAAATCGACTCGTAGTTGACAAATAGTCACTGATCAAACCATTGGTAAATATTTACATGCTTGCATGTATAAATTGCATTTCAGTAGAGACTTTAATTAATTCATCATCCCAGTCATCTGTTGTTTGCACTGTTGTTTGTATTTACTACTCTCTGATGTGAACAACGTAAAAACATGACAGTGCAACAGCTGATGAATGGTACTTTGAAATTTCAAAGTCCAGTGGTAGTGAAGTGATATCTACATTTTACATGTACTGTACATGTACATGTAGCAAGATTAACTTACCATTCTACCTGTTGGAATGAGAAGTGCATGTGGATGTCCAATTTTTTCCACACCTTAACTGACAATGAAATAGTAATATTTTTGTGTGTCTCTGCAAGTTTTTTGAGCTACAAACATTTCTGCTGACTCAAATTGTGCAGAAACAAGGAAGAAAAATAAATCCTTCCTCAACCATCACAGGAAGTGTAAACCGGGAATCAGGTGCTATTGAGTACCTCGTACAAATCAGTTGATAGTAGATATACTTGATGTGAAATTTACGTTGCCATTTATAGAACACTTCGTGCTTTCCATCAGCCTTTGGGGAAAACATTTGAGGTTCTTTTAGCAATGGGCTTGATGAGTTGGATTTGCAACCAACTTATTCTCATTAAAGAGACTGTGAATTTCATTTGATGCTGCTTAACACTTTATAGAGATCATGTGTCCTTGTGTTCATTTAAGCCCTTATGTTACATACACCTTCACATGGCTTACAGGCAACATTTCCTTGCTACAAAATAATTGTGTATATACTTTGTATGAATGAATTTTATTTAATTTTTAAAAGAAGTGTATTATGAATTGAATGTACTGGCATTTTGCTCAAATCTACACTTTAAATTAACTAAAGTTTTACATCCATGCAAGGAAATTGAAAGAGATTCCTTGCTTTCTGTGGCCAAGTTTCAAAACCCACATACGCCAACGAGGGGATTTTTTGGGGTTGTCAGTTCTTTTGTGGTCATTTCTGTGTTACATTAGCTGTGTGTATTCCTGCCACCTCTCCATTCTAAAGCCGTCGCTGTCAGTTCTCTTTAGGTTTGTTGCAGGCCCTAAGGCTATTGTACCTTGTGTGCTTTTAGAGAATCATATGCATATTAGTATACAGTTGATACAGTCACATTATAAGTTGTAGGCAGGGTTCGTTGCCGAATAAAATGTATCAGTACACAGAGTACATATGCATGCCTTGCAGCATACTTTCTCTGACTCATGAATAATTTGAATCAGATGATGATTCACTGAGTGTGTTAAAGTACATGTACTTGCATTCCATAACACANCTTTAGAGGTTTGGTAATTTCATGCCAGTCAAAAGAAAGCAATTTGTAGCAGTTGTAACTTTCATACATATGGGCCATTCTATAAATTTGGGTTCCAAATTGTGACATTTTTCCATCCCTGCTACCTCTGACATGTACATGTATACCATCTGGCATGTTTGACCTGGAATGTATCACTGAAATTGATTTCAAACTTTTATTTGTTTTACAGGTAATTTGCAGTTCTTATCCAGTCTTGGAAATTAAACAATGAGTTCTAAACATTAAAAATCATAGATGAAATAGGGACGGGAAAAAATTGGACCCCATATTTGTAGAATGACCCGTGTACATGTAAGCAAGTCTGCAAATGATATTTTCTAAAATGCTTTGTGGAGTTGTGAATGGCATTGGCAATGTACACAGCCTTTGCAAAGTGAAAGAAGTAGTAATATGTGCCACAGCACGTATGTGTAACATTACTTTCGCTTTCCCTTAAATCTTTGCAATGTACATGTATTTTCATGCCTACATTATGCACATATGAATCACTATGAAATGAAATCAATATATATATATACGATGAACGTGTACTGTGGCTTAAAGATTCTGGTTGACAAGTTGATTTTCGGAGTGTTTGGCAGTATCTTTGCTTTTCTATTATAATGAGTGCTATAACTATGGCTAGGGGTGTTGTTCATGTACCTGCCTCCAGCATTTGAAATCTTGAAATGAACAAAAACTATATATAAGCCAGGGTTCAGTTGCCTTCAGTTTGCCCTCTTACAAGAAAACAAAAATGTGCACACCGCCTCACAATGTTCCACTCCAGTCAGAATGTGGGGGGTGGAGCAGCAGAATGTGGGGGTAGAGCAGAGGTCCACCACCCTTTTGACCAGAGGGTGGTGTTCTCCCCCACCTTTGGCAGATCCTTCAATATGGTAGGGCTTCATGGTTCTACAGTATCTATTAAAGGCAGATACCTGATTGTCTCAAAACTCCCCCCCTCCCCATTTTGAAAATTGTTTTGTCGCTCAGCTTAGGAAGTACATGTATATGTGATTTTTTTGGTTCAGGCATTACATGTATATTCAGTTGTATGTAAATACATAACATGATCAGACAAGCAAATGTGTAAAAGCTTGATTTGTAATACTGCTAAAAGCAAAATGTAACAATTGGAGGAATAAGATTCCTCAATAAAGAAATCTTTCTGTGTCTGTAGCTGTCGGACTGTTCGTATCAGTGATTGTGAGATTTATTTGTGTTAATGGGTTTCCAATTCATGTCATTCATTGACTGGGGGATTATGCAGAAAAACATAGTGTACATGTATGTGTGTACTAGGTCAGTGTAAGTTGTACTTCATTTATAGTCCCACAGTTTTGCTGAATCCACCATTAGTGCCAAATTTAATCTGTTGTTGGTCCGTCGACCCTGCTGGCATAGAATATGGAGGCCGAAATTCCAGCAATAGCTGTTGCAGCCATGACTCAAAATGCACTCCTGCTCAAAAGGACTTTGTAAACAGATAAGAGTGGTAAACATAATTCTAAAACATCAGTTGACACAGTGCTTTCCGTGACCTGGATATTGCCAAGTTCAGTATTTTATGTCCAAATGTACATTTAACTTAGTAAAGTGCCACACATCACTAACATTACAATACAGGAACTTGGAAGATCAACATTTCAAATTATAATACACAATAACTTTACACAGGATTTTTTTCATGTTGGGTATGAGACCTTTTTGAGGGAGACATTTACTGTAGGTATCCCTAGTTGTGCTGAAATTCTGAGTGAATATGTACAGAATACAATCAATGCAAAGAAGCACCTGACTTTGTACATCAGCCCTTTATTGGTATCACCAAGCAAGTACATGTAATTGAATAACCCCATAGCACGGTAAATCTACCACACCATTACTGCCCATATTGTGTACATGGGACTGCTAAGTAATTTCCATCATCAAACTCATTAAATGCAGCTAAGTTGCAGATATTTTGCTTTGGTTGATGTACACTTTGTTTTGCTTGCATGTTTTGTTTTTTCCTGTAAAACTTTTTGGATTATACATGTACACCCTACATACATGCATGTCATTCATGTGATTCTTAAAACCACAAAAAGTACAACTTGAAACTGCACTTTCAACAATGTCCACTAATTTAAAAAAAGAAAACTAAAAAGCATAATACACATATATGTATCCTGGAAACTGAAAGATCTCTTGTAGGAAAAAAGATCTAAAGTTAACAATATCATGCATTTTTTTGCATACCATCTTTAATCTTTAAAAGGAGATTGAATGCTAGAGAATTTAATCTCAACCTTTAGACAGCAATAATCAGGTCAGTGGATTTGTTTCAAATGTTTTGGTACATGTTTTTTACTTCAGAAAGATTTATGAATTATCAACAATTACATGTACCATCAGTATGGTAGGATGCCATGTGCACATAACCACTCCCCTCCAACATGCAGTCTACACAAATGAATCCCCCATAAAACAGATTTAGGAAGGTATGACAAATGTAAACACTCAACCAACCTTTCCAATGCTTTCATGATAGGATTAATTTACACAGTGATTTGATCAATACAAGTTTTCTTTGAATTACCTGAAACAATTTCAAACTTAAATGTCCATCGGTCCTTATGAGATTATGCTCTGAAACTAGGCAAAAATGAAAACACATGGACAGACTCTCTGTCATGAAAACAGATTGCTGTATCAACTGTCACACACATTTTTTTCCCACAGGGCAACAAGTTCTTTATGTAGATTTTCAGAGTTCAGTAAATCATGACATTGAGAAACCTGAGATAATCCTGGCACTGTTTAGCAGCAAATACAAGTAGCAATGGAGCAGCAGAAACAATACTACTGCCTTCAATGAAAAAGACACAAAAGATGAATATGGCTTTGAGTGACATTTCAGAATTAGAGAACATCTGTGTAACACCACTATTTCATTTGGTTTCAGTTGGTGGTAAAAACCACTGCCACGGTACAATATTGTCAGTATGAATACATATGAATGCATGCATTACTTGAGAAGGGGTGGTTAACTGTATTGGCTATGCATCAGTAGACCAATGTACACATCCTCTGATTATTTCAAACTTCCGCCAAGTAACAAACTCTCACATGTACGAAGTATAGTCCACTATTATGACATCTTATGAATCACACACTTTGCTCACAAGATAAATTGGGGGGGGTTGGATAAAAAACATGCAGGTGGTACTTTTGGTTTGGCCCCATCGTCTTGCTGTATACAAGATAAAATACTGTTCTGCAAATCAATAAACAATAAAAAACCTAACATCTTGATCCGTTGAGTTAAAGTGTGAGAAATAGCATTTTCCTATTTTATATCAACCACAGGTACAATTTATCAAGCATTGGCAACATTTTGTGGTGGGGCCGAGTATGGCTGGGCAAGAAATATCATTCGTGACATTTCACAACTGTTAATGGCAAGATGATGTTTTTCCAGCTAACAATGGCCCTTTCAAGGAACCACATCATTGAGTAGTATGGGTCTAGCAGCATCTAGGATGTCCAGGTTGGGGTCAAGAGAACGGCCAAGCCCCTCCAGTACCATCATAGCAAGCATAATGGAGGCAAAGTTGCCATTCAATTTGACCTAATTGAAAGAAAGAGAAATGAGCATATGTATATTGATATATGATTTTAACACATTTTCTGAAAGAATACACATTTTTGTCTGTACATGTAAATTGTAATTCATAAGTGGAATAAATAACTGAAAACGCCTACACATATTTCAAATTCTTTGAAGTACACATGTAGACCACACAAAAGTTTCATTAAATTGATTGTTTTCACTGCTTTACTTATAGAAATATCCAATAAATTCAAAGCTTAAACCCCCTGCGGTTTATATAAAAGAAAACTATTTTTATACATCATTCTGATGTATACTTTATAGCTACTTTGTAAGTATGAAATACCGGCATATACCTTATGCTTTATCATCAGGGAGAAAAGGTCTTCCAAAAGAACACCAACTTGCATCTGCAAAAACATCATAACGAGTAGTCAGACCTGTTTGATAATACTCAAGCCAAACTAGCGATGGCATTTCCTTAACACTGACAGTCACTCTGAATCATTACCAATACCATCAAAGAAAGAATGTAACCCCACATCAGTAAAACAGTGTTAATTAACCCTAACCCTCCTATATCCTCCAAAATCCTTTGGGCGGTTTGGAGGATTGAGGGTGAATGGCAAAAAAAGCATGGCTTATTGCGAGGGATGCCATGCATGAAGGTTGTGGGTTAGACCTTGTGTTGTTCTTGCTCAGTAATGCATAAATTCAGCCTGATGTTTCTTTTGAATCAACCGCACTGCTCAAGAATGCCATTCGCACTGCCATAACATCATGACAGGAACTGCTGGAGGATTTTGAAGGATTAAGGCAGTAGGCACACCTCCAAGTACTGTAACATTTTCAAGAACTTTGGAGGATTTCAGAGGAATGGGGGGGAGAATCCAATTTTTTCACCACCCAAATTGGAGGATTCTGGGGGATTGAGGAGGGTTCCTAGCAAAAAGGGCCTGAGGGTTAGGGTTAATTCAAGTGTCGAAACTTCAGTTTATTTTATGCAGCCCTTACCACTCCAAGCTTGACAGTTTGTTGGTGGGCAAGGTTGACTAACTCTGCCATATCCTCCTTAAATTTTGCCTCATCAGGACACCTGTGCATGGTGTGCTGTAGAAAGAGCTCTGCAACTACCTCTCCCTGAAAAGAACAAGAATATAAATTTCACCGGATATATCTGAACCAAAATGTCAAGAATTACACTTCTTCTTAAGTTCAGAGTAAATTTTGCAACCTGCAAAATTACTTGCTTTAAAAATGGGACTTTACAGTTAAACTCAATAAATACAATAAAAAGACTTCACCTTGCCCAGCAGAACATTGGTAAAGACCTCCCTGAAGTTCTGCCTGTCATACTCATTCAGCTGCGCCACAATGCCTGTGTCCAGCATGACAAGCTTCAGGGGGCACTCCCGTGGCTTGACGCTAATGACCACCGTATCACACATGTCCTCCATCTTGAGGATGTTTTCTGTCTCACCAGTGAAACTGCTGGCTCCTTGCACAAGGATGTTGCCCGGGTGGAGGTCGGCATGCACAAAGTTGTCAATGAAGATCTGAATGCATAAAATAATAGGGGAAGCATTTCACAGTTTGAGAACCGTGTAAGCATGAAGCTTATCTTGCAACAGAATGGCAAGGGCAAGCCATGTCATGTTAAGACATTTTCTAATCTAAAAATAAATCTGTTATTTTTTCCTTCTTTGCCATTATTCATGTTAATTGATTATTCTGTAGTTTGTCCTACACTTGAGCAAGCACTACAAACACCATTTACAGTTTCCTTGCTCTTATGCAAAAATATGTTGCAGTGCAAATAAACAAGTTAGGCAAACCACTTTTCCAGAGGTTAACATAGGTCAAACCTGAAATTTATGAATTAGGTTAATGCAAGCCAAATTTTTTCTTGTGTCGATGAAACGAAGTTTAATGGTGACTTTTATTGCATAGGAGCAACTGAGTTCCGTGCTTTAGAATGAGAAAGAAATGATAATATGTGTACTTACCATTTTGAGCAAGGCTTCGATTCCCATTGCAGCAAGGCGCTCCCTGAGTCCATCTGGTATGTCTTCTCCGTCATCATCATTACTGATGAAAGTTGAGATGTAGTCTCCTTCCTGATTGATGACAAAACCAAGATAATCTGATGACTCTTTGGGGGTAATATGCTTCAGTGATGGGGATGCCAATTCTGTATGTAGATTTCTGTTACTGTTTGACTTCATACAAAAGTTAGCATCATATCATTTATTATCTTAACTTTTTGAACTGAGTAATCTTGGAATTCTAAAAAAAGGGATGGAAAGATATGAGTATCTGAAATGTTCTTTCTTCTTTCTTGCAATATTCATAACTATTTTGCTGAACTTTTTTATAACAATTCACAAGCGAAATGCGACCCATGCTGTGAAAATGAGTCTTAAGTCGCCAGGGCCACTTTTTGAGTTTTCATTTGTATTGGAAAGTACAAATCGAGCTTTTTGTTTTGATGTATCACTCAGTTTGGTATTCTGATGAAAGTGGATACCCCATGGTGAAAAATGCTGTGGTTTCCTATTGATTTACATTGTGGAAAATTATTCTGAAGGATTTTTTACTCCAAAGTGGCTCTGGCGACTTAAGACTCATTTTCACAGAGTGGGTCACAAATGTCAGAGATAATGCTGATCATTCACTGTTTGAGTCAGACTTTAGACAGCCAACGTTTGTGGGTAAACTCAAGATTAACCCACATTTTCTGGCTGATCCAGCTTTTGAAAATGATATGCATAGCATTTGACTCAGGGTAGGCATAATTAAGTTTTTTCTTAATTCTTCAAAAAAAGTTTCTAGATTTTGGCTGGGTTTCAAGAGACACAGGTTTTTCCATTTTTTTGTTTGCCCACGTATTTAGTTCTGCATTCTTACTTTGTTCCTGAGACCAAAAAATTACATGTACCTCATATGTTTCAACAAGAACATCTCTGCTCACAAATGGGCGTAGAGGCCTCGGGAATCGGACACAGCTGATATCACTGAAATTCTCCACAAATATATCAAGGTTGTTGGCTTCTATTCTCAGGTCAATCTGAAGGAAAAAGGCCATCAACAGGTTTCTTTTGCAGTGTTGAGTTTATCTGAACGGAGAAACTGCTCTTGTAAAATCTCACTACATTGTACATGTACATTGACAATGTTGAAGAATATTAAATAATCATATCGTCGGGTACCTGGAAGATGGTTATAAGCACTTACAACCTTTTGCCGGGAAGCATAATCACTGCAAAAAAATTTTCCCAGCAAAAGGACGTATGTATACAACTGTTTTATTTTAATGAAATATAAAGATTTCTTTGCAAATAGTTACAAAACATTTCCCAAGTCCTTTGATAAGTTATACAAAGGTTGCTTTTTGCACAGCCTGAGTTGATTTATAGTAAATTTCATCCGGTTTTGCTAAATAAAGAGAGTGTGTTTCTTACACCTTTTTACCGGGAACATTTATTCTACTGTGATCATGCTTCCAGGCAAAAGGGCATAAGCATGCTTACAACCTTTTGCTGGGCACAGGACGATATAAAAGGAATTATTTTTACACACTTTCAAACTGAAGGTTATGTTGATGCTTGACATGTAAATAATGACAAGTCTCTGTTCATATTGGGTAATTTGATTTAAACTAATTTGATTCAACTGTGTTGGATCTTTACAAACCTGATTTTTCATAAGAACTTCAAAATCTTGCACACACTCTGGGAGACTGAGCCATCGGAGACCCGGGATTAATGACAGGATACCAGCTAGTACTCTCAGCAGCTGAAGATCCCATTTAACACGTCTGTAGATGCCTGGATGCAAGACCTGCCAATGTGTGCAGAAAATGTTTGCATTAAAAACAAAAAGGAAGAAATTTTGAGTTAGTCATTTACAGAGTCTTTACTGGGACAGTACCGTCAGGGATTTGGTGACTATATTTTGAAATTTGACAATAGCCTTTTTTGTAATTCTCTCTGATGTTATTTTATAAAGCTTTGTGCTTTTGAAAGTTATTTTTGTTCAAGAATAAAAGAATTATGTATTCAAACACACTCAGCAGAACAAGAGAGGATTCTTTTAAAGGTATATGAGAGAAGAAACATTTGACTTCTAATGTCAAATCAGATTTTAAGAATCTTTTCTTTCTGACCTTGATGGCAACAGGAATGATGTCATCACTTTCCTTGAGTGACTTGGCAATGTGAACGAGTGACGTGTCATCTTCCTGGCTTACTTCATCCTCCTCTCTCCCTGCATCACATCAGGTGAGGAATCAAGATTCTCTATCAAAATTTTACCAGTACTTGTTGAACCTTTGACCTTTGTAAAGCATTGCAAGTGTTCTTATTTGTGTTTTCATCATGTAAGAACGCTTGAAATGCTTTGTGATCTCCCAGGCTATCACTTACATTCAATCAATTACTTTCAAGATACTTACAAAGTGTGCCAATTGTTAAACTTGTTTCAATTATCTCTGTCTTCTGAAAATTATGTTATTTAAGCCAAAAAAAAATCTCCAGTTTCTGGTCAGTGTGCACAGTGCCGTAGTCCTTGCGTCAGCAAAAGAAAAAAGTTTTTTATTCGGTATAATATGATGTCCAAAATCTGCCAAACTTGCTTGATTGACTGGAATAGTGCGAAACTGCATAATTGTAACGTGTCTTAGATGGGGTACGGTTGAGTAATGTGTACAGTAAAGCAGTCCCTCTAGGTCCCCATACGTTTAGTCAGGCACTCTATTTTACATGACGTCATTTCTGTACTATATGTTTACATCTGGGAACCGTCTTACGTCCTTTGAACAAGCTGAGAATGCTTTTAAACAGTAAATAGTGAGGGGGTAAAGTCTATTTTAGTGTTGGTAGCAGAGATATGTATGTACAAGCACACGTACGTATACATCATTTCTAGGAAAAAAGTTGAGGGCAAAACTTTTTGAGCCAGCCCCTGACCAGAAATCAAAGACTTTTGGGGGGCCATACATGGACATATAACACTACTTACCATTAGACCCTTTACCTGGTTGCTGGGAATTATTTTCATCATCTAGGTAGGGGTCTTTGGTTCTCTTTCTCAAAAACCAGTCTAACTTAAGAATCTCTCGCCCTGTGATGTTGTAAGAAGATAGTATGGTTATCAAATGTACATATTCCATCAGAGTAACTCAACGAAGTTGCTGTTGGGTGTAGCAAGAAGGACGTAAAAAGTTCAAATGAGATGGTGACCTTGGTAAATAGATTTATGTTGGAACTACAGAGACTAGCTCAGCAGTACAACTATAGCAACTGAAAATTATGGTTCATTCTTACCATCGTCAAACTCTGATGGTTCATCATCATCATCCAGTAGAGCTTGAAGACACTCTTCAGAAAGAGCCTCAGTTCTCATATACCCTTTGTACACCTGTCCAACACATCCTGAGTGAAGTGACTTCTCAATCTTGACAAAAATGTTGCGCCAGTTTTTGCCAAAGGAACGTTCCAGTTTCTTCTCAGTCTGGTACCAGTAGTGCTTAGGGGCATCCAGGTGGAGCTTGGAGAACAGATCACAGAAGTCAGCTGAAAACAGGTCTCGCCTTGTGCTAGCCCACTGGCCAAGTTTGATAAATGTTGGTCCTGATATCTCCACTGCCCAAAGGAGCATACGTTGCCACCTCCGACGAAACCGCTCTGACCAGAAAGTCAAGGGGTACATGGCCAGAATGGGACCAAACACCACTGAGATCCACAGGAGTCTCCTGCAGATGCTTAGACACTTGTAAATGTAGAAGAAGCCACGTACGATGACGTTGCTCTGCTTCTTGGGCTTTTTAATCCTCTTTGAAGACCCCAGTGGGGTTTCAAGTGGTGTAGGTTGACTTTGGGCTTCTTGGCAACTTGCACTGGTGAGACGACTCTTGAAAACAAGTGTGCCAGTGCACAGAGACATAGTAATGCTGATTGACTTGGAAGTGTTCATACGTTTTGGTAAAGTAGGTGGCTTGCATTGTATAAAGAGTGAAGTCTTCTGCAGCTGCAAGGGGCCACCCTTACATTTGAAAAGTGTATTAGAGTTCTTGGCGAACCCGTGACAAATAAATACACGGAACATCTTGGTTTTCTCAGACTATAAGCTCACTTCTGTTTGTTGATGAGATGGTCTGCACTGTTGCGGTGTTATGTGGTGAAATTCTTCTGTCGGGGATTGAGGATTTGTACCATGTACCAGTACTACCTAGCCATCTAGATGACAGGCAGTAGGTTCATGCTCATCCTATCAAAACAATATCGTTTAAGCTGCTTACTTTCCAATGCACTAAAACTTAACCACTTCTGTAGAAAGAAAAAAAGTGGGAAATATCAGCAATAATCAAATAATAAAAACAAATCCTCTAGTGAGAAAAAGTTAAAAACTAAATATAAGTGCATTATTTCCCAATATAATTTGTTTTAAGTAAATTACATTGATTTGCAAAGGAATCAGGATGGCACTGCAACAGTCAATCTCTCGCCATTTGTTCATGTGGGTGCAAGTGGCGCATGGCAACACACTTTACAGCAAGTCAACGGGACAGTTCCCATGGAGTGCGTGAGAAATCAGACTGAAAATACACTTCATCTGGTCATGACTGATCAGATCAAAAGCCAGGACTTGAACATCCAAGCTGAACAGGTGTATGGCATCTCTAAAAGACCCAGGAGTGACAAAACCTTCCCAATGGCTGAAGGCTTTTCATGGCAAAAGGACTACAAGTTTATCTTTCCAATCAAAGCATGTCATTTACCAAGTCATTTGACCATGCAAGACATGAACATTAGATCGCATATTGATGTATTGGGCAAATTTGTGTGTATTGCGTTATGTTGCAACTTGACCCCTCAGCCCTCAGGCATGATGTGCACAGGAAACCAGTGACACAGCATGCACAGGACCGGTGGGCAACATGTTGGCCACCCCAACCACGCAGAACAGTGCAAGGCCGCATTGGCAATGTGGCATGGTGCACCATCCCCAATGCACAGGTGCCTCAGCTGCACCGATGATCAGTTGCTGGTCTGCCAGTGTGGGAGATGGTTCACAAAAGTCAAATTGTCTGTTCATTTGAGGCAGAGATAGTCAAGTTGTCTCAACGGTCCAGTTGGATGAGCCCCAAGAATGCCATGATTGTTTGGGGAAATCTGAAAAAAATTAGCCCATAGGCCTACGCCTAGCCTGTACACCCTTTCATTGAAACAAGGCTTAACTAAAAATCTCACTATTTCATGCGCTGTGATGCAGTAGGGCCTATAAAATATTGACCATGTGATCATGGTGAAACCAAAAACAGGCCGTATTAATATTTTACTGGTCAACTGCCTTAAAAATGAACAAACCAAGTAATTCCCTGTCCCCTTTGGCTGTAGTGTAGGACGCTTCCCGTGTAGCTGTAGGACAAGTGTGACTGAAATTGAAAAGTGAAGGGTTGCCCTTCAGTTGAAGGCTAGTAGTTAAACTAAAAGCTTTACCGGGCCTGCAGTTTTTCGCACGGCTTGTTGGTTCGTTTCCATAACATGAACACAACACACAATTCGGAAAATCTTAAGTTCGGTTGAAAAGGGTTCCCTTGAAACATCACAACCATATTTACCATCGCGTCGTGCACGTCAAATTTCAAGAATACGTCTTATCGCATGCCTCCAAATTTCACTGATCAGATACACTGTACTTTTCGTGCCAATTTCAGCCTGGTCTGATCTCTGTACTGTCAGTATAGTAGAGATCATATAACTGACCACAATGAAGTGCGACCTCAACGGTACAAAAAATTGTATTGTAGACTGGATCCCTACCCTAATACTCCCTGGATGTAGTTGCACAGGACTTGGTACATCCTCCAAACAACCCCACTGGAATTTTAACAGGAGGTGTCTGAGGGTAGACATTACAGGGTTTTGTTTTTTAGGCCAAGATCCAAATCAGGTTGCGAAACAATGAATGGATGAAGACTGTTCCACGCTTTGTCGGTGCGTGGAATGCTTTTGGCATATATTCTTGTGGGAAGTATTTCAAGTTAGGAATTGTAGACTAGCCTCTATTTCTAGCATAGGCCTTCATGTATTAGCCTTCGATGTGTGCTTAGAAGTCTATATCGAGCTGTCTGCTTAGCATTTTATGAAAACAACTCAATTGATGAAATTCACGTCTATCTTCGAGAGAGCTCCACCCAAGTGAATTTATTAGTTGGAGAAACACTTGCTTCTCTTCAAGTTGCATTGGCCGTATATATCTGTGACGAAGCTTGCTACCTGTCTTTGGAACTCAATTTGGGCAATTTTTGTAATGTCTACGTGGATCCCATGCTGCAACTGCATGATCATGATGTGGTCTGACGAGTGCGAGAGACAGCTTCTTGACAGCATGGGCAGAAAATTCTTGTCACATGTGGGGCATGATTTCGAAAAACTCAGCACGTCCTCTATCCCAGGTAGAGATTGTGACACCGGAAAGTGCGGAGTTGGCGGTTCAGGCTATGGGTGCACATAATCGGTGACTTGAAAAGTGTGGGGGGGATTGTATTGATACCCCCTCCCCCAATAAAAAGTGGGGGATATTTCTCCACCCCCCCCCCGGGATCTCTGCCCATGCTTGACAGGAACTGGGCAGTGGTAAAAATTCTCAGAATTTGTAACTACAGAGGGCGGTATTGAATTGCGCAAGGTTACTACGTGAGGAGTTTGCATGTGACACACGTAAGGGACGCTTTTATTTTGCTAAGTGCGCGTACTCCGACTTGCCTCCCGCACTCAATGAGAAAGTAAAGTTTCCAGAGACTTTATCAGCAGTCTTTAGGATTTCGACATGAGTGAAATGAAAGAATGGCCCCAACTGGTTGGGAAGGTAAGCCAATTCGTTGTTATTTCCGCATATTCCAGTACTAGTAGGCCTAATTAATCAACTGGAATAATATTAATTTTGTCACAAATGACAGGCCTATACTATACTATAGTCACCTAGCCCATAGAGGTAGCTAACCCGAGGATGTCGTGCATTACGTGCTGTCGTGCACCGTAGATTATATAAAACTGACGAGACCGTTTCGTTCTGTTGTCACTCGTTTGGCTTTTAAAATCATGAATTGAAGATATTTTTTATACGTTAATGTTACGTGCTGGTAGTGCTGTAGGCTTGTTCCATATGTTTTGTTCGACGGGGTGTGTTCGTTATCCTTTGGAACATCAACCACAACGATTGATAGGCCCGAAGGAAGCTTCCGGTTAGTGTGTCTGCATGTATTTGGCCACTGTACATGTACATGTACATGTATATACAGTGTCCTTTCCACTGACAATCAGGGCTGCCATGCTTCAAGTATGCACCAAGTCGTCCCAATGACTAATTTGCACGGCGTATTACATTATTAGTTGGGGGGTGCGAACGTTGGTTTTGCCAGATGAGGGGCGTTTAACCGGAGGCTCCGCCTATCGCACACAAGTACACCCAGTAACAAAGGACTGGGTTGCGTGCTAAACACACACCGTGCAAAGGTCGAGGGTTTTATATCACATCGATAGATCTAGTACTGTATGTAGCCTGCCTGATTACATTATTGTAACTATTAACATAATAAAGATTGAACTGTAAATATTGACAAGTGAGATANCCTACATGTATTAGCCTTCGATGTGTGCTTAGAAGTCTATATCGAGCTGTCTGCTTAGCATTTTATGAAAACAACTCAATTGATGAAATTCACGTCTACCTTCGAGAGAGCTCCACCCAAGTGAATTTATTAGTTGGAGAAACACTTGCTTCTCTTCAAGTTGCATTGGCCGTATATATCTGTGACGAAGCTTGCTACCTGTCTTTGGAACTCAATTTGGGCAATTTTTGTAATGTCTACGTGGATCCCATGCTGCAACTGCATGATCATGATGTGGTCTGACGAGTGCGAGAGACAGCCTGAGCTTCTTGACAGCATGGGCAGAAAATTATTGTCACATGTGGGGCATGATTTTGAAAAACTCAGCACGTCCTCTATCCCAGGTAGAGATTGTGACACCGGAAAGTGCGGAGTTGGCGGTTCAGGCTATGGGTGCACATAATCGGTGACTTGAAAAGTGTGGGGGGGATTGTATTGATACCCCCTCCCCCAATAAAAAGTGGGGGATATTTCTCCATCCCCCCGGGATCTCTGCCCATGCTTGACAGGAACTGGGCAGTGGTAAAAATTCTCAGAATGTTGGGTGGGCTGTTGCTTTTACTGTTGGGTGGGTTTGACTATTCCAACGCAAATCATTCTAAATCTTAATGCCAAGGTACCTGATTTTGCCTGACCTCCTCAAGAGTGACCCCAAGAACTGATACATGATATGTTTCCGCGTATGGCGCCGTTTCCTGGAGATCTGCGTAGTTTCACACTTGGATTAAATCGCATACATCACTTTTCAGACTCACACCAGTGTGTGATTTTTTTGAATAGCGTCCCTATCGGCTGCAAATTTAATTGGGTGATACAGTAGACAGTCGTTCCAGCAGGACACGCTGGTTTAGCTATTAGATGCAGCTTGCAAATGTTCAAGTTGGTGACGGTTCAGTCAGCGACTTCGTTATCAAAAGCAGGATTTGCAATCAATAGGCAATGCAAATAGCACCGAGAAAACTTGTAAAAGGTTTTAAGAATTGCGTGGTGATTGAGTGGGATGTGAGGAAATCAGATGGGAAGACCGATTTCCAAAACAACGAAAATGGCTTGGGGGAATGGGAAAAAAAACTCAGATATACATAAAAAATATGTCGGTGGAAAGGACCTGTATGCCGGGCACCACACGAATGACAACAAACGCGAAGTTGAAAAAAAGCCAATTGGTAACTACAGAGGGCGGTATTGAATTGCGCAAGGTTACTACGTGAGGAGTTTGCATGTGACACACGTAAGGGACGCTTTTATTTCGCTAAGTGCGCGTATTCCGACTTGCCTCCCGCACTCAATGAGAAAGTAAAGTTTCCAGAGACTTTATCAGCAGTCTTTAGGATTTCGACATGAGTGAAATGAAAGAATGGCCCCAACTGGTTGGGAAGGTAAGCCAATTCGTTGTTATTTCCGCATATTCCAGTACTAGTAGGCCTAATTAATCAACTGGAATAATATTAATTTTGTCACAAATGACAGGCCTATACTATACTATAGTCACCTAGCCCATGGAGGTAGCTAACCCGAGGATGTCGTGCATTACGTGCTATCGTGCACCGTAGATTATATAAAACTGACGAGACCGTTTCGTTCTGTTGTCACTCGTTTGGCTTGTAAATCCATGAATTGAAGATTGTGTTTATACGTTAATGTTACGTGCTGGTAGTACTGTAGGCTTGTTCCATATGTTTTGTTCGACGGGGTGTGTTCGTTATCCTTTGGAACATCAACCACAACGATTGATAGGCCCGAAGGAAGCTTCCGGTTAGTGTGTCTGCGTGTATATTTGACCACTGTACATGTACATGTATATACAGTGTCCTTTCCACTGACAATCAGGGCCGCCATGCTTCAAGTATGCACCAAGTCGTCCCAATGACTAACTTGCACGGCGTATTACATTATTAGTAGGGGGTGCGAACGTTGGTTTTGCCAGATGAGGGGCGTTTAACCGGAGGCTCCGCCTATCACACACAAGTACACCCAGTAACAAAGGACTGGGTTGCGTGCTAAACACACACCGTGCAAAGGTCGAGGGTTTTATATCACATCGATAGATCTAGTACTGTATGTAGCCTGCCTGATTACATTATTGTAACTATTAACATAATAAAGATTGAACTGTAAATATTGACAAGTGAGAAANCAGATGACTCGAAGTTGGAAGACATGGAAATTGTTGGGATTTAGGCGTTTAAGCTTGCTGGTTTTTTGTAATAATTTCGATATCTTTTGATGTATGGATTCTGTCCGAAATGCTTCATTGTTGACTGACTGCAAACACTGACGCGTTTACACCTGAACTGGATTTAATTTGTTGTCAAACATGCATGATTATGAATTCACTTTGTTTCACACGCCGTCCAGTATCTGAGAGGAAATCTATGCTATATTTATTATTCAGATACCTTACCAGTCACCAAGCATGCATGTCACCAGGAAATAACCGGATGGGCTATTCCTTTTTTGCTTGCTGGATCTGCGGTTAAATATACAAATACTGAAAGGAAAGGATTGCAAATTGTGGGTTTGCTATGCAGACAGTTTCTGCTTATTTGTTTCAGAGTGGTGAGGAAGCGAAGGCAGATATTAAGAAGGAAAATCCATCACTAGAGGTAAGCATCATCGTCCACAAAACTGACATGTTTGGAAGCAGGGGCAAAATAAACAGTATTTCTCCTTCGAGAAACACGCTGCAGGGCATAGGCTTGCCAATTTTTATCAAGATAATATGAGCTTATGCTTTGTTCAGTGGGGGCGTTTATGCAAATCAATTACTTACTGTACTCTGAAGGAAAGTGTGCTTAAATATTTTTTAATTTTCCTCTATAATTAAACGTCACCAGCTAGCATTTTGCAACCCGGTTTATTGCCTCAGTGGAACGACTTGGGTATTCCTCACAATTAAAGACTGTTAACAAAAGTTTGTTTGTCGTGAGAAGCCTTATGAATTGTTTAAATGGTGAAAAATGTGTAATCATTCTAGGAAGAGTGGCGAATGTGTTGACTTCCATTTTTGTGTCAATGTTTTAATTAGATCCAAATCGTTCCGGAGGATTGTATGGTGACCGCGGATTTCAGAACGGATCGGGTGCGCATTTTTGTCGACGCACATCAGAAAGTCGTTCAACCTCCCCGTGTCGGTTGATTGAACAACCTCTCGGAGGGGGGTTGTGTGCAATGATGGAGATTCATCATGCAACACTCATGATCGTTACTGATTTGATGCATCCACAAATTATATTTTGTGATGACATTTATGATTCTGAAATGTCTTTGTTTATAATTGGATAAAGATAAGCGAAGACGACTAACGTTTAACATAGCAGTCAACTGTAATTATTATCATACAATAAATGGAATTTCACCACTAAATTTCATTTAAATTTCTTATGTTTGTTTCGTTTACAAATTGTGCTGGTCTACGTTCCTAGGATTGGACAGAGTCTAGTAAATGTGAATGAATTATGTTAGAAATGTCCTTGATTACAATATTCCTTTACCAATAAGCAAGTGTTGAGGTATATCATATAAAACAAGAAAAGGCAAAGCCAATACACCATTGTATCTATAATCAACCGGGCTTGTAGATCTTGTAAAGTATGACGTAATATACGAGAGCAGAGATGCAGAGGTTAGGACTAAGTTGAATGATTCCGAAAAATCTTAAAGTGAGTTCATTGTCAAGGTAAGCAAAAAATGACATTTTCCATATGTCATTGCATTTTAAACTAAATGTACCTCTTGTGAGTGACTCATGAGCAAACAGCTCATATTGACTGTACCGATGAAAGCAAAGTCCTGGATTTCATAACACAAGGCAAACCTTAGAACTGTGGAGAAAAATCGAGATTTGCAACAAATATATCACAAAATTTGTGGCCTGCTCATAGCTGATTACGTGTATAGCAATAATTCTCAAGTGGGTCTCGATCCCAACTGGCTTGGGTTGCTAAACTTACCCCGAAACGAACCTATTGAATAATCTAGGAAATTGAACATAGTTGGAAAGGTGAGAAGCAGGCTGACTCATTGATGATAACACCCAGTTTTTGAGGTCCACTTACAATTGTCGAGAAAATGTGAGACACGGAACAAAATTTCTTTCATTTCACTCAATAGCTTTATAGGCATAATATTCGAAACGGATGTCGTCCCACGCTGACTTGGCTTGCTATTAATGTCACCCTATAATATCTAGAAATGAAATATTGGTAATCCGGAAAATTTGGGCATAGTTGGAAAGGTGGGTTGACATGTTCCACTTTATGTCGAAATACATGCATCTGTGATAAATCAACAGAGGTCCAGTGATTAGAGCGAAATGTAACAATTTCCGAAAACTGATTTAATTGAATCCAAAACAAACAAAAACAGAGTCTTTTAGTTAATCTAAATTTAAAGAAGTTTTTTTTAAATGAAATTAACCTACATTAAAGATTCCGATTAAGTTCACTCGGCCCCAGGTGGTAACGTTTGACCATTTTTCATCATGGTCTAATCAGCCTATCTTGGGTGGCTCGGCGACCCTCCCTTCAACATCGAGATAGATACGAACTCGATCAGTCCGGTAATCTTCTGTAACAGCATATCCGTAAGGTACAATTTGCACCTACAACAATGGAAATTAGAAATAATAGAGTAAAACCTCAAAATACGAGCGACCATGATTTTGAAAACACTAGGGGACTGCACTTCTCGTGTCCTCCGACATAGCACTTTGTTACTAATCTCCGCTCACTTAGGAAAATTAAAGTAGATTTTTTTCCGATTTGAGAAAAGCTAATGTTTTTATTTCCCGTTAAAAATCTCTTGAAAAGCTGGCCGCCTGCCCAAATGTACACAAATGTTCTTCTAAAAGATATGCGCAGACGCGCACGTGAAACTCATGACTTATAATTATAGGCCAAAGACATTTATGGAATTTATTCATTTATGATTCATGTCAGAAAGAGCCAATTTACTTTGCCTTCTTTAAAATAATGCTTCTTCAAACGTCATTATCGTCGTCAGTGGATAGTTATTACTTATTGTAGGCTACATGTACTCCCTCTGCCGTCCTTACCCTGTGGACGGTACGTGAATGCTATGATGTTCGTAAAACACGCAGTAACTGAATAAAACAATATAAGTCTTACCTCCAAAGACGGTGCCTCTCTCTCAATAACCGCCTTAGCTTCTTCTCCTGTCTGTGAAAGTAAAGCAAAATAGTGTGGAAACTGTCAGGTGTGCATGAGATGATGAAGTTGTACACTTTTAATCGCTTTAATATCCTTTTTCACTTTATATGAATCCAATGTGCATGTAGATATTATGGATGTTACATTAGTTACCTTTCCGACGAGTTCTGGCCACGATCGTTTTTCGGGCGCTTGGCGGCATCCCAGTGAAAGGACTGCTAGCAGAAGCAGAGTAGAACAGAGCACCAACCTATTGCCTGCCATGTTCTGCGCGAAGCAAAATTGACGGAGTGCAGAAGTTAGATAAGAAATTAACGTAAGCTCGGACTTTAAAACAAATTGTATACTTGGACGGGGAAAGTTTCTATAAACCAGTATACCGCTGCAAACGACAGATTGCTATAGCAAATGTCAGTGAAAGTCATCTGGCTGCGTCACACCATATCAACCGCGAGAGGCGGTTTCAAAGTAAATACTGCTTTGCATAAGGGATCAGAGTGTATAGTGCAAACAATAAGCCATAGGAAAATGTCCGAAGCGCCCAAATTATTTTAGGGATGTGCCTTCGCTGGATAATTTTGTGGAAATAATAACCGTGCACTTGCTAACCAAATAGACGTGTACCAGCAGCTCGGGTAGTCTTAAGTGCACTAGACCATACAAAAGAAACCTGATCTCCCTGTATACAGCCAGTTAATGATCTTTGCACATTCTTTAGTAATGACTTTATGTCAGTTGGCTGAACCGGATTTGAGTCAACGGATCACACTTCGAGTATGTGTTTGGTCGTAGCAGTGATAAGCTTCACCCATTCTGCTTTGAGTTTGACTTGTCCTTGCAGAAACGTTTGCGAAAAAGATTAGTCGTTACCAACGTATTAGCATTGCCTCAAGGAGGACGTTCATGGGCGCGAATCCATGTGCGATGGGAACATATGTCCCTCAGTTTCTGGGGGGTCATAGAATCATCCCCACACACACTTTTTGTAGCGAGAAAAAGTATATTCAGTAGACCTTCAAATGGGAGAAAAGTATTCGCCGTTCTGATGTAAGCTTAAGGGGTGTAAGATGTACACCAGTGTCAGTGTCCCTAGTTTCATGTGGCGTCCAGCAACCCCATCCTTCCCACTTTTCAAATTTCCACGCCTCGGGTGATTTATTTCTTTTACTTGAAGACTTATGCCACTGAGTAGGTCAAGTTATTTAGTAACATTTATCGGTGTGAAGCAAGGTGTGATACAGCAGGTCTTGTAATTGTACAGCCCAATTCTTTAGTTCTGAGAAGAGAATGAACTTCCACTAGTCTCCCCCTTTTTAAAAAATCCGTCTCCCACCTACGCGCCGGCTTCATTGTATAGTTGCAGTGTTCCTTGGGAATAGACCACGTGAAGTAAATCGGTTGTATTTTCACTATCATACTATTGTTTGTCCTTTCTGATCGGAATTCTTGTTAGTTCAGATACGATTCATCTGGACCGATTTTCCTTTTGGTTGGTAGAAGCCAGCAGGCTACTAAACGAGGAGGCTCCACACAATTGTTTTTTATCAATCTCTGAAGGCAGCAACCCTTTATTTTTAAACCACATGAGTAGAATTAAGCAAATAATTTTGTAGAGACGTTTGATTTATTCATATATGCTAACTGATTTTCCCCTCTAAAACCATAGAGTAACTGGAGAAAATAGACAGAGATTGCAAATGTGGGGTACATGATGAATGCCTGTGTATCTCAAAAATCCAAAAACCGATCAGTTGTTCTCAGATTGATCCAACCGTTTGAATGCAAATTAAAAGCTGCAGAGAACCATGCCAACCGCATGGGGCTCGATTCCTACCAAGAGCAGAAACAATCAGTTGATTTACATGTGCTTCTAAAATTGCTTTTTGACGATGCGAACAATTTCGAAAATATAAGCTTTTAAAACTAATATTGTGAAGAAAAGTATGTTAAAAGAATGGTAATAATACAAATATTAAAATAATAAACAAAATTCGCTTTATGACTCATTGTAACGTTCTACCAATCAAAAACTTTCCACACCCTTATATCGGTTTCCCCCCGAAAATATCACTAGTAAGTTAAATGAAATGCGTTTAATGGAGCAAATATAGCTGCAGTAATAATGTAAAGGTTACAATAATGTAAAAGCAACATCAGAATACAAACAGTAGCATTGTATACATTATGGACTAACAATGTAGTCACTAGTGCACGTCTATGCGCCCCGAGGTACTGTGAGTGACCAGAAGAGGGTTCTATTTCCCTATGACCCTCTTCTGGTTACTCTCACGCCTGAGGAGGTCATAGTCATGCACTAGTGCCCGAATTTGTTTTATCAGACTCCCCTGTGTAAAGTGTAGGATAAGAATACGAAAATGTTCGTCTCGGGAAAATATAATGCTCTGTGGATCAAGCCGGAAGGCTAGTTTTACTACACCTCTTGAAGCAGTCAATATTTGCTTAATGCGGAATACCTTTAACAAAAGTAAAATAAGGACAGGAACTTTCTGGTCATGTTCGTAATCATAAGCATATGGTACCGTTCTGCTAAACGTATGAATGCGTGTCATAAACCTATTCTCATAGCATATAAGAATAGAGATGGTGTCAGATCATGCCTTTATTTTATACGGTTTAGGAAAAGAGTGTTTCGCTCGGTTGCTTGACTGTCCTCGTTGATTCGCCAAAGTAGCGGGTCAGCGACTGGAAGGAACTCTTTCTTCTCCGTTTCTCCTTGCGATCTTCAGGTGTGGGAGACACCGGTGCATTTCTCCCAACGGCATCCAGGGGAGAATCCTCTTGAATGTCATCAAGAGAAGAGAGGCGCCTGGCCGGCGCTTCAGAGGATATGGATTTGGCTTGATACCCAAGCTTGCGGAGGACTCCGGTCCACGATCCCTCCTCTTCTTCTCCAAAGACTTCCTCATCGACTGACTCACGCCTGGCTCGAGCGTAGTCCTTGTACTTGGCCAGTAGACTCTGGAATCGCTTGACGGCTTCCTGGTGTTTACGAAGCACCACCTCAGCGAAGTCGGTGACGATGTCCCAGGTTTTCTTAGTGATCTCCTCGGAGTAGTACCAACTAGCCGGGGTGAAGCGAATAACATATTTCCCTTTAAGGGAGGTCGGAACCATGTGGGCCTTGCCAGATTGGTTGATTCGTTGCAGGAGAAATTCTGTCAAATTGTTCTCCCCCTGTGAACAGTAAATCCGATCTTTGGTTGTAACAAAAATGAGCATACCGAAACACGAAAAATGCTCCTCAGTTATGTCAAATGCCTCCAATTTGTCAAACATGTATGACTTGTTGCCTTCATTGCTCTGAAATCATTACGATATCCGATTCACAAGAGGATAACCTATATGGAAAGAGCTTTGTACCTTGAGTCTAAAGCACACGAGGCCGAACTTCACAGTGCCGACAACCTCGAACCTGTCATCCGCCAGCACCCAAGACTCAAACAACTTGGCCAAGGCCACGTGCTGTGATCCAAATAATAATTCATGTAAATGAAATCAGTTCACTCTTAGATGATATTAAGGTTTGAAGAAATTATCTGTTTGAAGCAAAATCACCCTCCACAATGAAAATAAAGTCACAGGAGAAAATTGATAACCGACATCAACGTACAACTAGCTTTCCAGGTTTGTAAGTGATAATTCTTGAAAAGCATTCGCCCAAATCAGAAAATAGACTCAGAAAATTGTTCTGTGGGTCAATTTTATAAAATCATTCAGCAAACAAGTGATCAAGCAAAAACCTGAAAACGTCCGTCGAACAAAATCGCTCTCCAAAGGAGTGAGTCCCTCATAAATTCACTCCTAAAGGGGGAAGAAAAAACACTCTAAAAAGTGTAAAATCCTTCAAAAGACAGAAAAAACCCTCAAAAGAGTGAGAAATTACTCCAAAACATACAGGAGCCATACGAGGAACCGTTCTTTTCGAATTGTGACTGAGATGGTTCCTCGAAAGAGTGCAAAATAACTCTTCGCAGTGGTTTTTACCCTTTTTTGGAGAGTTTTCGTTCTTTTTAGAGTGGTTTTCAGAATGGTTTTCACTCTTTTGGAGTAGATTTATGAGGGACTCACTTTCGGAGAGTCGGCTTTTCACTCTTTTGCATTGAGAGAGTACTCTTGAGAGACACATTACAAACTTTTACTGTATTTATCAAAGCAAAGTTTACAAAAACGTTGTATAACTAACCGATCTTATGTAAGCTTGAAGTCCTTCCACGCCGTACAACCTGATGACAAACCACAGTTTCAAAGACCGGAATCGGCGGCTCAGGGGGATGGTCCAGTTCTGTCCAAGTCAGAATTACAGTTACAAATCAAGACTGATCACTTGAGAACAGTCAAACATTCTTATTTTATTTGGCAAGGGTAGTTTTTAATTCAGCAAATGTGCGAATACAACAGTAAAAGGAAAGAACTGCGTGAGTTTAGAGATCACGTGACCTTGGCAAAGTCACCCTGACTATGATCGTGCTCTCTTACCCTGTAATCAAGCAAGTGCTTCTCTTGTTCAGCTTCCATGTAGTAGATGCGGTTGATGGACAGTGCCTCGACTAGTAAGTACTTGTCCCTCACCCTGCTCAGTGAATGGTTAATATCTTTAATTACGTGCTGTTTGTTAACCTTTTTCGGAACTCAGGCATTATGAAATCTAGGACTGGTTCTGCAAGCGGTCACAAGTGTTTGTCGCAAAACGGTCAAGGATGGGTAAGAGGAGTTTGTGGCTGGAGATGTCACCTGTTTTTAGAGTTAGATTTGGTGAAAACATTTTCGCAGATAATTGCCATTGGCGATTGATCTTCCAGGCTAGAGAGGCCATTGTCACAATCAACTAAGCACTCTCTGCAAAATTTGGGGGTTGAAAGATTTTACAGTATGTTAACGTGGATATAACTGAAGATGGAAGAAAGGGGAGAATAGTCACCACATAACAGAACAGTCTATGCCGACGTGCATCCACTTAACAGGATTGTAGTTGAATGACGACACATACTGGAACAAAATTATGGTAAATATTAAAGTTCATCTGAGTGAGTGGTCAGATATTCGTCTGTATATATGTCTCCACCACTCCGTCTGCTCTCTGGGAAGAAGAGACACCCAACATTATCATTTAATCGTGGGTATCAGGATTTCTGCCAAAAGGGAGCACCGCACAGCTCCTTGTCAGAGCTGTATAGATAGAGCAGGGCTTCTTTCAGAATTTTGGACACAAAATGGCTGTTCATAATGGGTACATTAGAGTGTGTAGCTATTGTATATCAACTGTCCAGTTGCCAGTTTGTTTCCAAAAATGATTACTTTTGTCGCAACTCTCTATATATACGGTTCTGCTCCATGTACACGTCGTAGCAGACTGAGATAGGATCAATAGCAGAGGAGGCCTATTCCATGGCATGGTTAATGTTAAGGACCATGCCGAGTAAGTGCGCACTCATGCATCTGATTCTTCCCTTTACATAATGCATGTCACGTAGTTAATTTACATGTACATGAAATTACTTTTGGTTTGACCTTGATGCTTCCCACGCAAGGGCAACTCGGGGCTCTCTTTCTGTGGGTTTCACAAAGTGTTGAGCCCTTCCAATTTCTGTGTGCATTTTCCGTGTATATTGTGGGGAGCATGACTTCTGATGTAAGTCATGTTTAGGAGTATCAATCTTAGAAACTCCCTGTGAGTAGGCCTAATTGTTTTGCGTATAATTATTTTGTATTTCCCGAAATTGTGTGCTTTGGGGGGCACAGTGGGACGACTGATTATCCGTGAAGTTTGCTGTTTGTGTACATGTACTGTGCAAATATACCAGGCCTACATTTGTTAAGGAAAACAAATGTGGTTTCATTGTTTATGAGATATTTTGAGAGTGCCCTTTCCTCCTTCCTCCTACCTCCAACCGTCGTGGGGCTGGTCTGCTACATTATGAACAAAACAGCATTTGTTTAGATCAGTTTAGATCTTGACTCTCGGATTACTACCAAGTAACCTTTTTGAAATGTGGATTTTATTTTTAAAAAGATCTTCTTTGTTTATGGTATTCTCCAATATAGTTCAGATCCACTGAAAGAGTAGATTTGACACAACCCGAAAAGGGAGTCCTGATTTTTCTTTATAGGAATATAGACGTCAATATTGCAACCTGGCGCCAATCATCATTATGAAGGTTATGCGTGGTGGCGTCTCCATGTTGTCTCAGGTGCTGTTTTGTTGTTTAATTTAGTTACAACGAATGTACAAAATGTTCACTTGAGCCTAACGCACCGATATAAAACTCTTGCCTCAGAGGACACGTTAATGAATAAACCTCTGCTGACGATTGGCGATGTCCCTTCAGAGCCCCCATTTACCTGGAATCCGTCGAGTAGATACTTGAACTCTGGACAGATGAGTGCGTTGCCAGCATAGGCTCCGTCCACGTGAAGCCACAGGTCCTTTTCAGCGCAGACTTGGCCAATTTCCTCGATGTTATCCACAGCTGTACTGCTTGTTGTTCCCATGGTAGCACAGACCTAAGTATTTTACAATGCCATCATCACACTCTCAAGCTAAATTTACAAAAGAAAATATTTTAGATTTCCACAACGGGATGTAACTGTGTGGGCGTCATGTGACACTTCGCCGATACAGGAATTTTTACCAGGTTGGTATTGACCTGATTCAAAAGTTTCCGGCAGGCTAGCAGGATGGGTGGCCTATATGGGTGTCATTTCAAAACAATTTTTAAATGTGGACCAACCATTCTATGGCAAGACCCACACGTTCAATTATTCTACGGGAATTAGGCCTTCACATGTTCCAGTTTAAACCAGACACATATTTATCTGGCCTGAAAAGTCTTATAACAACTGTTACGTACTTTTTGTGGGTAAAATAACTTAAGCTATTTTGGAGCTGCCTTTACCAGAGAAAAGGACGAATGTTACTCACAAAGAAGGGAACCAGTCCACTTGCTATATCCTCCTGCAAAATAAATAAAAGGCATGAAAACTACAATAATCTTGCAATACAACCCACCCAAAATCATTCACTGTAAAGTCAATCTGTTTCTTTGGGACGTCTCGTACTACAAGCTTGTCTAAAATTGGCCAGACTGCAGTTTAATAGCAATCACGATTAGCAAAACATGTTTTGAATCTTGACAGAAAATGGAAATTCACTGCACAGGATAATTTCAACTCGTTGTACTAAGACATAAAAGTGAAGCCCTCTGGACCAAGCATGAAATGACGCTGAAATTTGAAAGGACTAACCTACAGTATGCCTACTGCGTTTATACACTCGAATGTAACCCTCTAAGCTTTACCTCCACTGCTTTGCGTAGAGTCTCCCCACGGAGAGCGAACTCATCATCGGTCGGTAAAATGTGTCTTTTCACAAAGGCAATATTGGCCGCCTTCTCCACCGATGAATGGGCCTGATAAGAAAACGAATTGTGCCATACCTTTAACCAGACTATATTATTCATTATGTTTCAATCCCCTAGCTGTGTATTTACTCTCTGATCTCTAATCAACATTAACTAAACAAAAATATTATAGCCGTATTTATGCAGTAAAATCTCAAACATCATCTCGCAGTAATACTAATGCAGTCCACTATTTGAAAAACCTCTTTATCATCAGCCGATGGAGGTAACCATGAGAGGTAGGTTGAGAGAAACAAGGCTGGAGAGGAACTCTCATGCAATGGGTTTTTGTACCTCTTCTGAGAAATAAGCCACCAGCTTAGATAGCAAGATGCAGTCATCTTCATCTGGTTGTTTCTCCTTCATGGCGTTAATTGTCTTTGTTCTGGCAGCAAACAGACACACGAGAGTGCACTCACTGGATGAAGTCTAACAGATGAAAAGGAAACATTACGTGACAATTAAAAACAAAGAAATGAATGAATGAATAAAATTGTTCAATTAAATAACACAAATAAATTCGTCTGCCTGCAGTAGAATTACAACACTGCCATGAGTTCGAAATCTCTGTTCATCACCACGGGAAGTCTGTATACGTTTAAAGTTTTGGAGGGGGGATTGAGTTGAACATAAAAATTCGAAGAAGGTGTATCCAAGAAATTTTATAAAACTTATAAGAAAGGGTGTTTACACTCCTTTCAAGGTTCAAATTACAAAATAAATAAAATCTAATGTAAGCTGAAGTAATACGTTACCAATTTTTAAATCAGTTTTTAAATCTATTGTAAAAAACTGTCATACAAATTTCAACTTCTGGCTGCAGTGACAATTGTTAAAACAAGTCGAACTAAATCAATTACCTTCAACGTCATTGTGCAACGGAGAGGGCCTTGCAAAAAGTGAGGGGGCAAGCCCCCCAGTCGAAAAAGTGGGGGGGCACTCCCCCCCCCGCTTCCGCCGTCAGTGGCAAGGACAAGGGTGCACAATACTGTAGTGTGTCTTTGACTGATTTTAAATCATTTCCATGCGTGCAGCAAAAGTGGTTAAGCAATCTTTCTTCATCGTCCCAGTGCTGCTGCTGACCTTTTCTACCCCAAGTTTGCGACCATAGACATATTTTATGCAGTAAATAAAAATCTGTATTACTTTTCACCGAGCGGTTGGTGGTTATTCGATCGAGCCTTAATTCGCACTTCACTTTCCCAGTTAAAATAGTACGATCTGGGAGTACCGGTATTGCTCCTTCCTCGGCATGATTTCCATTCTGGATTAGTAATTACAACTTAAAGATCAACCTTTACGTTTTACAGTCACCCTCGAGTCCGTTCCATGTACTGGATTATAATTATATTCCCAGCAACGCCAGGACCTTTGACCGCACTTGGTCTTATCTCATGGAAAATCACTTGAGCAGCTATTGCCTCTAGACAATGATGCTCGGAGTTTCACAATCGTTTCGTTGGTCAGTGGGTTTTCCGGTGTGTTTTGAATGTCATGCGAGGGCCATGTAATATTTTTGAGGCCGTTGCAAAAGAACCTCTTTGCAGTGTCAAAAATCTGTGTTATTACTATCTCGAAAACAGATGAGAGCGCTCCTAAGTAAATAAAAACCATAGACTGTGCATTAATTCAGCACACGAGCAAAATGATATAGGAAAGGCATTGAGAAAGCTAAGCGACTTTTCTACCTTTCAACTATGAATTCAAGTATATACACACTCGATGTGGTATAATTTGTTAAAGTCATACCCATTTGATTTGTCTTATTTCTGATACCAAATAGACCGCGCCCATCCTTACCTGAATGACCCCTCCCCCTTTACACCCTTCGGTGTACGGTAGAAGTTCCTTTGGTAGACCCATCATGCGTCCAACCCAGTCAACCATGACCGTCTCCAATTCCGTCATGACAGGGGAGGCAATCTAATCGAGAGGGGGAACTCAGAATTAAGATTTGTGCAAGCATGATTTGGTAAAAAAATACATCCTCTGCCACCACGATCACCACAACAACACCATAACTATCACAGTAAAACTCTAAAACCACCAATGCTCTTCTTGCCACGACAGCCACACTAGTGGCGTACTAGACTAAATACTTAACAAGTACAACATTGCAGCAGCGATGCTAAATTTCTTTTATGTAACGAAATTAATGTTCTCACCCAGGTAAAACTGATGCTGCCTAGCCCGGCAACCAGAAATTCCGCCAGCATGGCGGGATAGGAGTTACCGCCCGGGAAGTAGGCGTGGAAATGTGGATGGTGCCAGTGGGTCATCTGTCCAGGTGAGATCGAAACAATGAAACCAATTTTGTCCATTGACCAATTAATGTCGATCTTTGCCCAAGAAGTTCGACGTCACCTGCCTTAGGATGCATGAATGGACATGATAATTTTTGGGGCTTGGTGTTCGTTAGAGGAAAACAGTTTTCGAAACATTGTTGGTGGGGAACGGGGACTAGAGACTTATTTACATTTTGTCAGAGGTGGAAAAGGAACTCCAGAGTTCCCATGTTACTCCTTAGTGATGTCTTGATTATTTTATCCTGGAATAGTCATTTGCAGGCAAGATTTTGATACCCTGAGATAATTAGACTGCACCTGAATCTGTTGTCCCAAGCTGGGTCTGCAGTATGGGTCTTTGTTTTTTTATTGGAAATACGTGGGGGGGGGGCATGCTGGCAATAGAAGCATAGACGTCTCTCCGGAAGCACATTAAGACACGGCTAGTCAGTTGGTACTTGAACAACGCTTGCTCAGAATGAAACATAGTGGAGGTTACTCCAGGACATCAGTACCCGTGCAAACTAAAAGTATCGTGAAAATGTGGAAATATAAAATAAATCAGTTTTCACCACAAGAAGTTAGAATATTTAGGTCGATATCTTGGTCAGCCTGATCAGCGAGGGTTTACACACGCGATATGAACATGTTCGAGCTGTTTGCAGTCTTATAAGTTTATTCCGCGATCACGAACCATCACTATCTCCAGAAGAGTCGCAATCTTCGTTCGACGTCAGAAATGGTCGTTCAACGCAGTTGTCAAGAAACCAAAAAAGGCATCTGAAAATTTTTTTTAAGAATAACACACTGGAATAGCCAGACTTGAATAAAGGCTATAATTGTGACCCTGGAGGATTTTTTCAAAGAGAAATAAAGTCCGACATTTCAACAAGGGAAGCTTCCACGAGGCAGGAAGAATACTTTCCTCTAAAGACTGGCAGTAAAACATTCTATCGGTGGATGTGCACGTTCAGGTTTGGTTTTATTTTTCATACTACAAGTGGTTGAATACGTGTACACTATACAGTAGGCCAACGTGTCGCGTAATGCAGTGTCGTAGCACAACACGAAAACAGTCGTTCCACGAGACTAACTTTATCCCCGTTTCTGACAGCTTTGCTTGGAATTTGCTTGAAATTTGTTATTTGTATTGGCTCTCCGTTTTTTTTTCTCCTTTCTCTTTCAGACCGTGTCCGTGTCTTTATACAGAATTCTGGGGTCCCTATTGCAATAGAGTACCGAACATGGAGCTATTTTCGAAGTGAATACGTCACGCGCACAATTATGTGTGTAAAAGGCACTAGCGCAAGAACCAGCGAGAACTCCTCGCGTTTGCACTACCCTTCCTAACTTAATAACTGGGCGATTGAAACAAAATTCCGTGGGGAATTACTGCATTTTCATGCTTTACCTCAGACTGCATTATTGCCGGTTTGTTGAATCAGTTGACGACTCTTAATGAGACAGATTCGGATAAAAATGATAAGTTGCTTAATGTGTAAGTAAGGTTTGGGCAAAAACTTGATTGAAAAAGACTTCAACACCCCAACTACTCCATCGGCTACTTTGACGACTTACTCCAGGCAGAATCTTGTCGTATACGTCTTTTATCACGTCCTCCCATGCCTCAGGTTGCTGGGGAGCGTTTGCGGGAAGCAACTTGTGTAGATAGCCAGGCTCCACGGAGGGCAACACGGGCCGGTCCTTAACACCTTTCAGGTAATCTACGATAAAATTGGCCACATCACCGGCTGCACGTCGAAACGTGTCCTCATCCATGTTTCGATTTATATGTATGCTTTGCCTCGAGGAAAGAAAAGGATTCTCCAGACAGTACCGTGACGGTTATCTTACTCTACAGCAAAATTATTGTGACTGGATGCAGAGCTGCACATACGCCTTGACGCGGTCAACTTCACCGGAAGCAAATCTATACCGATGGAACGCCAAATCTTCCCTTTCCCATCAAATGTGTAACTTGCTCCTTCTTTGCCTGCAATGGTGCTGTGAGACCATGTTTAGGCTTGAAATGAGCTGCTTAGTTAATTGATTGTCTATTTCACGGTACCGGTACTTCAGGATAATTTGTTAAATTCTACAAAAACGGTCTACAAGATTAAAAACAAAGCAAACTAAAAAATCTCGACTGCCAACGAATCATCCACGAAAACTGTAGTTGTGAACACAACAGGAGTTGGGAAAACGTCCCTTGAATAAAGTAACTTTACATTAGTCGCATCGTATTGATATATAGAGATATTTGGCGTTCCATACCACAGCAGTTATTGTCTGGGAACTGCTAGTAGCCAACCCTACATAATATGCACAGAGACCACTAAATCCAGCAAGTTGCAAGGGGGACGTGAGCCCGGTTGGATAACTGTGTTCCGACTGTTGTACGTGCTTTTAAGGCTACGTCAGCCGAGCGCATTGATCTTCAGATCTTTGGCTAATTTGCAAATAGTGGGTTCTGTATGGTCATACCTTATAGGTTGTGGTGTCTTTGGGCACGACACTTTGCCACTTGTTGATTCACACTATCCAGGAGTATAAAATGGGTGTCCATGAGGTTAGAAATGGTTATTTTATTCAACAATTAGCCTCCGTCAAATATTGTATCTTATAGAGCTCAACAGAATTATATTTCAACGGTCTTTGACCCTTGTATATACTGTATCATTGTACTGTTGGACGCATTACGCATCCATCCCGAATGTTACGTTGAAGTTGATTCTTGAAGTTTCTCCCCACGTGTTACCAATTTAAAATTCCATCACTCTGTTCTGTTTTACCAACATTATTGTTTACAATATTATTATTTTAGGTTAAAAACAGTGTGAATAGGTGTTTTATCTTCATTATTTCAGTCTTTCATTTCTGTCATTTCCTCTCAGCTGCCTTTTCTTTCAGCCTTTCCCAATAGACTCAGGCCTTCTTTGTCTTGAAACTGGCTATTAACTTCCACGAAAATAACCCTGTGTACTTTTTAAACAGCTTTTTTGTCTTTAACTTCCGATGCAGTTTATAAAACAATTTTCTGGCAGCAAATTTTAATGCCAAACATCGAACCGGCCAGTTTTAATTTAGTATACGTCCAGTGGCGTATCCGGGTTTTTGGTCCAGGGAAAAATGGATTTAGTTTTTAAATAATCACCAAGTTTATTCGTCGTTTAAAAAACTTCACTGCCTCAGCAGGTTATAGTAACATATCGAAGGTGTCAGTACTTTCAATTCCCAACCAAAATTACAACATGTCTGCCGGGGAAGGGAGTGTAGACTTGTCCCCTGCCCCCTTATGCGTCACTATTTGTATCCACCCACTATTAGGTTGAGACCGTGACACCCGGCAACAGCTTTGCAGTGAATCGTTGAACGATGAAAGTTTATGATACCTTCGCGTAGAATCATTGTTAGGTTGGGACCCCATGCAATCACTATGCTGAAAGTGAAAAATTTGACCCTGTGACCTTTGTTAAACTTTGAAATCCGTTCAGTGCAATTCTAAGCCCACGAACTGACATTCACGGCGTCCGTTGAAACTCGCAACTCGATGTACATGTACATGTATATCTCGTATGTAAGAGTTTGTAATCTGTCAATAGCAAAACGGGGGCACCAAATGGTGATCAGAACCAGGTTTTTTTTGGGGGGGGCGGAAAGGGTGCAGTGCACTAATTTAAGTGATAATTTCTGCAAAGTTCAGTAAATAGTGCCCTGCCCCCTCAGTTTCTTTTGAGTAAAGAAGAATGGTTTGCCAAAAACCGGAGGGATTGTGAAAATATAGGTCAGGATCATTTTCGTCTGATCGCCTTTAGTCACGGTGCCTGTGGCAACCGGCCCCTGATACTGTGATGTAGTCGTAGCACGAAACCGTGGCACCCAGATACTACAATGATAACGCGTTCAGTGCCATCTTTCTTTAGTTCTCGAAGTCCATGCACGCACGTTCGCCGCTTCCACGTAGTTTGTGCGCGTGCGCTAAAATTCGGCAAAGTGGTGGTCACTTTTTAAAATGGCGACGCCAGCAAGCAAATGACGTACCAAAATCCATCTGCGGAGAAGAGTCCTTCACTGTGTAAAAAGTCAGCTGAATTTATACCGGATTAGAATCAGGCTTCAGATTTCATTTTGTGATAGGCCTAAGTGACATTTCGGAGAAAATGGGTTGAAAGATGTCCGTGTACGTTACATTTCCGAACGTTGAAAAAGGTTATTTTAAAATCCAATTTTAAATTGTTCTCCAATTTTTTCACACATGCTTTCTTGGTAAGTTAAAGAGTGTTTGAAAAAGAATACCGTATTATGTTTAAGCTACTGCGAATTGCCTTCGGTTAGCTTTATCAATTTCAACGTTGGCCTTCTGGGGCTGGTTTGCGTTTGTGGCGACACTTCCGTTTGACATGTTTCCATATGTCTGCGTTGCAGTTAGCGTCTTGATTGCGTTGCTCTCTGCGTTTCTCACGTCGATATGGAAACTAGGCTTTACTAGCTCAGGGTGCCACAAGCGCCTTGATTCAAAGGCTATGGGTCCCCATCTGCCAACGGGGATACTGGGCCTATCCCCCTCCCGATGTTGCAGTAGAGTCGACATGCAACTTGGTTGACTCCGAAATAGATTTTTTAAGCAACTCTATGCGCTAATTTTCACACCTATTTTGTGAAAGTCAAAGATACCTTTCTTGAACAGCGGCCATTTTTCTGAGACGGATCAACCCAAAATGTATACTTTTCACTGCCCTGCTCAATGCAGGCAGGTTGGCATGCATGTGGCCTTGAACTTCAAATGACCGTAACAACAAAACCGTATGCCAGATTGACTGAATTGACTCATACCGATAGGGAGGTGTATGATGTATGCCAGGTCACTTAAAAAAGTCTCGCGCCTGACTGACAGCCGGGTCCCTAAGGACAGGAATTCACCCACCTGGCTGTGAGAAAGGTCAGAAATAACCCCGCTCTTTAAGGTTTAACTTGAAGGTATATGATATTTGAACACGTCAACACAACGTTTTTCCAACACCCCCCCTTGTCATTTCTAACTTATCTAACTTAACTTCTTTCAGTCTTATCTAATGTATGGAAATACATGTATTGGCTTACTACAGGTCAGAACACGTGACACATACCCGAATCAAGCTTAAAATCTTAGTATTATTTAGGCCCATAAAACATCCCAGCCCGTAAACGTATATAAAATCTTAAGTCATGTAGGCCTAGTTGTAGTGATATGGTGTCATACAGAACACAAGAAATATTTCAGAAATTGCATGATGACGTAATAATAATTTAAACTCAATTTTGGCATTCTCTGGACTTCTAGTCCCTACCTTGGGTTACTGCATTCATCTGTATATGCTGATTCAAGTATTTTTCCAAAGGCTGGAATCAACTGCTATGACAACTATTAAAGGAAGGCAATACATTGTCTTTCTTCAAAACCATCACCGCATTTTACTTATTACAACTGCTGCACCTTAATTACACAGTAACATTATCCAGTGTTGATGAAATGAATCTCCTAAGCTTTCTCTTTGATTCCAAACTGTTTACGTGCCTCCTGTATCAGCTATTTACATGTACATGTACGTTATGTAAGATCCTATTTGCCCCAATTGGGGTTTAAACAGTTTGCTCTTTTATTTCTCTTTATGAGAATGCGGCACCCATTCCTCATACTGGCCGGACGACAGGTTTTTGTGGAAAAAAATTACACTGACAATGAAGTAGGGCATTCAAAGCCCACTTCATTTATCTGTAACATCAGTAGTGCCTTCCCACAAAATTGGCTGTGCAGTACAGTTTTGTCAGTGTTATGCAGTAATCGGTAATAAGTGTATCCAACTCTAAAGCCTGGTTTCCGTAACGCAGACGGTCCACAAGACGAAGACGCAGACACGAACAGAAGAGACGGTGCATAACATCCTTCCGACCAAAATTTGAAAAAAAAATGGCCTTCGGAACTCAGGTTCGGGTTCAGGTTGACTCTATTTTCCACACAAAGGTGGAGAGAGTCCCTGAAAAGCAGCGCTTGTCGAGTAGGGACCCTCACTTACATATCTACATATACAAATACCACATTCACATGGACATTACATGAGCATACATTTGCGTATAATTATATACGACAATGGTTAAAAATAAGAAGGAGATGAATACGGTCTATAACCTGTAACCCTGTGAGAATTACTCATGTAATTGTTTTCAATGAGCCATGTAATTGTTCAGTAAGCACATGTTGTATTTATGTTTTAAAACGATGGATTGGTTATATTTGTAATGACAGATCTAGCGAGTTCCACAACTTGGGACCCCATACTGTTAATAATTGCAAGATTGGTGCGTACAGAGGAACAATGAAATTCGCCGAATTGTCATTTCAATGGATTTTATCATTTTTTACAAACATTGAACTTATATACGCAGGTACATTAGTATTATTTACTTGGTGCATAAGGGTTCTAAGTTAGGAGTAATAAATGTCACGGATTGTCAATTTTTTATATTGATGAAAAAGAGGATTGCTGTGCTTTTGAAAAGAGGTAGAATTAATAATGTGCAAGGCCTTTTTTGAAGTTTGGGTATTCTCTCTATTTGGCTAGTGCCACAGCTGCCCCAGGCAAGTATTCCACACTATAAGTACGGCAGAATCAGAGTATTATACAAACTTTATAAAATGTTTTTGGAAGATATGTTTTAAGTTTACATATTATTCCTATATTCTTAGATATTATTGAACAAATGTAATTAACATGTATCTTCCACGATAGATTTTTGTCAACATATTTTGCATATTAAGGACTGAAGTCCAGTCACACAGAGTTCCAGTTTGAAATTTGCAGTGTTCTCTTTTGAATAATTACTTGTGGGGATGTGATGGGAATTACGAGGCTTTATAGTAAATGGGAAAAAGGTAAAAATTGGAAAGTGATCAGATATGTCGGTCACCGAAATACCAGATTTTGATAACAGTAAAATGTTAGTAATCATCTTATCAATACGGGCGATTCACAATAGTGCGCCACCGAGAGTTTGTAATGCGTTGCCAACCATAACGCGCGAAATTTGTCGACCCTTTCCAAACGCGCACTGGGTCGACAAAT